TAGCAAAGTAGAGGCATAATAGAAAATAATCTACTTACTTTCTCATTAATATAGGTTAAAAAGAAATAGTAATATATAGTTAATAATAATACTAGTAATAGTACTATTATAGTAGTAGTTTAAATTTTTAATTATTGTGTAAAAAGAGAAGAAAAGGTATCTTCTTAAAGCCCTAGATTAGGGCTATTAATTAATATTACTCTTATTATTGTAAAACGTTGTGGTTACTGTGACCTTTTGAATTAAAAAGTAGAGGTTTCTGTGTATAATAGGCAAAAGTGATGCTATTCGTGATGCGAGGTGCAACCCCCCTTTTACTGCTGCAACCCCCCTTTTTTCGCCCCTTACGTGAGTAAGGGGTTTTTAGCGCAGCAGCCTGATGACTAAAACCCCTGGGTAAGCATCATTTGGTTCTGAAACAATTTCTCTAAGCTTCACCATCGCATTTCCCATCCCCTCTTGGATGACACGAAAACAACACACTCAGGGAAGAATGAAAGAAAACAAGAGAAGTAGGGACAACGACTCATTTCCTGCCGATCTCTTAAGCAGCGATAGTACTTAACAGAACGAGAAACATGGCTCAATCAGATGCTGCCGCCCCACTGCCGCATTCCCCCGGATGCCGGGGAGATCGGCTGCGGCTCCCCGCCGGACCCCGGCCCCTTACGTCCCTCGTCCACGGATCTTCGTTCCCGCAAAGTTTATGCCAGGTAATCTGCACCTACTACACCTTGCATTGGAGACTCGAGTGATCCATGCGGTCATTGAATGAGACACTGTCGCCCCTTCCTCCAGGAATTTACAAGATGTGTCAAAATACGAGTTGAAATGGAACCCAATCGGGCAACATTCCTGACAGGTTCCCTTTCCGCCCGATCAAGTCAATTTGGCCGAGGTTGAAAAGCCCAGGTCTCAGACGGAAATACCTACCATCCCGTCTCCTGGCTCTACCAGGGTTCAGTCCTGAACGGGGAAGCGGCTCCCTTGCTCCGAAGTTATCTCATTGCCGTGGCAAGGCCTGTTCGGGCGATCCGATCATCTGTCTCATCTAGAACCACTACCACGGAATGGGGAAACGCTTGCGCAACTCAATGCCGGCGAGATTCACAGATTCCCGATCTCTGTGCCAGAAATGACGAGTATGTAATCGGAGATGCGCGTTCCACAAGAACATGCGGGGGGCCATCACTCGAAAAAAGCAATTTCTTGAAATCACTTCGCCTAGAAAAAAAAAGGAAGAAAAAATTCAAATTCACGGTCCTCTGCTGACGACTAGTCATTTCAAGTTTTCTTCATTACGACTGCTCCGGGTCAAAGCGATGCTACCGTTGCGGTCGTTTTACCTCGTAATTCGCGAAGAATTCGCGAAGAATTCGCGGAACCTCCTATGATCCCAAACCTCGGCAGGGGCTTTTTGACTTCAAAAGTTCTCGAGACCTTCCTTTTGACGTGTTCCAATCGCCGGATTTCTTTGCATATCCGGTTACATGTTTTCGCTAAATGACCAAGGATTTGCTGCTTTTTCCTCTTTTTGCCGGCATCTTAACCAACCGCATTATCTCGAGGGGCACTCGGCCGCATCTTGGTACTTTAGCCCAGAACAGGAGCCGCAGATCTGAGAAAACAAAATTTACGCAAGGCGACAGCAGTTTGACTCATACACAATCCCGGCCAGTTATCCATAATGAACGCCGTGGACGCCTCACTGTTGTGTGAAACCTGGCATCATTGTCTGAGCTGCAAAAGTTGGCAACTCCTGGCTCCGCGTTGCTTATTGGACGGATATAGACACTCGGATCTCCTGAGTGTTTGCTTTTTCCACCTGCAAGTTATGATAGAGTCTCTCCCCTGCGGGGGTCAGCCAGGCCTCTGGGAATGCGTCAGTCATTGTCATGTAACCCCTCCAGGATTGGATTGCCGTATTGATTTTCGCTTAAGTAGGTTCTTTTCTCAAGGGGGGAACGTTCTCAGACCCCCGACTCACCATCCAGCGCCGACAGATGACGACCAACTGCATTAGGCCCCCTCCCTCTCTTCTTCACTCACACGAGGGGGGCAATTTCTTCGAGTCACTGCCCGGCCCAAAGAGCCAATGTCTCGATCTAGTGTGCAGATGTGAAGCTGATCTTCACCCCTCCCGAGCACCCCCCCTTAAAAAGAGCTCAGCTCTGTTTACTCACTTGGCTCCCTACATTCGGTCTACTGAGTGGGAACATCTCAGACAATGGGGCGTCTTGATTGTTTTTGTTTTTCCTAGAAAAAAATTTGCACCTTACCAAGAAAACTAAACGCATGATCTGTTCGTTTTTGAGGTTTGAAGTCGTCAATTCGAGGCAACTGGGAGTCGACTCGGCAGCTTGCCTGCCCTGGATGGTCCAACCAAGCGCGCAGGCCTCTCATCTGCACGGATATGCCGACAGGAGCCCCGTGCGGGCTCTGCGGGAATGTGGACGCGATCGCAAGAGAAAGCTTAGCGAATATTAAGCTGAGCCTACTCCTCCGTCTCCGACAAACCTCAGGGCCAGACTTTTCTTTTCACGAGGAAGGAAAAACCAATTCCCATTCCTCAAGCCATCTTTCCCCGTGCATGGATGCGGTTTCGCTGGTCTCACCCTCCGCAGCGGAAGTTTGCCCGGAAGCCTCTTCCGGGATAGCCGCAATGTAGCCAAGGGGAAGGCGGAAAGCCACAACCCGCAATGGCTAGGCTTTCAATCGTCGGCCATCTCGACTACTTGGTCTTCAGGGTCGAAGTCCCGCATGTCTTGGGTCCGTGAGTCCCATCTCACTGGCTCGCGGGACTCCATCCGCCCAGGCCAGGGCGAGCCTAGTCGAGCACATCGAAGAAAAAAAGCATCCAACATCCCTCCTTGAGCGATCTCCACCGTGCCAACTTCACCTATTGCTGCCCCCAACAACGCAGCGGGGCCATCGACGGTGGTGAACGTGGTCCAGCTCTCTGCCTTGATGTAGACTGAGCAAACACTGGTGGGGTACGCATCAATCATGTTGGGTACAAAAGGCGAAGGGCTCGCACGATGTTGGATGGAGGTCGCAATTTAACTCAACCACCCTGCTTCCCACGCAACCCCGCATACCACGCAGCCCCAAACCCCCATCAATATCACCATACCCATCAACAACATCCATTATTCCTCATCCCTACCACCTACCCAGATGCAACTTTCTGCTTCACTAGATAATTCAGATCCACTGGATTCACTTGTGCTACTCTCTGCTTCGCCAGCAGCAATTTGCGCCCGTCGGATATCCTCGATATTAGCGAACGTCGTGTTAGGGTCCGTCTGGACCCTTTTTCTCCTGCCTTGTTGCTGACTATCCGTCTGGGCCTGGAATGCCTGGGCCTGACGCTCTAGGACTGTCAGTCTATAGGCCTGTTGGTCCCAGCCTTTTTGGACCTTTCTAAATAGGTGGCGTTGGGTGTAGATTTCTCGGGTATCTTGCGTAAGCTGGTTGAATAGGTGCAGCTGACGCTGAAGATCAGCAGACTTACGCGGGGTTGACCATGGGACTATAGATACAGCTCCATCCCACTGCTGACTTCCTGACTGCCCAGCTGTCTGGCCGTCTAGCTGTCTGGCTGGCTGGCTGGCTGATGCCTTAGACACGAAAGGGCTAGATAGAGGTTGCGCTACATCAACTGGCCATAACCCAGTGTGTTTCCAGCCGCTTTTAATAACCTGGATAGTCAAGGCGTCTAGACGTGCCCTTCTATAACAGTCTATAAAGTTCCTCTTGCCTGTTACAGTTGAATCGCTTTGTATATCTAGGTACCCTAGATACTTCCTATAGGCTGCCTTAAGAGGTCGGAATACTGACTGATCTAGAGGCTGGAGGACGTGTGATGTGTGCGGCGGCAGAAACAGGAGGTGTATGTGGTTCCGGAAGCATCGCCACAGAAAGTCTGTTGTTGTATGGCTATGATGGGCGTCTAGAACTAGTAGTCTAGTATCTGAAGGGTCCTCTGGGACAGTCTGAGGGATAAAGACCTTTTCTAGCCATTCTAGGGCATTCTGATCAGTTGTCCAGCCGTTCTCTGTTGCTGTGAATTTCCAGCTAGCATAGGGTTGAAGATCTAGAGGAAACCACTGTTGCTGGACTGACTTGCCCTTATACATAACAAGAGGCGGAAGTGCGCGTCCTCTGGCAGAGACGCACTCGATCAGAGATACCCATGCCCGCGATCCAGGCTGTTTTTTCTGGATATACTTGGTCTCTGACGATCCTAGTACTAGCCCATTGCTTCCTTTGCCCTCGAGGATACCAGTCTCATCCATGTTCCATCTATTAGCTGGCTTGATGGGCAGGATTGCTGGCAGATCAAGGCGATGAAACCATTCCTGGATAATGTCAGCAGTTGCCCCATTAATTCGCCTAGCGTCAATTGCCCTGCATCGCTGGGTTCTGATAGATGGGTTTCTGCGAAGAAATCGCTGCATCCACTTCCTCCCAAGTGGTCGCTGCCCATCGCCCAGCATGCGCTCAGCCAGCCCTTTGACTTGCTGATGGCAAAACGCAGAGCCTAGGGCAGCCTGCTTAGATATCCACTCAGCAAGTAGACCTTCCTGGTTCTGAGATAACCGCTGCAGTCTACCAAAGGCAGTATTTCTAGACTGGGTACCATGGAGACGTTGTCGTACAGTCGCCTCTGGGATGCCCCATTTGCGACCTGCCCCGCGGATACTAAGCCCGTCAGCAATATCCCAAAGTGCCCGCTGCAGCTCATGTTCACTATACTGCTTCATCTTATAGTAAAAAAGATATCCTCAAAAAATGGCGTTGTTTGGGGTAGAATAGAAGATGTTGTGATAGTTAGAAAAGAGGAGTAGGTTTTATGGTGACGCGTTGTTGGGCTGCGTGGTATGCGGGGTTGCGTGGGAAGCAGGGTGGTTGAGTTACCTCGCAGACCAACATTCCACAAAGCCACCAAGCCATCCGCTCATAATCTCCTTCCTCTTTTCCAATAATCACGTGTCGAGATGAGGCGCAACTCAGACGACAGGGACTCAGCTCCCATGGACCTCCATGTTCCTATCTCAGAAGAGAAAGACGTCGAGATCATCTACACACATAACATTGGTGTCGACGAACTGGACTCTGAAAAGGGCTTGCAGACATCAGCCGCTATGTCATCAGAATCCATACACACCGACGATGAGTCCAGCAGCGTGAGCAGCGGTCCCGAAAAATCGGGCATGTCCAAAGTTCGCAGCATTGCCCTCGTCACGACAGTCAGCGGCGCGAGCTTCATGAACGTGAGTGCATCGCACCATATCCTTCTCCGATTCGTCTCTGACCTGTATCCTCAGACACTTTCAGTCCAAGCCGTGGTCATCATCCTCCCCACTATTGGCCGTGACATCGGAATCCCAGAATCACGCCTGCAATGGATCGTATCGGCTTATTCTCTCACCTTCGGCTGCTTTCTCCTCCTCTGGGGCCGTATTGCAGACATTTACGACAAGCGCATTATCTTCATTGCCGGCACCGCTTGGCTCTCCATCATGACCCTCGCCAACCCCTTCATTCCCAACGAGATCGCCTTCAACCTATTCCGCGGCCTGCAAGGCCTCGGCGCTGCTGCAAACGTACCAACAGCCATCGGCATCTTGGGCACAACATTCCCTCCCGGCAAGACAAAGACCTATGCATTTGTTGCCTACGGAGCAGGCGTGCCTCTTGGAAGCGTCTTTGGCACCCTTCTGTCAGGTTTCATCGCGCAATACGCCAGCTGGAAGTGGGTGTTTGGCGTCATGGCTCTCCTTGCCGGCCTCGTTGCTATCGCTGGTTGCTTCTTCATCCCACCAGTAGTACCAACACCTAGCGAGAAGGGTGTAAGCGCCAGGAAGTCCGTTGACTGGATCGGAGGAGGCCTGATCACTGTTGGCCTCCTCGCGCTGATGCTAGCTCTCACGGAGGGCAATGTGGTCGGCTGGACGACTCCATGGATCTCCATCTTAATCGTCGTCTCCTTTATCATCATTGCCGTCTTCTGGATCTGGCAACGCCACCTCGAGTTCAACACCAAACGCCTCCCGCTCATGAAGACCTCCATCTTCCACAGCGGAAAATTTTGCGCTGCCCTCGCCATTATGGGTCTTTTCTTTGCCTCCTTCAACAACTTTCTCATTTTCGCAACGTACTTCTACCAGGACTATCAAGCCAAGTCCATCCTCACCACGACACTTTATTTCCTACCCACCGGCATTGGTGGCATCTTAGTTGCTTGGGCCGCTGCTTTCCTGATCTCCCGCGTGCCCACATACCTCCTCCTGGTCTGTGGCAATGTCTCGGTCTCCATCGCATGCCTCCTCTTTGCGACACCAATCCCAACAAGTACGTCTTACTTCGCCTATGGCCTGCCCGCCATGGTCCTGTCGGTTATCGGCGCAGACATGGCGTGGCCTACTTTGATATTGTTTGTATCCAAGGCCCTGCCCCAGGAGGACCAAGCTCTTGGCGGCGCCCTCGTCAACTCTGTGGGGCAGGTCGGCCGATCCATCGGCTTGGCAATTTCCACGGCCGTTCAGACTGCCATCATGGCCAACGCCAGGGGTTTGCCGGTTGAGAACGCCGGCCCAGTGAAGGAGTGGGACCAGCCTTCATTGGACGGTCTTCGGGCAGCCAACTGGATGAACTTTGCCCTTGGTCTCACTTCCCTTACTATTGTTGTGTTATTCTTTCGCGGCTCAGAGATTGTGGGGAGAGCCGAGCCGGCGCCGAGTAAAGAGTCGCCTGCCGATGGAGCGGTCATAAACAGTATCGAAATCGATATCGAGAAAAGTTAGATTTCCTATGTCTCAATACAAAAGTTCTGATTTTCCTGTTCACCATCCCGACTCATCCACGTTGTCTCATTTTGGTGAACATGACCTATGGCGAAACGAGATGATTCCAGCCGGTTGCGGCACAGCTGAGTGTAGTGGGGGCGATCTCATTCTTTGAAGTGTTAATTGCCGCATTCCAGAGACAAGCCAGCAAAGTAAAAACGTATCAGAGAGTCACAACATTTGTACAGTGATCTCCCATAGCTCCACCCGGAACAATTCGGCCGCACAATGAGCGCACTATGAGATTGACTCCCCTCGGTGATCGCTTCATGCTTGCGATCAACTTACCCGTTTTTAGCTCTGCTGTTCCGTTCCAACACCCAATCCTTGCTTCTTGACTCTGCAGCGCCATACAGATGTTTGCTTCAGATCCTTAGGCTCGAAGAACACCCCAGTCTTACCTCCCTTGACCGCATTATGCACGAAGCAAACATTGATAATGTGCAGATCAAGACCCCCGCAAAAAAGTAAGACTTGAATTTCCAGAGGCTGGCGAGCAATAACAAGCGCTACACAATCGAACCTGCATTTTGACGCAGGGGTTGCAGAGTTGTCCGCTTTGGGTACAATTTCCGTTTCTGCATGCTATCCATAGCTTCAGATGCTTCCCATATTAATGTTTGCCTCTCTTGTGCCTCACATACGTTAGTTAGGTTGGCTTACTATACTCACCGTAACTTTGGGTTGAGAAGTTGACTGGTCACTGGCGTTGCGGCTTGCCATAACCAGCGAGTGGACAATGTTGCACAAGTATTGGAGATCGTATCTCAACCATCGACATTAGTTGTTTGGCGCGAGATAGGGGAGCATTTTGTTATGTTCCGGCTTGAATGTCCGGTCGCTAAAACACTATACTAGAACAGCCCACTGGTCAACACAACAGCTCCTTCCCTGGCATTCTTCACAAACGGCGTCGACATGACTGGCTAAGCTCATCTAGGTTAGATCGCATTAACTTCCTAGAATCTCATTAGACATGGTTTCATGTCATTCATTGCCGAGCTTCGAACCTCATGTTTTTGGTGTTGACAATGCATTTTTTCAATCGTGTGTCATTAATAGAATTCCCCTCTCTAAATCTTTCCTCGACGCAGCCCTGTATAAGTTATTTTTCCTTTGTTGTCTCTCCTATAAAGTCACAACCTCCCAAAAAGGTATTTACAGATGAGTTTACCAACTCCAAGTGATGAATAAGTCTACCAAGGACCATACAAAGCTTCTCAAGTGCACTGTAAGGGGTATGAAGTGGTGAAATTCTCCTTCCGCGTACCGAAAATCATTTGTCACAGTGAACTCCCGACCTCTACTGTACAAAATACTTTAAACATACATCGGACCTGGCTAGCGGCCTACTTAGCCTTCTACAATAGTTGATGATTAAAAGCAATTCTAACGCGGTTCCCTAGGAGGTCTAAGTGAGAGTTGGTCAGTGCATCCAGAATAAAGAAATTTAAATTGAACCCCGAGCCTTCTAGCCATATTGCGGTCAGAGACGTGTATCAAAGCTTTGCAATATCCTCCTCAATCCTCGCCCAGGCCAAAGGTAATAGTAGCCCGGTTAGCCAATAGTTTTCACCGTAATCCTTTCCCAGCACCACCACTACGTTCCTAGACGCCGCATTCTGTTTTATCGAATCTGCGTGATGGTATGTGATACTCCCGGGTGGGCTGGTTCTCGACACGGACGTAGTGGAATGAACAATTGCAGGACTGAAGTCCGCCGTCTTGAAGATATCCGCCCGGCTCCAGTTTGTAAAGGGTAATAGCAGGGCATCGGGCTCGCCGCAAAGCACCCTTGGATCACCGCCTGATTTCGAATCCTCCAGCAGCTCGTGGAGGAAAGTCAAAACCTGGCCTTCCGTTGACTGCTCCGCTAGGTGACGCCGGTTTTCCAGCGCGATCTGCCCAAGCGGTCCCCTCGCACCATCTGCAGATAGAAAGGTATAGGCCGCCACTGCCATGTTCTGGATGAAGACGCCCGGTGCCTCGATTAGCGACGTAAGTCTGAACCGCGTGTTGAGTGCGTGAAGCACAGTCACTGGCCTTGGCTGCGGAAGCGAGGAAGCTATCGCGCGCGCTGTCCATGCAGTAAGTATGTCTCCGTCACTGACGAAGGGTGGCTTGCGGTCATCGGCAGGCGCTAAATCCATCTCCGCTTGTTTTCGTAGCTCCGCCATGGCTCTTTGAGGTAAGAAAATGGTCCGCGTCTCCACAACGGGGTTGCGCATCATATCCAAAGCAAATCGCAAACCAAACGTAACAAGACCCCACCCTCCCAACACCTTTTTTGCTAGTTTGAACTCTTCCTCCTTCGCGGCGTGCCCAGCCTCAGCTGCACGTATAGCGTCCTCCCGAGCCCCTAAAACAGGCCGTACATCTGATTCACGGCCAGCCAGCACCATGGACCAACCGTGCAGAAGTGCCTGCTGGCCCATCACATCCATCAGCGTGTGAGGCCAAGAGAGACCAACGAGCGTCGCATCTTTGAATGAGGTGATGTATAAAGACAGTTGAGGAATGTCATTGAAGATAAAATCATCGAGCGTGGCCGGTGCGTTTTGTCGAGTCGCGAAGGATCGGAAGCATGGAGGTCCAGGCTGGACAGAAGCGCCCTTTGTGACTTTGGGAAGTGTTTTAGCCAAGGGATGATCTGCGATGTTCATTGATATGCTTTCGTGACTATAGTCTACGGCAGGACGTTCGGCTGTGAAAGCCAGCGGAACGTGGATTTCCAACCCTCCGTTTTCCTGGCAACCAGAGTTTAGCGGTCGAGACAGTCCAAATGGAAATCAGAAACAAGACTACCTTCGTCCTCAGACGGCCTCCAACCTTCCTCCAGTCACCCATCTCAAGGAGCTGGAGCAATGATTTGTGCAGCTTTTCTGGATCAAGTACATCGTCAAATCGCAATGTCCAAGTGACAATGATCTCACGGAGCGTTTTAGTGTCGTCCAGCATGTGGACCGGGTAGACGTCGTCAGTCTCCACTCTCGGTGGTGGACTTCTTGCCGCAGCCACTCCGAGCAGACGCCACATCGCTTCCATCTTTCTTGTGTTGTGTTATGTTGAATTGAAATTGCTTTCGCTGAGAACTCAAGGATTCCACACTAGTTATATCCGTACCTGTGCAATATTTCCTGGACGCTGTTCTTTTGATCGGAAATTAAATAATCTCACAACATGGTGACTTAGACCAATAGGTCCAGTTCGCTTATGCGCTTTGGCCCCGAACGATGTTATTAGTTTGCTCTGCCTTGGTGCGAAACCACACGTGTATGGCGATCTCTTCAAGAACCCTGGCTGTAGGTGATAGCGGCAGTGGATCCATGCATCTTATCTGAATACCACGAGTGCTAGATACGCTGCTTCTCCAGTCAATCTCCACCAGTTACTTCAAATATTGTTTATTTTCTGGCAGACATACCGAGTAAAGGTGTCGCCAGTGTTGATATTTTGATAAACCCAGTCTGTATTTCTCACATCCTGGAAATGTCGCATTTTGTGATGAGGAAACGAGTTGCTCTGAGGCAAAGACTCCATGAGCCCCTGTTGGAGCGGATGACTCAGAGAAAAGCAGCAATCTCGTGCATATCTGTAACGAAACGGCTGAGTTTGGCTCCCAAAGTAGGATGTGTCATCCTTAGGTCGTTGCTGGCCGTTCGTGATTTGGTTGTGGCCTTTCGAAACTCGGCATGAAAATCCTTGTTTCACACTTGAGGTTTTTTCTTGCTTCAGCAACCCCCTACAGCGACGCGCAATCCACTTTGATCCGTTCTTCATCCCTTGAAGGAGCACCACATTGTCTTCCTCGGTTGTCTTGTTTTCTTCTTTGAAGGCCTATGCCCCTCAGGTGGTCGTCGTCAGTCCGCTAATTGCTGTCGACTCTGCCAGTTGCGCTAGTCAAGAAACATATATGTATAGGTTGGACAAGCTGTAAGGTCTATTGAATTAGAAGTCATAATGTTTGTTCCAATCATCTTCGAAAGACAACGGTTATTGGGACAAACACAATGGTGGGCCTCCAAACGACGTATTGTGGTCAAGCTTGCTTTATGGACTGGATTTATTTTCCAGGTTCGGACTCTTAGGTATGATCACATCGGGTGCCTATGGACCCCATTTTCGGATTTGTTTGTGTTATGCTATTTCATTCAAAGGACCCGAATTCTCTTGAACATTTTTTAGGTTTGAAGTTTGTATGTGACGAGCTCACTTGGCCTACTCCGTACTTGACAGAAACCGGGTTCATTAGCATCCGTTGGGATGATACGTCGAGCAATCCAAGCAACCTAAATATAGTGCTGACCATTAGACGTAAGTCGATTGGCAAGATTTACACCGACGAGTCGCAATTATCTTGTAATAATTATCATTACAGAATTCGGGGATAGTCGCGTTAATTTCATAAGGTTTGGTCAACGAGTAGACTAAGCGTATCTTGTTTAAGTTTGTTTATTCCTTGACTTTATTTTTCATAATTTGAGTTTGAGGCTACTACGGGAAACAACGACGACAGAAACAAGCACACACTGTTGAAATTTCCATAGGTCTCTCGTGGAACATAAAGGGACTGCAGGCTTGCATTCATTATACTTAGCAAATGGTTCTATGGTGTATAAGCTGAGCAGTCTTGTAAAGGCAATTCTCCATTGATACCACAGATTTCGGAATGAATCCAGTCCATAGAACAGGAAACAGTGACAGATGTCACGACTCGACTTCACAAATGCATTATGCATCCTACAAAATGGGTTCGTTGACGAGATCGGGCCCGCAAATCCAATGCCGAGGTAAGATACGGATACGGAGTGGAACAGGGCTGGGAACCATATGCTACGTAATCATGTACCGACTTAGGTGGCTTCAAGTCGGCCCTTTTTATTTACCTTGACAATGAGGCGACTAAGGGCAGCCGATACTCACGGCATGTGTCTACCATACCAGTACCATGTTTGTCTACGCAGGATAGCGATCATCGTGACCAAGTGCATGCTGCAGGCTACTAGTGTACAGCAATGCAGGTGGGTGGCGTGGGGCCCCGGGATCCCCGCAATAGAGTAGCAGTCCCCATCGACCTCCGCGCGGGGAAATTGTTTTCGAGTGCCGCCAACGAGCCGTATTTGACACGATGAACTTACCGATTGGCTTACCGACTGATGGAGGGATTGTCCAGACTATGTTAGCCATCACGTTGCCTGCGGTTGAAGACTCATCATCCTCCCAGCCTGATCAGCATCTCTGTTGGAAGGTAAAGAATAAACTCAGTTTGGTTTTTCGAGGAGCTTAACTGGCCCGGCGTTTCAACTGTCAATCTGTGTCCGGACCCATAGTTCCTGCCGGTTCAATGGATTGCGTCAACAATCAAGTGCAGCAGCAATCAACTGAAGCGGTGCATTGACATGGGGAGAGCGTGATTATGTGGTTCGGGCTGAGTGGGGCCGGTACCGGGACAAGTGGGGGGTGAATCAGCAGCCATCGGTCTTCCTGGCTTTTCTCTACCTCTAATTAGTATCGAGCTCATGATTTGGCTTTCATAAACATAAACCATAATTCATAAGAAGTAAGTTCCATGGTTATCTATTATCCGCTACTCCTTTGGATTTTTCTTCTTCAATCTCTGGCTGATAAATAATTACCAAAACCCGGGGCAGAATTGAATGAATAGCAGACATCTATCTTGTCCTCCATTCGTGGATGCAGTTTTAGGCCGCGCTGGCCTTGGCTAATAATCAATCCAGCCACTGCATGTTCCCGGTGGAGATGATTCCAACTAACTAGAAAACCGCCCTGCCAGAAGACTACTTCCGAATACGACTGTGCCGGACAAGTAGGTTATGAAATGCTCACTCCCGCAACGTGCATTCAACAACCAGCATTCCCCAGAATCAATGACAACTATAAAGCAATGAGCAGCTCCCCCACATCCTAGTACCCTCCCAGTAAAACCATCAAGTTGCTATTTAGAATGGCGAAACGTCTCTTTATTCTCGCGGCCGTCGGCCATTCTTTTGGTGCCGGACTCGAGTATGGCTTTCCCTTACATCTTTAACAGCAAAGGCCGGAATGGGCTGAGAAATTCTCCCCCACCTCGCATCATTCAGCATAGAAATGGACCGATGGCCGGACTGGGCAGGCCAGAAAGTTGGTGAGCCAAACGAGTATTTCAACCAGCTTCTTAGAAACCTCGGAGAACGGACAGGCCAGGTGCCTTTCATCCGAGTCGGCGCCAACTCTGAAGACAGAGCCACCGTAGATCTTAGCCTAGATGTCATGAATAAGACCTTTCCACCCCAACCGAAAATGTACCAAACCCCGAGGCAGAACATATCTTTATCGGTCCCGATTTCTACGCATTATCGGGTAATCTACCAGCCGACACGCCTTTCATGTGGGGTATCAACCTCAAGTCTATGAATAAGAGTGAGACTGTCGCTCAAGCCCGGCTTCTGGCCGAGGCATTCCAAGGCGACAGAGCAAACCTCACCAAAGACGTAAACCTCATCAACGTCGAAATAGGCAATGGGCCTGACTTTTACGGTGATTCACGTAATCCACACAGCGGGCCCCTTACTTCATGGGGCTTTTCCAGCTTTTCCAGTTACACAAGCATGTGGTCAGAGTACTCCATAGCTGTCAGCAAGGGAATCGAGTTTGGCTCTCTCAACTCTGGTCGACCGACTCTGTCTCCTGGGGCTTTCACCACCACCATCGCCCCAGAATGGAGTCCTGTCGGTCCACTGCAGCTTGGCATCTTGGACAACCCTGAAATCAGAGAGACAACAACACGGTTTTCTGAGCACGCGTATTCAGGCGCGTTTATCCTAAATCGCGATATTCAACCGGGAGACTTGATGAACAAGATTAATATTCGCAACAACCTGACAACGAAAACAACTGGAATGCGGGCTGTTCGATCTGAAGGCTTGGAATACGTTTTGGTAAGTTTGCATGAAGTGAGTTTCTGCCCATAATCTCCTTTGCTTACCATTAATAGGCAGAGACGAATTCATATGCGAAGTGAGTTAGAATTTGTACACATACATCTCGCCTTGATACTAACGGTGTGATTACAGCCACGGGCAACCTGGTCTGAGCAATACTGTTGAAAGTACGCTTTGGGCTACAGATTGGCTCCTTCCCGGTGGTTCATCAGGGATACAAAGGCTTCACTTTCATCACGGCGTAGGCTTCGCGTATAACACAATTCAACCGACAAGCGACTCGGATGATGGCCTTAATTTTACGCGTCCTCACATTCTACCATCATACTATAGCTTCCTAATTGTAAACGAAGCTATAAGAACGTCGGGCAGGTCACATGTCGCGGAAATAGCCACCTCAAATATCACCCTGACAGCTTATGGCATCTGGGAAGAGCATCGGCTAACTCGCATCGTGGTTCTGAACACACAGGTTTATCTTGGTGGCCCCGACAAGCCAAGCATTAACGTTTCGTTGAATGGTATAAGCTTTGACACGCCCATCACTGCGAAGTTCTTACAAACCGAAAAGACGACTGCCAATACTGGGTTGTAAGTAAAGTGGGCATGTTCTTCAACTCTTTTCAAACTGACAAACCAGGACCTGGGGCGGCCAAAGCTTCGAAATACTCTCAGGACGACCTAATGGGGTTGTAGAGACGGAAGAAGTAAGAAACGGGTTATTCAATCTTCCGGCATCATCAATTGCTTTGTTGACCATCACCTGAGTTTAAAGACCTTGTCAGGATAAAAGATGTATTTAGTTCCTAACCTGGAACTAGTGTTTGAAAGAAGATTGCTACAAAAAACAATTTCCTTTGATCCTTTGTTGCTCAACTTACCTATGTAAAATTTACTATCTGCCTGGGACTTCCGTGAACGTCGAGAGACAAAAACATAATAATTATCAGCACCTCGTGGTCTATCAAGTGAACCCGTTGTCTTCAAAAGCAACCTCATAGACTGGGCGTTTACTGCTTCCTCTTGAAAGTAATAAGATTTACGATGATACGTGAGACGGTACTATATCATTCCAGAATCCCCATGATTGGTAACTTTAATACTAATCTCTGTTGTCCATTAGCGCTTTAACGACAAGCGAATAAGTGTTTTGCGATCGAATCGACTCTCCAGGCTCGGACAATGAAAGTGAGAAGCAGAAAACAACGTATAACACTTTCATCAAAATGCAGCGGAGCGTGCACTCTATCATTTGTCCAATCTTTAGCTAAGTGATTTCGGACGACTGCATAGCCTATGCCGGTCGTTGTAAAAGACCAGACTCCTTTCTGTTCTTTGCGATGTATGTCTAGGCGCCGATAAGTGTTCTAGTCCATGTTCTGCGTCTTTGACTATAATCTTTTAGTTCGCTCTACAGCTGGTTCAGGGTAGCTTGGACATTGATATGGGACGCATCAACAGCATGGGTGACCCTGTCCTTGAAGAGGAATTGAATCATGCCACCCTATAATTTGTGTTGGGGACAAGATTACCTGGCTGTTAGCATAACTTAGTATCAGACTACAGCGTACAAACACGCCGCTACAATCTTTCTTCCCAGTTCAAACTCCGAGGCCAAATAGCAGCGGCTGGAGTAGGTTGCCATGGTTGTTGGAGAAGAAGACCGCCCTAATAGAGCGAAGGACTCTGACCTTGCCACCCTTGCGGTAGTCATTTAGTGCCTCGTGTTATCGCCTGCTTGAAAGCAAAGATGATAGCATTAAGGATCCTGGATACCATGCGACCAGACCACGATAAGAATTATTTTGTGACGATAACCAGTTAGTCTTTTAAAAGATCACTCGATTGGTGAAAAATGTGAGTCTTTATGCTTATTCATATAGTTCACCTCTTAATGCGATATCTTTTTAATATACACACATCAAGAGGATATACATTCTCGGCATTAGACGTGGCTATCATAGTCTTAGTGGCATGAAGCTTTTTCGAAAGGATATAATGACTCGGAATGTCATAACGCTAATGAAGTCAGTGTTACAGGGCGACATTGGCAGCTGCGGCGACGTTAGTTGGCAAAAGAGGAACCGCAATGAAACTCAGGCAGCGGCCTTTCCGAAAAGTAGAAAATTAAGCTCTCGTGAGCGGTTTGGATCCTCTTTCACCGTTTTATTATTCCAGAGCTACCAAGGATATTATCCTCCGCTTTCTTCTCGGCCATGACTACTGCAGCCAACTATATCACCACTCGCTGTACTGTTGCTGACACCGATGAGCTGACCCGCAACAACATCCCCGTCTTCTGGGCCCATCCGCACTGGATCCTGGCCTGGCGCCATCGGGCCTTTGAGTAGCACATTCCCAAGGTAGCTAAGCGCACACCGCTGAATTTAATTAGTGACTCAGAGACGAGGCGACAACAGAGAGCTGTTGATCCTGCTCATGGCCTGACGCTGCGGTCCCGGCTGTCAGCCCTGAGAAAGAAGCCGAGATCAGACGTGTAGCCAAGACAGTGCACTGGGCCCCTGACGAGGAATCAAATGAGCTGCTGATCCTTATCCGTGAGGCAAAGAAGGATATCCTTAGGAAGAAGACTTATATGCGCCTGTCGAATTTTCTATCTGGACCATTTCCTTCTAACGATTTTTTGCAGGTTTAGACTACCTGGCTGCTCATCTGGACAACCAGGACAGGGAGTCGGCACTGATTTGGTGCAAAGTGGCATGAGACAAGCGGAGGAAATGGGCTTGGATATCTTTGTCAATGCCTTTAAATCCGGGTTGCGGGTCGATGAAAGGCTTGTGTTGAGGAGGAATTTCTCTAAGACGATACCAAGTATGGCAGCAAGGGCGAGATCTATACGTCTCTTATGGTTTACAAGCAAAAAGTAAACAAGACATAATGTATTTTAACATAGTCAAGGATACGTGGAAGCTATAGATATGTAAGTCGAATCAATACTTTGACGTGCGTCTGGTAGGAGGAAGAAAAAGCCTCTTCATCGCCAAATTGCGGAAACCTTTTCAGCGAAAAGGTGGCCAAAACGCCTGTCAACTGAAAACAGGGATGGGAGACAGTCATCCTTAGCTTCTTAGCGTCGGATTTACCGGAGAAACTAACCCCTTTTGATCTACAAGTATCAGGTCCAATGGAATGAACATGCTGAGAAAGTGGAAGATCTCTCAGTCACCAATTGCTTGCAGTACGAACTTCTCGGCTTCTTCAGAAGCAAGACGGTCGATGTGGACGGGTACTATGTCGCTATTCGTCTGCAGGAGGACACATACTACGTTACTCTTAGCATCGAATTACGAACAGGCCCTGTAATTAGAGATAAGGAATTTGAGCGATTGCATTGACGAGAGGGTTTCTCAAGAAGCCGACTTATCCGTAGTCACTCCAGCAAGGAAACCCTGCCCATGGAAAGTCGGCTATCACTATCTTGACACCCCACTACCGGTTCATGCCTCATGTTCTTACAGATTTGAGCCAGTAGGCAACGGTTCTGTCCAACATTATGAGCAAGCATTTGCCTGTCTCCTACAGAATCGGAAACATCAACCGAAGGAGGTAGCCATAGTATTAATTGCAGAGTGACTGCATAAAATAAGACATGCGCAGAGAACTAGCTGAAATGACAGTCCCAAGGCAACCTCTGCACCTTCCTAACGACGGTTGGTCACTACCAGTCAGCATATTCTACAATTTTCCAATAGAAGCTCTGGGAACATGGCGGTGTCGAGTGTTGAAACTGGAACTCAAACTATCGGTTGTCATCTACGCAAACTGCGATGAGCTGCCCGAATTTCCAATTATACGGTCACAAAGACAATAATCACCGTCTTAAGCTTGGCGATGTGACTATAAGAATCGTGGCTGATATTTCTTGCACATAGCTTCACCAAAGCCACCCTTGCTGTTGCTTTGCTACACATGATCTTTATGGTGACCTCAACGACCACAAGGAATTTTGGGTATAGATCTAGGAAATTATCGCTCATATACGACGCTTACATTTGGACCTCGTGGATGGCGAGTAGGGGCCTCGCCAGGGGCATGATTCCCAAGGGGAAAGGGAGCGATACCTATACGGGTCAATCACGGAAATTTCAGAAAGAGCCAATATTGCGCTTCAACTGCGGCGCACCCAATGATGGGTCGCCTGATTAGCGAAAGACATACTTGTCGTTCAACGACTTGGGCAGTGTTTCTTTTCGGTGCATCACCTAAAACGCATCGCTAGGCGCTGATGGTCGACAAATAGAACATGCCGAGCTGCTACCTCATTCTAAGATCGCAGTCAATGGCATGGAAGTTGATTCGTAGATTGTCGTCGAAGTTATCTACCTTAAAATGATAGCAAGGAAGTAAGTTTTCCACTGCAAGTTCTCCTTAACGCTAAAAGCTTGGATTTATTCGCCAAACCCCACTCTCTTCCTCGATTTCTAAATCGATAGTTTTTGTGGCGAAATATCTCCGTCTTGAATAATACTATCAAGAAAAGGCAACTGAATAACCTTCCATAGCACTGTTGAAGTCTCCGTCTGAGCCTGGTAACTAGATGACACTGATTCTGACCAGTCAACATGAAACTACAATAACACGTTACCGTACCAATGATGAAAGAAGTAGAGCAAGCAACAGAAAAGATTCAAATTGATACAAATAGCCCCCACCTTCCCTCGAGCACCTTACACAATGAGTGTGGCACTGGTCGGGAATGTGCGTACAGCACGATTGTCCCGATGGGATGTTTCCGCCCTTCGGCTCGGCGTCAATCTTGCGCCGCTGGACGCTCTGCCTAGCTAGTGTAAGCGAAGGAAAGGGTCAAAAAAAAAATTGAAATAAAAATAAAACTGTGAGATCTTTATTTCAGGTCAAGAAGTGAAGTAGTTGAGATTCTGAAATTGTGTTAGGGGACTGATGAAACAGAATTCGGTCGGCTGTATGAACGTAGGCTTTTCGTCCTACCCGGGCGCAAACTCTTCACCTGTCTTCGGCATTCGATAATAGCGTGTATCCCTGAGTAGTTCTACGGCATCTCCTAGTTGAACATTGGACTTTAGGGTCGATAGGTCGGCACATGGTCGACTCGCAGCGTCATATGACTGAGTTTGGCTTCTCATATCTGACATCCGGGTATTCCGTTAAACTACGGGTGAGACATGCCGTTTGAATCGATCCTCTGCTTTCATATCAGAAGGTTGTTTACATACGTTTTCAATTTGGTCTGAACCATTTTTACGGAACGCCGGCATTTTGGCCTTCCACGGAACTTTAGAGAAGGCTAGAGAGAACAGAGTTCACAATCTATTCATAGCTGTCGCTCAAGTGCTCCAAGGTTGTTGACTCTATCACTCCCAGCCAGCATGCAGTAAGACCAGATCGGGTTCAAATGGGTGGCCTCATCTGAAAGATATTTGTATTCCAAGAGGCTGGCGGCAAGCCTTACAGGCCCTGGAGTCTCGTTGATAACAGAAATTCCTCTCTACAATATGCTATCGGCGGTTTAATAGTTTGTCTTTCATTACTCCTCTTCTTCCTCTTCCGGGAATCTCAGTACTACAGTACTGGCCTTACATATGAGTTCTGGAAACTCTAAAACGCGGGCATTTACTTCGGGCTTGCTTCTGGAGGCATTGAGGTACGCTACATATTGTAACATTGCTAGCCTGTGAACTAGCGACCATCCTTGCCTCACAAATGTCGGCCGGTCAGCAACAACGGTCCCTGGCCCTCGTCATTATGGCTTTGAACACATACAAGCATACATACGTATCAAATTATACACCAACCCCACAAAGCGCCGGTCGTTTTCTAACCATTTCTGGCCCACTGGTCTTCGTATCCCATCACAGCTAGCGCTCATGTTCCATCAAAGGTACCGCATGGCAATATACCCTACTTTGGGCCCGCCCTCTACGAGCCAGCTAGAACTCAGAAACAAAATGAGTACCATCCTTTCGACCAAGAATGACGTTAAAACCAATCAAGAAGCAAAGTATTACGAGGATAAGACATCAACAGCTCCACCAAGGTCGAACGGAGCGGAGCGAGCGAGTCATCCGATACGAGAAACTCATAAGGCCTTACTCGAACTTCGGCACGTATGACAGGGGCTTTAACTTCCCATTGAACCTCAAAAAGTATTTTAGAGCCTACAAACCTCAGAGAACATTGGCGATAACAAACCTTCTTCATTGCATCATAGATATCTACTCAACTTTTACGATCCCAAAGTAGCAATGCAGCTCTCTACTACTCTCGGTGCCTATTTTGTGGCTGTTGCCTCGGCCACACTTCCGCCTATCAATCTGGGTTACTTCGATTACCCTCACGGCAATCAGTTCGTCGCCTGGACTCCCTTCACCCCAACCACCACCCAAGACCTCACCGAAGTTGTTGATACGCTCGGTGCCGTCAATGGCACAGCTACATGGACCGCGGTTCGGACGGTCAACACTTACGTCACCGATCCTATCTGCCGCAACCCCTTCAACATTACCGACGATGCGACCAATTCTACCTACCTCAATCTTGAGTTGGCGTGCGTCGATGACAACATTCCAATTTGGGCCCAGCCTGAGGTCACCGCTGTGGTCGACAGAACTACCAACAAGGCGATCGAGACTTGCGTTCCTGTCACCAAAGATGGCGGCGAATGGTTTGCTCAGAGCACGAACCTAATTGGCTCGTCTCTGGTATATGCATATGCCTGCTCTGAGCCCAATGCCGCTGCATAAGTCGCGAGATGGGTCAAAAGTGAGATGGCGGATGTGACAGACATATCGACTATCACATCATGACATATCTATCAAGACCTAGCGCTCCTACTTCCATCGTCACCTTGGACTTGATTCAGAGAATAAATAGGTTTTGCCTGGGTCGTGGCATGCCAGTATGTAGCGAAGGGAGAATACCGGAAACTCTAGCCTAACTAGAATTTCCTATTTAAAAAAGAAATAAATCTATTTCTAGAGCATCATTGAGTAAGTGCATTACGCTCGCGGCCCTTATGGCCTTTTTCTACCTTTGGTAAGATACTCGCGATATGGCAGTGATTGAGAGAACATACTTATTGTACTTTCCTTGTTGAGTAAGATGCAAATCAAATGGCTACAACCCAGCGTGTTAGATAGTTGCCTCTATTTGGAAACGTATCCCTCGACTTTATTAGGCTACACCACAGCTTCATAATTTCTTCATTGGGAGATAACATAGGCCATGAGAGCCAGTGTGAAAATTCCGAAGTGATCTGTGTGTTACAGTCTGCTGTGCGACAGTGGTGTTTTCTGCTGTTGAACCACCTACGTTACTCGCCGCCGACGCCAAGAGAAACTGAGCAGACTGCAAGGTGCCCCCAAATAGTCCATGGGGCCTTGATGATTTGTTGTTGTTGTTGTTGTTGTTGTTGTTGTAATAAGAATAAGTTGACGAAGTACCTCGTCTATTGTTACAGGACGCAGTCCCTAGGACGACGCTGACGCTAGCAAGACTATTGTGCACCACTTATCAAATTGAAAGGGCACAGCGACCATCAAGGATATCGGCTTCGAGCCCGACCCGCGCTACGAAGCGGCTATCGAATACGCTCGTCTGCAGGCTGTCAGTCGTCTGGAACAAATACAAAAGGGTCAGCAAAGGCTGTACGTACGTACGCAACAGAGCAATTGGGGGAAAGGAGTGGCAAAAGGGCCAACGTACGACTGAATGAAGAGAACATACAATTTTAAATCAGCGACCTAATAGCTGACTAGCAGTTTGGTATGTCTTGGAGGACACTGAGACGGAATTTCTGTTCGTACTCTCAAATAACTCACCTTCTATCAGTTTTCCATGGTCGTCAGCATGAGCTGAAACTCCTACCGGCGTGGTGTCAAGTCAAAAGACGTGTCCAAACACATGCATGCATATTTCTCATTAAACGGAATAATCTTCATTTTTCAATCCCGAATCGAGCAAGTTGAACGCTACAGCCAATTATATGACCTGCGCGTTAGAGCACGAAGGAAACGACAACGTCGAGGCGAAGTACGTGTGCACCCAGCCTGGTGGGGGAAGTGGTTCTTGTCACCTGAAACACCAGGTGCATAGCTGGAAAGGATCTGACCGTCCAAAAAGGTGACTTTCAATGCCACATGCATCCGACCCTCGCGGTTGGATGATGCTAGAAGACAGGATGCTAGCAGATGGGAAACAACAAGGATGATCCAATCAGCTGACTAAATCTATCAGTGCTTCAACGAGAGTCATCCACAAATCAGCAAATCTGGATGGATTAGGTCCACTGTACCAATGTCGAAAAGCCAAAAAGTTGTCCAGGCACATCACCTAGTAAGTACGGTTCTTTTATATCTACATAGACGTCAATAAACATTATAACAGGGCCAATAGCACCGTCTTTTCCATCGCCAGAGTCAACAAGAGAGGGCAAGAGCTAACAGTGTAATTCAGAGAAGTAGTCTAACTATGTATAACTGACGTGTGCAATGAGGACTCGAAATAGGGCTCGTAGGAATACGGCATCAAGTCCTGTGGATATAACCCCTTGTTACTAATACTTACTTGGCTTAGAGTGGAGTAGATAATTATAGTCCAGATAGCGGAGTCAGGCCTCGGCCTACACCCTTGACTTGCCGAAAGAATCAAAACTATACCAGAATTATCTACGCCGGGCCTCAATGATTTTGTCTCCGCAGAGTCCAGCTTTGTATTCAATTTCCTGAACAAGCGTTCTGTTGTAAGTAATCGGGAAGTGTCTTGTGATACTCACTCGTTGCTGATAACCCATGTTACAACAGCCTACACCGTTATCGCACTGGCATTAGGAGCCTACCAAGTAGTCAGTTACAGGGTTTGGATGATTGAGTAAGGGCCATTGTCCATCATGGTATGCCATCCCACACACATACTTCGCGAGAGTAGCAAATTACTGTCTAACTAACCTGTGATTCGCAAAGCCTGTGCACAGGTCCTAGTCACTCACTAGACCTAGCCCTGATATCCTGGGGGTCCTAGTCTTGCTGCTCCAGCTTTAGCTACCAGTCGCAGAAACTCCTCAGTGTTCTACACCACTCTTCTCATCTGTACTTACAGAATTAGATTACCAATTTTCTTTCCGGTTCTTCCGCGCGCGGTTCTCTCTGTGGATGTTGTTGTCAGCTCGTAATCTCTCCAGAAAATCAACCAATGCTTCACCTCACCTCCTTTACGTCACTGATTTCATGTGGCGCCCGTCCCTCTCAGGCCTACCCTCGGCAGCCATTTGATTTTTCTCCAAAAATAACAACCGCTCTCCCACCCCTCATTAAGTAATTTGTCCGTCTTTCCAACCTTCTGTTCCATCCCTTCTTCTCCCCATCAACCTAGATATCTAGCCGAATCGTCTTGAGTCTATGCATATTCATTGTTCCATTTGTTCGTTTCCTTCTCTCTGACGCATCCGCCGTCAGGTTCTTTGACATATTCACTTCATGTTCCCGTCGGCCAAGGAACACGACATCTCATATATCAATCAACTCGGAAGACAACATTGGTTAGGACTAGCATCAGTCATTTGTCTATTCGCCGACGCCGCTCCCACAGCTCTCAGCAATACGATCTACGACCACACCGCACACGAGCCATCCGACGCAGCGTTGACCACGGTCGTTGATTGTCTCCCGTACAGGCTCAACACTAGTCCCTCAGTTTTGATTCTCGATCGGCTCCGTCATTGCCTTCTAGATCGACGTTGACGCTCGCTACGAGACGTCCCAACAAAGACGATTTAATACATCTCTCTACTACCTTTCGCCTGGCAGGCGCTCGCAGTTATGGCAGCAGTAAATTATGCCCAGAACATCATCCGCAGGTACATCCATACCTTACAACTTGTGGGAAACCCCACACGTCCATCTTTTTAGTCCGTTGACCTTCTACCAATAATCTGTTGCACTATGCTTAAGGCACCTTTCCATACTATCAAGCTGGCCAAAGTTGCTCTGCTAGCTAATTAAGCCCTTTTTGGTCTGGCTTACTGACTGGTGTCTCAGGAAACTCGTGTTTATCGGTGACGGCGCTTGTGGAAAGACTAGTCTGCTGAGTGTTTTCACCTTGGGCTACTTCCCTATGGTATGTCCTTAGCACCCATTGTGGTCTTACCCTAATTTTTGACCTCGTCTGATAACAGCTACTTCTAGCACTACGTTAGTAGATTACCCACCTTGTCTCCTCAACACCTGTGTTTTAACGACTTCTGAGTTGTAGACTCCAACCGTTTTCGAAAACTACATTACAGACTGCAGGATAGATGGTAAGTCAGTTCAGCTGGCACTATGGGATACTGCTGGACAAGAAGACTATGAGCGACTACGTCCCCTAGCATATTCTAACGCTCATGTCATACTTATCGGCTTCTCTGTCGACACACCTGATTCCCTCGACAACGTCAAACACAAGGTTTGTTCCGATAGTGAACCCTAGCGCTTTGAGTTCTTAAGCTGATGACGGGTAACAGTGGGTAGAGGAGGCCACCCGTCTTTGCCCTAGTGTCCCTATAATTCTTGTTGGATTAAAGCAAGACCTCCGTGAGGATCCAGTCGCTATCAGGGCAATGCGTAAGGAGTCACTGCGCTTTGTTACATACCAGGAGGGCTATACTGTTGCTAAGGAGATTGGAGCCTGGAAATACCTCGAGTGCTCCAGTCTCAGCGGTGTAGGAGTCGACAATGTCTTTGAAGCCGCTACGCGCGCTGCCTTGTTGACCTTTGAGAAGAGTGAAAGAGTCAGCTGCTGCACTATATTATGAGCATCGTTGCCTCGTTGCTATATTTTACCTTGGAGATAGTGGAGATATAAGAGCTAAACAAGCTTTACAGAGGCGACTCCGGTGAGCCTCCAGGTCAGGAGATATCAGGTTAGTGTGACTGCAAAGTTCGTCGGTCTACACCGACTGTGGTGTTGCCCACAACGAGTAGATACCAGCAGCAGTCCAGATAGAGCAAGGAGAACAAGCCAACGTCCAAATAAGCCCACCAAGTGACGATTATCCAAGCTCCTCAATTCGAGCGACTACAGACAGTGTCTCTTTGAGTTGATTGAGACACATCTTAAACGACAACAAGAGGCTGTGACCAAACTTTACACCCCTTCTTTCGCTGAGCTTCCGCTCTTGTTAGACACCTAGCTTTTCAACTTCATCTTATTCAAAGCAAGTGGGATTTCCATCGCTAAGCGGAGAGCACTGATATGCCTGCTACTTGTCAGAGATATCGTAAGATGCCTCTCCTTGTACTTGGCACAAAATATCATTCGTAAGGGCAGTGATTGGCCATAACGGGCGTAGATCAAACGCTTTAACGAGGATGTTTAATGATTGATATGGCGTAATAGGCTATCTAAATGGTGTGATGAAGAGACCCTATCTAAGCATGGCCAGTGGATACACGGCCATGCTCGTGTATGGCAATGATTTCCATCTGCATGGTGTGGCAATCGCCGTAGCGGATACGCCAAGTTCAGGTTTCAGAAAGCAGTGCTTCATATATCGAAATCACTGACTCTAGCGTTTAGTTGCAAGGTTCCTACATGATCTCTGGACCTAAGGATCAACATATCTGGTCCTCATGATACCCACCCATGTAACTAAGTACTAGTAAAGCTATAAACAGATATCGGCCCTCAGAATACCGCCTTCCTGAAGCTGACCGCCCTGATTAGATTCGGCGCCGAGGTGGCCGCCAGTAGTGCCGTTGGTCTGCTCCCAAACGCCAAACTCGCAATTGTTCTGGTCCCGTACAAGAACACGAACTACATCTTGTGGAATTAGGCTAGGAGATTATGAAGACTGCAGGTATTTGTAAACATATCGCCGGCTTAAAAGTATTTTTGCACAGCGCGACCTCCATTCATATCGTGGTTCGCCAAGCTCTCGCAAGCTACTGCCGGGCTCTCCGAAGGGTGCGCGGAGACTGTTGCCGTAAGATTGAGGGGCGTGAGGCTAGCCCTCACATAATCATCACCAGAATTGTTCCACCACTGCTTATCAGACATACTTTACGTTCGGAAGCTACATCCGGTGTTGTACGATTCCTACTCGTGCCGTGTTTTCCGACTATTGTGCAAAATAAGTGCCGAAAAGTGGTCCGGACTAGCGGTCAGACTTTTCGAGCAAGTAACTCTCTTCAGGAATTTCCGATGTCTAACCATTTATGCAGTGTTCTATATTTCAACTTGGCCATTTTATGTTTTCTGGACCAATGCAGAGTGGAACTCTCTTAAATGCCCCATGTCACAGTGTCAAGGCCTAAAAGCTGATGAGTCTGGTTCTATCTGCTCAGTTGTAGCGGTCGTCACAGTTTCCATCTGGATAAGGGGTCTCCCTACAGTCCCAGACATTGTACCAATGGGGAGATTTACTGCATTTACCATAGGTATGTCATACGTAGTAGCTAAGACCTTTCCCATCCTCTTTAACCTCCGTATATCTTCCACCACCACTCTTTGCGGCCTACGGATATCGCCCGGAGACTTATACATTAAACAACCTCTCTTCTTGCAAGCCACCGATAACCACCACATACCATGTTCCCGAGCGGGCACCATCAGAAGACTCAATCTCTCGACTCCGTATTGTTTATGTCACTAGCAGCACAGAAGGAAGTTGTCAACCCCCACAGCATTGAACTGAAGAGCCAATTGGCGGCTGATGTAGACTCTGTAAGATCTATGTCTCACCAGCAGACGTATATTCCTGGTCATTTCCGGGCAACCCACAGCATGACCAAGTAGCGCTCCGTGTATACGCAATTGCAGAAAAAAGATGGCCTTGCGCGTCGTGTGTTGAAAATACAGATATGACGATGCCTTCGCCGATGTCGATCTGAAAGTCACTCATGGAATGAGCACGTACAGGATTCTACAATATTCTCAATACGACAAGCAGTTTCTCAATTCTGAGACAAAGTCAGACTTGATTGGAGAGAAGTTACATACGCTTTGGGCTGTGTCTTCTTGTTCAAAAAAACTTCCATCGCGAATTGATAGGAGCCGCCGTCTTTTGGGAGAACGAGCTCTCCGGACTCGGCATATTCTGAGCAGAGGGTCAGAAACATACCTCTATGATCAACGAAATACTGCGGCAACTAGCAAGCAACGACCGGCGACTTTCATCAAGCACGCTTCTGTATACAGCTGCGGAGTGTTTCCAGCACGCCCTTGAGCTTGGGGGTGGCTTAACGGACTCCCGGGATGCTGTGCCTCCGCACAAGACGTAGAATCCTTGGTCTCGTGGACCGGCTCAGGCAGAAATTACTGTCAGGTGCTTTAGGTAGAGAACCTCGTGATAGTCAGCCCATATGTTTGCTGCCCCGACCTAGCACTAGAAATTATCTTTGTAAACCTACACCATACAATTGGCTTGAGGGCAACGCAATTAAGGCTTGTCCGAGGCTGTACTGGAAGAGCCTGAACGTCGTGTCAAACATGGTGATACATGCAGATGCCTTCATGATTAACTAAATCCTATGCACAAGTCTCTCCCAGGTGTGAAAAGCAGCTAAGACCTCGCCCAGTCTTCCCACCTAAAAGATAACAAAAAATTTTTACCCAACTAGTGTACAGTACACGAAACATGGACCTCTTTCCTCGTCAGAGCTTACATCTTGGACTAATCAGATCGTCGGTTCCAGTTATTGATCGTGGCCCATGGAGCTTATCTCATCGGCCGGCCTGGGGGACGTGGTGAAGCCTAAGAGTATAGAGGCTTCTGCACTGTAACCATGAGGTGCAGGTAGAGCAACGCGTTCCAAAGCCCCGTAGAGTAAATGCATGAGATGGAAAATGTAGTCAGGGCTGTTCAGGTGGAAAATGCTCTAAATTTGATTGGCCACAGGACTCAGCTGCAATAGTACACTGCGTGTTAGTCCGTTTCAAATACAGGCAAGGAGGCCTCAATCCCACCCGGAAGTTGCTGATCTAACAGGTTTAAAGACCTCCACTAACATCAATAGCAAAAAGCAAGGATCCTTTGTGTTTTAAAAGCCCGCGTGGCCCGTGTGTAGTAGTTATCCGATCAGGTACGGACTGATGCCCAATTCAAGCCTCCGTTCCTCGCTCCATGTTTCAATTGACCCAATGATGTTCAACCCGCTAGCACCATTGGTACTCAAAATTCTGACGTAAGCTACACGGTTTCATTTAAACTCTTAAGGTTATGGGATATGACTCAAAACTACCATTTATGGATTCATTGTGGAAGGACTTCGGGCTAAGCACAGTATTGCAGAGAGCCCAATCTCTAAAATTCTAGCGACCATTAGCACTTAACAAGGAGATAGAGTAAGTTTAAATAAAACCCGTCATTTTCTACATCCGATGATGTGAATTAGCCTCGCCTGCGTCACCTTGCGCTTGGGGCCTCCGGCATTCTCGGGACCGGCGGTGCATTCGAATTCGTACCGTACAGTGGATCACACGACCCTGACTGATCCATTGAGCTGAACCTATCCGCGGATGAGCCATTGAGCACTCAACAGCAAAGATCAATAATACGTGAAATTCCTGTGTCTGGAGATGTACAGTATGACGGAACAGTTGGTGCTGGCATCTTCGTACTAGCTCTAGTTAGGCACCAAGCGCCCTTTACACTTACCAAGGAGCATCCTGGCGTTAAACAAACGACTACAACAAAGATAACGGCTGTGCTGATACCATATTTTCATAAGCAGTAGGATAAAAATACTTGCAGCGGCTTTTCCCGACCAAAATCCACCTTTCATACATCGATTTTGGTAGTACGACATACATCTCTGCTGTTCTCTGCAAGTCTGCCATTTCTCGATACTAGTATTACAGCAAAAGCTTAGGATGAACAGTTAACGGCATTGACCAAAGATCAAGCTACATATGCATATCAGATACTTGGCGATAGCTTTGGGTGGCTGCTACGCCTAGGGATTGCACCGATAAGTACTACGCCTACTCGGGTCGCACTCGAGATCATAATATACAGTAGGTAATGCGCTTTTTCAGTGCTATCTTACGGAAGAAGGCCTTGTCTGTGTTTGCAGGGTCCTGTATCAAAAACGCACTCCCTGCCACACCTTAACCTTATTTTTACTTTGCGTCCACCCAATTGGCTAGATCGCGTATGCCCCGCTAAGAGTGAGTTTGTTGCCGGCTTAGCCTGCCTGCTTACGCCCCGACTTTGGAGCACTGAAGTACGTATTCGTAGTGGGCCGCCTGGCCCAGGTACTGTCACTACCGTATGTACTCAACATATCCTTACTACCCTAGGGCCCAAGGTAGCTTAGTGCAGAACCTGGGCTAGGCCGGTTTTCGAAGGCGGTCACCAAGCCTACCAGCCGTCAGCGGACCGTCCGTCCATTTTTTGCCAGCTGACACATATGAATAGCCCCTGCCGTAGCAGCACCCCTACCTTGTTTCTGCCAGCACGCTAAGCCCTATTGAATTGTCGCTAGGCTTCTCTAAGCTACCTTGGGCCTTAGCGTCATACGGATATGATGAGTACCTATGGTACGTCCAATCCTCACCTGCCTGCCTTTGAAACATAAGATACAGATGACAACGTCACACAATTTAGCTCGCATGGCTTGTCAAACGCATCCGTTGACGGGACTAAATTTCATACTTAAGGGGCTCGTTTGCTGAAACTCATGAGCCACTACTCTCTACGCTTATGAATGCCGGGACGCATTCCCACAAGACGGAAGCAACACGCCTCATTGGGCTGGTATATCACACTGCCTTATCCTTAACACATCGGTTGCCCCTGATGGCTCGGTATGGTGTAACAAGGGTAAAGACCGGGTGCACTACATGCAAGTGGGTGGCTCCCGCAAAATTAACTTACGGCGGTCCTCATTTCCTTCCTCAAACAGTCGCTAACTAGCCCAGAATCCGCAGAGTCAAGTGTGACGAATCGCGTCCAGCATGCAACCGGTGTGTCAAAACGGGCAGGAATTGCGATGGTTATGCTATCCTGCCGGTGGGAGCGTATTCGTGGCCCGAACTATTACGCCCGCCCGTAGCGCAGATGGCGCCCGATACCGAACATCGAGCTCTAGCCTTTTTCAGGAGGGCCGTCGCACCCCAGTTATCCGGTCCTTTCGATGGCTACTTTTGGACCCACCTGGTTTCTCAAGTCTCTTGCCAAGACGCTGCAACGAAACATGCCCTACTAGCAATCAGTTCGTTATACGAAAAGTTGAACGAAGACCCGCTGGACCAACTTGGCGAAAAGAACAACTTTGCAGTCACCCACTATAACGAATCTATCAAGCACTTAATGCTCACCAACGATCAAGAAAGAGTGCTTCTTGTCTGCGTCCTCTTTGTCTGCATTGATATGATCCGTGGCGACAGCCAAGGTGTTATCGATCACTGCCGACACGGTGTTAAAATCCTGAACAGCATCCGGTCCAGGTCCGCCTTGACCAGAGAATACCTAGAGCCGGTTTTCTGTCGCCTCAGTACGGTGCCATTCTCACTTGGCGTCCGTCCGGAGGCCTTCCCGGACTTTGAGTCACCATGCGTCGCCCCGACAGCACCATTTTTCAGTTTATCAGATGTCCAAGCAGCCCTGGAACCGCTACTTTTGCGGGCCATCCGCTTCATACGGGCCGCAGACGCGTACCGGCTAGGGGAACCGTCACATCCCAAGCCTGACACGAAAATGATACAAGAGCGACATGACATTAACGGGTTGCTTGATGCCTGGTTAATATCGTATCAGGAATTCAAGAAGTTCAGGGCGATTCGGAAGAATAACCGTAGGAAAATGCGGGAAGAGATTATCGAATACTTACTCAAGTCGAAATGGCTTGTCGGCAAAATCTGGATCGATACATGCTTCTCTCGCGACGAGGCAATTTACGATTGCCATCTGGAGAAGTTCCATCAGATTATAGATCTTATGAGACAAGCAGGAGTTATACTGTTGTTGGATAAGTATCCCCGCGCTAAGTTTACATTTGAAATATGCTTCGCCCCGCTGCTAGTTTTTGTTGTTCTCAAGTGCCGTTTGCTGAGCTTGCGGGTGGCAGCAATCAAGCTTATGAAGGCAATAGCCCATGAGAAGGAGAGCTTGTGGGGCCTCAGTGCTTTTACCGCGTTTGGAACTAAGGCAATCATGTTTGAGCACGGCTTACAACTTAGCCCGGGCGAAGACATTCTGGATGTGGTCGACGACGGCTCGTTACCTCCAGAAGAGCGGCGGATCAAAGAATCGTTCAAGCGGCCTGAGATGCGTATAGTATCTGGGAGCAATGGTCTAATTACTGTATGGAGGAAAGTCGATCTTCTGTTAAGGGAACCAGAGGGGCCTATCACAGTTAAGGAGGAGTGGTATTCAATACAACTAAAGCCCAAATCCTGATTACTGTTTTGCACCCCTCATCTGTTTGTCTTGTTAATTCCAACTGTTGAGAAAAATGCAATTTGTCCTCTGCACGCGCATGAAAGATGCAATATCGACACTGTCGTTCTTAATAAGTACGTTAAAGGCCAGCGCCGTTTCCCAGTTTCTCTGTTCGAATTAGTATCCCAGAGTATCTCTACATATGTCGCATAACGCATATGGTTCGAAGGTATAAAGGCACTGACGGTGATGGGGACGATGTTGTTTTTGTAGAGTCCCTACAATCCGCGCTTTTGCGACGATCAAAAAGGTGCGCCATCTTGATTCGTTTTGCATCGAGAACAATCGAGTCGTATCGACCTCGAGGCTTTCCAACTAAGCCCTTACTTGTTTACAAAACTCCCATATGAGATTAAAATCAGGGATGATATGGAAAATAAAGTCGTTGACAATTCCACTACTTCTCAGACAACTGCTTGGTCTGGGCCAGCATAGATAACTAGCTACCAAAGGTGCCTAGACCTAGTCCAGCGTTCTTGAAGTATAGAGCCAGAAACGCTCAACCAATATTTTTCTCAAGAAGAAGCAGCAGCCATCAATGGATGGCTACGCCGAGCTTGGAGTCAAGACATTGGACACTGTGGCAGAGATTCAATGAGCATACCGTGACCTAGCGCTGCGGTGTCACTTCAACAAGCAAGCGATCTGAGCATGTCTTGACGCGAAAGAGTCTCGTAAGGTGCGATGACCTCTGTTCCAAGTCTGAGAGGGCTCCTGTCCCGACTGCAATTCAGAAATGCCCTGTAACAGAGACCAAAGGCAGCTTCGAGGGGCTAGATGAGAACGACAACCTGGGATGTGTTCAACACAAAGCACTTCGAGAAGGAATGCCACGGTGAAGCTTGGAATTCCACACAAGCGCGCATTACTTGAGATCATTTACCAGTGTTCTGTTACTTGCAAGAAACTTCGACATCGCGCTTGTCGCAAAAATGTGTCGAATTGAAGCTCACTGAGATGACGATGTTGAGTTCAGAGACCCACCTCGGACTCGGAGGTTCACATCGGAGGTGGGCCAGGCCGGCGAGATTCCAAGTCGAACGAATAATGAATGCAATCGCCCACCATCAGACAAACCCGAGAAAGCCAATAATTTCAGACACAAATTGGCTTGGTTCCTTTAGCGTCTGACAGCTGAGCGTCTAGCGCCATCAGCACTAAACCCGGTCCGATCAGCCATTTGCCCCTAGTCGTCCTTGACCAATAATGGGTCGCCAGCGGCAAGCATTTCGCTGCCTAGGGAGGATTCAACACCACGAATTCATCATATATCTTACTCGTAGCCCAGACTCATCGGTTTAATTGTATCTCTCCATTGCTGCCTCTTGGCCCTTTCTCGTGCTTTGAGGATACCATGGTGAGCATTTCGGGAGTCGAAGGTGGCTTCGTGCCATTCACGGCACTAGCCGCGATCCCAGTGCTCCTTTTGGTCGCGTACCTTGCTGCCAACCCGGTGTCAATGTACCCGAAAGAGCCGCCCCTCGTTCTTCCAATAGTGCCTTTCGTTGGCCACATCATAGGGATTCTGCAGCACTCATGGCAGTACCTCCACATGATTCAGTTCGTTCTGGCTCATCCAATGACTTCAAGGCCTCAAAACCCACTAACTTGATCTCTTTAGCACCAAGCATCACCGCGCAATATTGACCCTCCCCATGCTCAACGGGAAAGTCTATGTCGTTAACGACCCAGAACTCGCGCAGGCCGCCCTCCGTAATCGGTCCCTTAGTTTCGATCCGTTCTTGAGGGACCTCATCAAGGGCATGGCCCGCGTCGGCGCTGAGACGATGAAGATCTGGGATGACCCTACGTTCTACGGTCGCTGGGTCAAGATCCTTTACGGTGGAATGGCGGGGCAGTCCCTTCTCGGGCTCAACATCTCAGCTGTGGGGCAGGTTGCTGCCAGCTTGAATGAAATTGGGGACGATGTAGAGGTGGAAGACTTGTACACGTGGACTCGTCAGATGTTCACCTTGGCTAGCACAGATTCGCTCTATGGGAGCAGGAATCCATTGAGGGAGGACAAGAGGCTCGTCAATGCCTACTGGTAAGCGATATTTCTTGCTACATCATGAATCTCAAGCTGTACTAACTTCAACAGGGACTATGAGGCCGAGGTGAACAAGCTCATGGTCGGCGTGTTCCCCTCTATCTTCGCTCCTCGAGGCCACCGCGGTCAAAACCTGTTGCAAGAAGCCTTCCAAGCCTTCTTCGATTCGAACTTGCACGAAGGCCCCGACGTTCCGTCCATTGTCAAAGAGCGCCGCAGACTGACACGGAGCTTCAACATGCCCTCTTCCGCCGCCGCCGCAATCGAGCTTCTGTTCCTCCATGGCGCGATATCAAACACATTCCCGACGTTTTACTGGCTATTCACCCGCGTCTTCAGCCAGCCCGTTCTTCTCGCCCGTCTTCGCGACGAGGTGCACGGCGTCATTGAGGAAACGGACCGCACCACGACGGGTGGGAAGAGGAGATTGGCGACGCTGCATATTGAGAAGATTGAGGAGAGATGCCCGCTTCTCATGTCCTGCTTCCGCGAAACGCACCGCCTTTACGCCTCTGGGGTCCTAGTCCGCAAGGTCATGGCTGACACGACCATCTCGGACGGCAAGACGAGCTATGTCTTGAAGAAGGATGGGCAGGTGCAAGGACCGCAGACTGTCCTGCAACTGAGTCCCGAGATCTGGGGCGACGATGCGATGGAGTTCGTCGGTGATAGGTTCCTGAAGATGGCTGAAGAGAAGGGCGAGGCCGTTGTCAACTTTGCACCGAGAGGGTTTCTTGGATTCGGAGGGGGGAAGCATGTTTGGTGAGTTTCACTGCTCTCTCTTTATCCTGCCATCAGCCGAAGCACAGAATCAGAAGAGGAAGATACCTTGAGACTAACTCAAGCATAGTCCCGGCCGGTACTTTGCTAGCGGCGAGCTTTTGGGATCCATCGCACTGCTGATCTCGGGCTTTGACATTACCAACGGGGAAGGGGACGCAATCGCTGCCCCCAAGCCTACGCAAGTTCCGCTGACGGGCTCACTGGGGAAGCCGGGGCCTGGGAGCGATCTCGTTGGGAAGATACGGAGAAGGCCTGGATGGGAAAATGTCCAGTGGGAAGTCGTTGCTTAGCAGACAAGATTAACCAAATTCTCTTTAGGTTGGCTACTGATAAACTAAGAAAGTTTACCACGATGCATGTGATGACTCGCGAAGACGACTGGAGCTGTTAGAACAAAGTATATGTCGAGTAATTTCATGCTGCGTGTAAAACAGAATGGGTATCTATTGCAAGAAAAAAACTTAAACCGCCCTCTCCAATCGGACAACGCCACCATCCACCTCATCTTCGCAGACCTCTTTGACCACGTCATCGTTGTCCTCCTCCTCATCTCTCGCCAACTTCTTCAACCTTGTTTTCACGGTAGGGTCCTTCTCCAGCTCCTGCCACAACTCCAACCGCCACTCATCAGCACAGACGTCATCCTCCTTTCGAACCCAGGGCCACCTCCATAGCCCGGTCAGTATCATGGATCTCTGCAAGGTGCGGAAGATCGTTTCCATGAGAATGAAAATAGTGGTCATGACAATGAGCGTCAGCCACCATGCCCAATCCGCACCGAACGTTTTCGAAAATCCGTCCCGCACGGAGTATGGCGACGGGGAACGGGCGTAGATGGATGAGAGGAAGCCGTTCCACGCCCACCAACCCGAAAAGGTGATGAAGAAGCACGCCATCATAATGGTTGATTTGTAGTGAGTTTCAAGGATACTGCGACACAGTTAGTCTTGGGACATGTTCGGATGAGATTCGCCATCAGGTACTTACAAGCACTTGTAGTTGATCCAGACGACGCCCAACGTAAATGAGAGATCACCAACGGCAAAGAGACCCTGGTCGCTCGAATGCGCGAACCATACATACCCCGCCCAGACGCCCCAGTACGCCAACACACCTTGACACGCCGCCGAGAACATCCAGGCGGTGTACTTGACTAGATTCAGTCCCATGTTTCGTTGGCCATACACGTACAGCTCTGGGACAGCGAGTAGGGTATCTGCGCTGAGATCTTGCTCCCAAATACCCATACAGATGACGCAGAGACTGGTGAACAGGGTGTTGAAGACAGTCAAGCTGGCCGATTCGTACAGCGAAGTACCCGTGTAACCGTTGTAGCGCTGATACATGGCAGTGGGCAGGTAGAAGAACATCTCTTTCCAGAAAGTGCACAGAATGAACTTGGCAGTCCGGACGTAGTTCCATCGGCCGTGCACCAGGAGCAAACGCTGCAAGTATCGGAACTGGGCGATGGCGTAATCGGCCACTCGAGCAGCCTGCAGACCCTCCTTTCCCGAAATTCCGACGCCGACGTGGCTGGCGGAAATCATTGCCAGGTCGTTGGCGCCATCACCAATAGCAAGGGTCAGTCCATGACCCATGCGGCCTCCCGACTTACGAAGCTGCGAGCGGACGGTCTTGACCATAAGAGCCTTTTGCGCCGGCGAGGCACGGCAACAGATGACGGAGTCAACGAAGGGCACAACCGAGTAGAACTGGGCGGTCAATTCAGGTGACTTCTCAATGGCAGCCAAAGACTGTCCATCGATGACGACAACGCTGTGGACACAGCCAGAGTGCAAGTCTTCAGACAGCGCCATCAGCTGACCCTGAAGATCTCCCTTCGACACATCAAGGGTGAAAAGGTCAGAGACGGGCTGGCAGATGCGTGTCGAGTGGGCAATGTTGATGGCCGTCTCGCGCTTATCGCCCGTCAACATCCAAACCTTGATGTTAGCCCGTCGAAGCTTGTCGATGGTCTCCGGTACGCCCTCTTGCAGTTTGTCCTCGATCGCGGATGCGCCAACAAGGCTAAGAGACTGCTCAATGGTCTCTGCCGCAGCCTCGATCTTCTCCTGTCGGTTGATCAAGCTAGTAGCGGCTTCATCAAAAGATTGCTTCCACGTGCGGTAGTCCTGCTCAGAGATGAACTTCTGAGCGAAAAGTAGCGTGCGCAGGCCTTCGGTGGCAAAGTCGTCCAGGTGTTTGAAACAGCGAGTAAAAATAGTCGAGTCATCGGCAATGGCGGGGTCGTCGAGGAATGCGAACTTCTCGGGGGTATGGTGGGCAAGGTTAGGAGAGGCTGGCGATGCATCAAACGAGGTAGTACGGATGTTGATCGAGGGTCGAAGTAAATCGCCGGATTTGCCCAGCCTGCTTGCCTCGAAAGACTGGCTGCGGTCCACGTGAGGTCTTGTACTCGGTCCTGGAGCATTACGTGCAATACCGATGCTTCTTCGCAGAGACATGCTTGCACGGCCGCTGACACTGATTGTTGGCTCTTGTTGTTCGCTCTTCCGAAGAAGCTCGTGTTCCAGGTCCGCGCTCTTGCGAACGTTCTGGGCTTTTTGCAAGGCCAGATTAGCCAACTTCAACCTCGGAAGAATAACCGAATCGGCACCTTTGCAAATAATGCAGATCCGTCCATCAGGGTACCGTACGACGATAGACATCCTCTTTCGGTGGCTGCTGAACTCAATGACATCCAATATCTCGAACGTCATGTCCTTCCCAGTGTCGCCAGCATCCGAGGCGTGTCGCAATGTAATATTCGAAGACGTTCGAGAAATGACACTGTATCCCAGCTCCTGCGCTGCTCGAACGATCGCCAGTTCGTCTGGAGATGAAGACTGGTACTCCACCTCGCCATCGCGAATTTCCGGTAGACAGGTGTGACAAAGAGCCATGGCCAGAATGTAGTCCTTGGCTCTCCTGGCGAACAGGGAGTGAGGTCTCAAAGCAATGAACTCCAAAAGTTCTTTAGTAGTCACATCCGGTTGCACATGATCTGGGCGACCTGTGGAGCGCCACTGGGAGGAGGATCGTCGGGTAGATGGTGCACGAGACTGGGCCATAGATGGCCTTCCAAGAGCTGTTGGCGACTGGACGTAATCATCGACCACGGCATCCGCCCTTATGTACTGAGTCGAAACTCGAGGACCTCCTTTGACCTCTGAAAGCGTGTCAACAGAGCTGCTCTCGCCGCCCTCGGCCTCAAGGTCGACATCGGGTTGATGAAGCCATGCTGTGCCCGCAATGCTTAGTTTCCGGAACTTCATGACGTTCTCAGTAAGTGTGCCCGTCTTGTCGGTAAATATGTAGCCCACTTGGCCTAAGTTCTCGAGAATCGTGTTCGTGTTGCAACGCGCAGGCGTATCTGTCTTGGCATGGTACATCTCAACATCGGAGTTGAGCATGAGCAGCTGTCCAACTTTGACAATCTCGAGACTGACGTAGAGCGCCAGCGGTATGACGTTGTTGAATTGAATGATGTAACCAATGATGATCTCGTGAAACTTGACTTGGGCATCTTTGAGGTACCATGAATTTCTTTCCTGCGACCTCTGCCACATGATGTATCCCATGGAGCAGCCAACAGAGAGGATGATGACATAAATAGCGAGGGTGATGACAATCTTGTTGGCGACGGTTTCAAGGGCTGGCTTTTTCGCCTTGGGATGCTGATTGGCGTTCATGCGGATTTTGCACTCTTCGCCTGTGTTGATGACGATGCCGATTGCATATCCAGTGTTCCTCAAGATGCTCCCGCGGTAAATGACTTCGGCGGACGTGAGTGGCAGCGACTTGCCGTCTACAGTGATCTTGCCATCGAATTTGTATAAATCAGGATTTGGGTCTTCGACAGCGAGTTCAGCGTTGGACATGGTTATCTTTTCAAACGTATCATAATCCTTCAGGGCTGCCGAAACTTGCTTGCTCTTGAGGTTTGTCTCGCCGTCCAGTGCCATCGTTTCAATGTAAGCGAGGCCATTTTCTCCGTCGGTGGAGAGCAGCACAATGTCGGCTGGGACTGGGTCATCTCTTGATAACCTGATGAGATCTCCAACTTCAATATCACACCATTTTGTGGTTGTCCAGGGCCCGTCATCTGGACATGTTTCCCGCCCTTTTTTGCTCTTCACAAGCAATCCGCGGAGCTTTGATAGCCAATCCTGCGTGGCCGTATTGCGATGCTTCGAGCGCTTGAGGACGCGTGCTGTTTCCGCATTCTCCACCTTGTCGAGCCGATGCCGCTTGAAATCGTCATATCCCTCTTTGGCGATTGTAACCAAAACAAAGAATAATAACGGTAAAATAGTGGTGGTCGAGCCAGTTGTGGAGAGTCCAGGTATGGTCTGGGGCACACCAACGCAAAGAAAATAAAAGTTGCCGATTCGAGAAAACTGGAAAAACAACTGCTTTGGGATGAAGTCGTAGACGGTGTATCGGGACGTTCGGATGGCATTGGATACGTAGGGGTGACCGCCTCGGCGCTCGTCGGTCAAGGGTGCATCTTGATCCAGCCGTAGAGGAATGCGACGGCCATTCTTGGAGGGCGGGAGTGTCTTTTGGCCCAACACCACCTCACGGAAGCCGCTTTTGTACCACGTAAGAGCATCGCGTCCTGTGATAGCGCCAAGCAGTCGCGCCTTGACAGCCTTCTCGTCGGTTCCGGGCGGCGCATCGCCCGGTGGTGCGTCGGGTGTCGGTTTTTCGTTCATCGTAGCGGCATCTGTCAAGCGAGTGACAATTGCAAGAGTTGCGTCTTGCAGGGCGGGTCATTTCCGAGCGCAAACGAGCGGTCGCATCGGTTCGGAATGTGCGCGAGTCGAACGGTAGCGGCGGAGGCGACTTGGGCGTAGCGACCGAGGTCTCCGGATGCTTCAGTAAGGTTGGACGTGCAAAGACTCGAGTCGGAGAATGTGCGGCGCCATTTCACCGTTTCCCCAGACAGCTTCGACGACAAGAGAGGAGACGCGTGTGGAGATAAGTGACGGAGTAAAAAGAGCGGGCATTGAGTTCGTCATTAATGGCCTGCCAGCCCAGGCGCGGTGGGCTGCCAAGAAATCCTCGCGAAATTACGCAGTAGAGCCTGCCGACGCAATCTGTTGCTAAAGATATCGATTAGCCACGCCTCTCCAGGCCTCTCCAGGGCAGAAATCGCTGCATTAGCGGGCAGGTGCCCCATTGGAACCATGATTCCGTGTTGATCTCCCCACGCGGTGGGTTCAACTGGCCAGGGTTCTCGCTGGCTGCTGGTCGACGGCCCTTGTGGCGGTCATGTCTCGTTGCATACGGTACACTAGTGCAAGGTCTCGACCACTCTGGCTGGGTAGCAGTGGGGGTCCGCGGCTCGGTCTCGAGTGAAGTCGACAGAAGGTTACCCAAGGTTCAGGAAAAGCCCGCCGCCATCGTCAGCCTAACAGCCAAATCTTGTCCCACGTGCGGTTCATGCGGTGCGATGATGGGCGAAAAGCTTAACGTTGCGCTGTCCCCCACTAGGACGCCAAGAACGCTGTGCGTATTTCGTTAAGACACCGCAGTGATTGGCTACGGGTTGCACACCGCAACAGCTCCGAATGCCGCCCTGGGCTCATGCCGTTTTGACGTCTTTTTCCGCATCCCGCGTCCGCAACATCCAACGGGACGGGGAAGGCATGCGGCGGCTCCCGCGATAAGAGGTCCGGGCTTCAACACCATTGGCGTTCCCGTTGTCTGCCGTACATGCACCCGCATCGAGCCAATGCGTCCCGAGAATAGACGGCGACCAAGGGGCCAGTCAGCACGGGTGCCATCCGGTGTCTTCCATTTGGCTACCCCTGTAGAATGCTTTGAACTCTTCCACGACAAGCGTCATACAAGTTAAAGGTTCGGGTGGGAGCTGAACAGGCAAGATCCTAAGTCGCGACGTCGCAACTTGGTGGAGTATCTCGCACGCGTATTTCTGGGTGGTCGCCTTGAAGGCAGGGCGGCCGCGGTGTTTATTCGCTGCCGGCACACTGTGCGTTCTTCCAGCCGAGCTGTCGCACGGTCAAAGTTTGTGGTGCCACTGTCTCGTCTGTTGCACGTTGACAATAACAATTTGAGTGGGATGAGAGACAGATGCGAAGGAGGCGAAGAGACAGCAGAAGCATCGAGGGCGGGGCGATGAGGTACAGTGCGGCTGCGACATGAGTCAGCCAAATGACCAACCTAGCCACACGTGAGCCCGGAGTCAGGGAGGGCCAGAACACCGTGTTGCTTGGAAGAGCACTGTACATCAACCCCCGCAACGACCAGCATGACCCCGTCCTTTATATCCTGGAATGCCGGGCCCTTCAATCAACTACTGTCACAGGCCGCCTCGCGATGGAGCACAAGCTTCGGGAACTTTCTTTGGTATACGAGTCGATCAACTAGTGTATGATGGCCGTCTTGGCTGCCTCGTCCCCTGGAATCTCAAAACACTCAGCCTTTTGCCGTGCAGCTGATCCGATCGACCCTGAACTGCCTGCATGCCCCCGCAGGAAGTGAAGATTGCATTGTTTGAAACACGATGATCCCGACCGCAAATCGTCAACGGTGAAAAGAAGCAAAGGATATCTCTTGATGCCTGCACAGAGAAGAACAAGTAGTAGAAACAAGATGTAACAACACAAAAGTCGTATGCTTCGTATACCCCAATACCAGTCGTGGTCCACCACCCCCGCCTCAGAACCGTGCCTTCGTGACATTGCCTACTTGCGCCTCTGTGCACCCGCGGCTGTGAGCTTCTGCGAGATGAAGTCGGCCATCTCATCGGCGTTTGCGCCGTAAGACAAGTGGGCGGGGAGGATGGTGAGCGTGCCCCTGCAGACGGCGTCGCCCGCGGCGCAGATGATCTTGGTCTTCTCCTTGGGGAAGTTGGGAATCTGACCCTTGTCCTGGGTGTTCTGAGTGTCCCCAAAGGTGAAGGCCGCAACGATCTGGTCCTTTTGGGCCTGCGGGAGGTCCTCAACCGCGCGATGGGTGAGTGCCGCGCCCTGACTGTAGCCGCCCACGACAAGCATGGAGTTGGGGCAGTCGGAGTTGGCCTGGGCAATAAGCCTCTTCATCTCGGCAATGCCTTTGGGGTCCGCGCCGCCGGGAAGCGTGTTGGTCGCCAGGCCAGCTGCGTAGTCGACCCCCTCGACAGCTACGCTCTGGAAGTTGGCCTTGACGCCGTTGGCAGTGGGAGGGCCGCAGACGGTGCCCATGTTGCCGACCTCGGTCGAGCCGCGAGCGAAGAACATGATGACGTCCTTGCAGCCGCCCTGGCTGAACTCCTTGGCCGTGGAGCCTACGCGGCCGCTGCGCTGGCGGGCTTCGAGTTCGCGAGCCTCCAGGTCACGAACGTCAACCTCGTTGATGGACGTCTCCGATAGAGTGGGAAAGGCAGCCGCGACGGACGCAAGCGCGAGGATGTTGAGGAACTTCATCGTGACTGGAGTAGCGTTCTGAGACTGACAAGACAAGATGAAATGCTCGCTGAATAGGCTGAAGAGAATCGCGACAAGAGAATGACTGCCTCCGGGGCTGAGATGATGGGCGAGCTAGCTGCTACGTTGAGTTGGATGCCTGAATGACGATGAGATGAAGGTAGTCTAGAAGGGACTTACCATCAGCCTTTATACAGAGTTGCTGCACGTCAGCCCACGCCGTTGGGCCGGCCTTGAGATGAAAGATGGTGCAAACCTCGGCCGTCGTTTGGGCGTTTCCACCATCAAGTCACGCCCGTCCCATAGCTCCAACTCAATTCAGCCAGTCGCATCTCTCAGAGCGCCCAAGTCAGGCAGGGAGACCACTCCCCGAAGAGGTATCCCTTGACATGTAAGATGCATCCGGGGTTCGATGTGGATGATGATATCCTGAGGCGCAGGTTGAATATGGGATGTTCCGAATCGCAAGTCTGTCCTTTTTGGGAAACACAACTCCTCTGCTGGCGAACGCACGGGTTCAAGGGTTCTGGGATGTGCCAGCCAAGCCACCGGGTAGCCCCCTCTGCAGGGTCCAGCAAGCTAGATGTCCCCCCTACGTCCGGAGGCCCAGCATGGAACCTGGTCGATGTCGTTTATCGGAGATCCTAAGGGCGGGATGGACGGTCCCCTGAACCGAGGCACCGGTGGACGTCTTCTCGTCGGTAGCCTAAAGACGATAAAGTAGGGAGCCCCGTTCCGAGCAGTCGATTGGAGAAGGATGGCTGCGTTTCGCAATACCTATACGTTTGGAGAAGGAGCCAGGGTCAACGAGTCTCAGGCCGGGGAGTCGGCCGTTAAGGTTGATGATTCCCGCTTCATGCAGGTCATTTGCTCGTATACGATCCAGAAAGTCATACTTGTCGGTCTAGAAAAAGAAGAAAAAGACTAAAGTTGGCGTCATTCAGCAGCTGCCATGACTAGCGGCGTAGGCAGCGAGAACTGGACGGTTCCAGAAGAATACGACAAGACACTAAAGTAAAAGAGAGAGTAGTCAACAATACTACTTTGGCTTTGGACATCAGACTTCAGACTTCGAAGCAGCTGTCAGTGACCCTCCCGAAATATTGCTTCGCCACTAAGCAGCAATTAGAGTGGGACACAACCATCAGCCACGAGGTTCCCTGCCGGGAAAGACGGCGCTTGTCGATAAAAGGTCAGCTTGCGAGTTTTGACGACGTCCGTTGTGGGCCATCAAGTTGGGTTGAACAGGATGCGTTCTACAAGTTCCAACCTGAAACTTGAGATGACCAGATCGAAACAGAAGATTATTGTCAGCGGAGACTCCTGAACAAGGATGGGGCCGAGGGCTCCGGCCGCTGACTGAGAGGCGCCCCCAACTGCCATGCCTATTCCTGACAAGCAGGCGTTATGCTCCAATCCTTGGTCTGACATTTGGTGTGGTGTGCGACGGTTGACTCAGGTAGCAAAACAAGTCCTCTTTCGGGCAGCTAGGCGAACGCTCGTGTGGCTTGACACTTGTCAGAGGACCGAGCGCCAAATTGGCGAAGGGAACGATGACGCGGGAAGCGCAGAGTTTGGACATAAGGGAGTAGAAGCAACCAGGCGGTTAGGTAGTTCATTGAAGGTACGTCGACCGGACGGTGAGTAAAAAGCAAAAGTGTTTCCAACGTTCTAGACCAGTGGGTCGGTTAACCAACGTCTTTGCGGGATACGAGAAACAGCGGTTGAACGAATTAAAAGATTTGAGATCGACCTGTCAAGGCACCACGAAGAAGCAAAAAAAAACCTGCGAGCGGTTTCGAAGCCGTCCCCCTTGCGTCAATCCCTCATCTGGACAGACTGTTTTTGTTTGTGAGTGGTTGTAGGAGAGCACAATTTCATAATCGGCCGTAGTGAGTGCTGCAGCGGATCTGAGGGCATAATGAGTCGTTAGATTGATGGACCTTGTTGAGCCGAGGTCGGATGCTTGAGGGGGAGGACAAGTCCCTGTCAGTGTTTGAAGGCGTAAAGAAAAATGGAACGAAGGAGGGGAGCCGTGCGCCGGGATAGAAGAACCACAAAGACCAAGCCGAGGCCTGCCGGAGCCGGGCTCACTCACGGAAGTTCAAATCCCGATAAGGTGTCTTCGGATCCGACTTTTCACGTGACCGCGCATGTGGCTGGCCGGTTTATGATTTGGCCGAGTGCCGGGACCGCGGCACATAACCGACTTTCTTCTGGCGAGTGACGTCGTTTCCTCACCGCTGCAGCTGGGACCCTGGATTCGGCAAAACTCTGGTCCAGGACTTCCAGTGTCTAGGCCCAGCTCATCCAGCACCCCACGAATTGTGGGGATCTCTCATCGCTGCACACCACACCACACATTCTCAGCCTTCTGCGTCGTCACACGGCCAACCCATCGCTACCCTGCTGATCCCATTCCCGCGATAGCTCTTACCGACTCACCGATATCTTTCCGCACACCTCTCTCCTTTAGCTCGCAGCCTCTCTCTATCCCGAATAGACACAAGGTCCCTCCCCAACTTTGGAGTTCCTGCGGATTCTCCTAATCAATCATCGTATCTGCATGTCAGCGACCGTTTCCCCTCCGCCGTTTGCTAAGCTCGAGCCTCGCCCCCCACAACCCGAACACGACTTTCGCTGCTCGCCTTAGCTGGAGCCCTCCATTCTTTCACACGCTCCAACACAAACTCGGTAATATTTGTGGTGTATGTCTTCCACAGATCCCACAAATCATTCTCCCGGCCTACCTGGCGACACCCATCATGACTCCGCCACTGTTCCGGTGACGAGCGCCGAGCCCGCGGGGTCGAAGGCTGAAACGCAGCCTCCCGAGCTCGACAACCATGAGAAAGAAAGCAAGCCCGCACTGTCCGCGAAGGCAGCGGGCAAGCAACAGGCGACGGACGACCTGATCGACTTTGGCGACGATAATCTGGAATCGACGCCGGAGACGAAGTCTATCGCCTACTCGGACAGCAAGTCGGCTCGAGAATCAAGCCAGACCGCCTCTGCACCAGCCTCAGAGAATGCACCGGAGCCCATGACTTCCTCGATCGCTACCCTAAAGCCCACGAGTCCTCTGCCTGCCGAAACTGCCACCCAGTACCTCACGATAGAGTCCACGACCTACGTTGACCCAACACCTCCCACTCCCAGCACGTCACAGCCGCCGTCTCGAACGCCGTCGAACGCTACCAAGCGCCGGCCGTCGTCCGAGGCATCCCCAACGAGATCTGACGCCGGCTACGACGAGCGCAGATATGGAAGCGAAGATGAGCAAGAAAATGGATCACGATCCGAAATCCAGAGCATTATGGAGCAATTCACTGGCGATGGTGGAGGACCGGGGGTTGAAGAAGTCATGAGTCCAAGACTGGAGATTGCATCGCCTATGCTGGGTAGTCCTGGCATTCAGCATCCGCCTCGGAAGTCCAGCCTCGAGCCGCTAGTCCCGTCACTGTCCCACCAGGTTCAGGAACTCCAGGGTCTGAGGATACACTCGGCCTCCCCTGCCAGCATTCTTTCTCGAGAGCGGGCCCCCGATGACCAAGGCCCTCCTGTCCCGCCAAAGGACGGTCCTCCCGCAACGCCTTCGCGATCTCACGAAGACAGACAAATGAGCACAGACTCCCAATTGTCTCCTGGTCTGCCTATCCACCGGCCACCGCCTCCTGAACCCGAGCCCGAACCAGCGTTGCCTTTTGACTTTCATCGCTTCCTGGAGCAGTTGCGAAACAAGAAAGCAGACCCGGTTGCCAGATACTTGAAGTCCTTCTTGTCTGAATTCGGGAAGCGACAGTGGATGGTGCATGAGCAAGTCAAGATTATCAGCGACTTCTTGGCCTTTATTGCCAATAAGATGGCGCAATGTGAAGTGTGGAGGGATGTATCCGATGCCGAGTTCGATAACGCTCGTGAAGGTATGGAGAAGTTGGTCATGAACCGGCTCTACACGCAGACTTTCTCGCCTGCGATTCCTCCGCCACAACCGATTCCTGGTGCGAAACCGAAACGGCGAGGGGGTGAGCGACCCATGGGACCCGGGCGACGTGGGCAGCATCAAGAGGACGTGGAACGGGATGATATCCTAACACAAAAGATCAACATCTACGCATGGCTCCGGGAGGAGCATTTAGACATTCCGCCTGCTGGCGACAGCGGAAGGCGGTTCCTCAAGCTCGCCCAACAAGGTTCGTCATTCGAGAGCTTGCGAGACTGCTAGGGCATTCCCTAACGTGTTGTAGAACTCCTCAAGATCAAGTCTTACCGGGCGCCACGGGATAAGATAATCTGCGTCCTTAACTGTTGCAAAGTCATCTTCGGTTAGTTCAGCTCTCGCAAAAGCAATCATGCACCCAGTGAGCTAATCAGCATCAGGGCTTCTCAAGCACTCCAAATCAGACTCATCGGCCGACTCATTTATGCCGCTCTTGATTTATGTCGTCTTGCAAGCCAACCCGGAGCATTTGGTGTCCAACGTCCAGTATATCCTGCGCTTCAGAAATCAAGAGAAGCTTGGTGGCGAGGCAGGCTACTATCTTTCATCGCTGGTAGGTTTATCGTGGTAGTACAGCTTCGCAGCACTTGCTCACTTGTCACAGATGGGCGCCATCCAGTTCATTGAAAACATGGACCGGACAACCCTTACGATCACGGATGAGGAGTTCGAAAAGAACGTTGAGGCAGCTGTGTCTGCGATAGCAGAAAGGCACCGTCTTGACTCGCCGGCAGTCGTGCAGGAGCCCACCTTCTCGGAGAAAACAGGTTTTCAGCTGGGAGACTCCTCCGGCCGACCCTCTATAGACATGGTTGGAGAATCTTCCACACCACGTCGCTCAACATCATCGAACGAAGGCAGCAAAGAAGTCGATGATCAAGCCCCGATTACCGGTCTCCTCCGATCGATACAGAAACCACTCAGCACCATCGGCCGCATGTTTTCTGACGAGCCGTTGCCTGCGCCGCCAGTGCCCAGTAATACCACAAGGCCACCAGGTTCTTCCGAACGATTGTCCCCCAGACCAAGCACAGAGATACCGCCGGATGGGCAACAGCCCGCCCCTCGTCATCAACTGTCGGCTGAGGAGGCTGCAGCCAGGCAGGCGAGCGCCGAGGTTGCAGAAGCGCAACGTCTCAGTAGAGCAGAGCACAATAATGTCGTCGAGACGCTTGCGGGCATGTTTCCCGATCTCGACAGGGACATCATTTCGGACGTGGTATATCAGAAGCAGGGCAGAGTTGGGCAGGCTGTCGACGCCTGCCTTGCCCTATCCAATTGAGGGCATTGTATAGCGGAATCAATAAACACCAGTTGTGCTGGCGAATAAGCGAGTCTTCTGATTTGATGTAGTACTGGCAGCGCTCCTTGTTCTTGACTTTTCTTAGGCTCTTCTGTTCCAGAGTCGTTTGCGATATGGCGAACTGAACTGCATTTTGCATCGCCTTGCGTGCCTTTTTGGTTCGTCAGTCAAGCGACTGCGGACCGTGCTGAGCTAGGAGAGACGCAAGTAACAAGCCTCCCAGGCGTGAAGTGTACATGTTTAAACACTGGACTGTACCACTGGCATACGGACTCTGCTTCGAGTTGGCGATCATTTAGTCCTCATGCCAACTATGTCCAAAGACTAGTTGTTAATCCTTGTTCCCATGATCCAAAAGCAACAGCATCATGTCGCTTGAAGGACTTCATGGTAATATAGGAGAAAAAATAATGAATTTGGCTGAGTGTATAGTCACTTGAACATGATTCATTGCACTGCTTCCAGCTTCGGCCTTACCTATATACCCGTACGTACATGTCCTTAGCTTGAGGTCTTCTCCATCGTCGTCAAGCTCGTCCATCTCGAATTCTAACCAAGTTACCAACGAGAACCTTATCCAACACTCTCAGCCCAATGTATCCCACTGCATCCCAGCCAAAGACTTCCTCTAGTACTTTCAGATCGCCTAGCTCATCTGGGGACTCGTCCGCCAGCAACTAATTCAAGCTACTACCAAAGCTCCATATCGACCACCAATTCGTCGACCTCGCCCATGGTCTAGAGTAGTGAAAACAAAAGGATCGACTACATCCTTCTTGACTGCCTGTTTCAGCACATCTTTTCCGCTCCGCGATTTATGTCAAGATGTACCCTAGTATCTCGATAATTCTAGTCGACCACGCACACCCATTTCATCCCCGTCGCTGCGTCCTCCACTGATATCGACGTAAGAATCGAATTAAATTTTCCTCCTGCACTATAACCATCTTCACCTCTCCTCTCCTATCCTGGGCGTAAGTGACCAACTTTGTCGTTGGCCATCCGGTGACTTTGCTATCCAAAATGAGCACCATTGTTTTGTCCTCGACAACTTTGATTGCTGCTTTTTCCACGGGCGATGTTGCGGGAGCAGACTATCCCCATCATCAGAAGTTCCGGCGGTGTCGAGAGCTTCTGCCCTCATAAGATCGAGAAATCCACCAAGGACGCCCCGAACTCGCCATATAATCCTGATGTCAGTTCCACAAGATCTTTTATATTGAAAGACCCAGGTTGTTGCCTGTTATTCAGACTTTCATGTCATTGCTAGTCAGCGCTATGCTAAAAAGTTATATCCTAACCGACCTTCAGCTCAACACCATGTTCCCAATCTTATATCCTCACTCGAGCTTCAAAAGCGCTCGCATCCCTACTACAGTGTGGGTTCACTAATAAGCCGTCAGGTCCCGGAACACCCCTGCCGCTATCCCACCTACAGCAAGACTGACTAGTACGACGGTCCCTGACCATAAAGAGATCTGTTTCATACAGAATAGTGTTGTTCGAGAGCTACCCAATATGTCTTTTTTTTGTTCTGTAATATCGTCGCCGAGGCGGTGTTGGTATCGGTGTTGGTGATGCTAGCAATCGGCCGCCAGAGACGCGTTTCTTCTCATTCGACAATATGATGATGGCTGACTCAGCGTGATTTAGTGATGAAGTTTAGGAGATCTGGACGAACACTAATTATTGATTTCACCTAGAATCATGCTATGGTACTGGTCATTGCGGTTAATCGAATGTTAACGCTTGATTCGGCTTGTTTCCGGTTCCGAATGAGATGCATTTCGATACTCGCTGATGAGGCAGAGTGTTAGTTCTGAGATGTCTTGCTCGTCTTGCTCGGTCTTGATATTTTCTAGAGTAAGGTCAACCGCACCTGAAACTCCAGTCTGGACAGAACGCAATTACGCCTAGCAATCTGAAATGCTGTGTGCTTCCCGCCATCGCCGGTTCTAGTCTGTTAGTTTTTGGAGTCGATCAATTATAATGCTTACCTACAGCTCTAATTTAATCAAAAGGGTATAAGTTATCCGGATGACTTGCGGAACAAGAGGCAGATTCTGGCCCAGTAATATTCTCATGACGGCGTCGTCTGAGCTCATCATTCTAGCGTGGTCCCCAGCGAGATGTAGGGTTAGTTGGAGTGTTGTATCTTTTCCCCAAACGGACCATGATAACTGAGGATTTATTTACTTCTCTTTTCACCACCTAGTAAGTTTTGAGATCAAGTAGGCTCTGTGTGTGTAATGGCGCGAAGTTTGGTAGAATGGTGCGTGAATGATCTTGTCGCAAGTCATAGCACCGGACAGCTATAAACGCAACCAAAATGGAACCGCTCACCGCTTCTAAAACCCAAGGTCCATAAACGAAGCGGCACATGAAAATTTTGTCGTCATAGTTGATCTTAGTCGACTGAAACCCATGATGAATGGTACGTGAACTGGCGTGCAGGTAGGATCACTAGTTTTTATGTGATGGTGGTTCCAAGCGATGACATGGTCTGCATTGACGTTGGGCCGAAGAACATGTAACAATTTTGGACAGGTACAATGGCTTAGTTTCTAGGACCGGTATTCCGAATGATGTGGGAGGGGAGATGTGGCAGTGCCGAGCTGCCAAGTCCGAATCTTATGATCATGCTTGGCTATAAGAGCGAAGCATGACTTGAAAGGCTTACGGTTGAAGTCTGGCACTAACTCTTCCCCTGTAGAATCAGTGACTGCGGTACACATATTTTTGGATGAAGTCTAGCATTCGACAAAGCTGCTAGGCTAATGGGGCTTCAGTCGTAGGCTTCAACTTATTACTCGTGAGTACTTTCTTTTTCTGCAATTACTACCAGCGTATGCACACCGAGGAGTAAAAGTTCTTCAATCTAGTATGACCACATGATAACAATCGTGGGAGTCCGATGGCCAAGACGCATTGGGAACAGTTCCGTATTTAGCGCGAAAGGAGCCATGGAGCAACAGAAACAAGGTGTACAGATGCTCGAGGATTGTAATCAGATCATTTACCGCAAACAATACGTCGCAAGTTTCGGGTGGATGTCGTAGTTGACAGGTTCCAACCAATGCACAGCGTTTCCAGCAAAGAACACACTTACACCAAAACACTATCACAGAATCAGCGACTAACGTGAGACGATTCGTTGCCCTGAAAACCATGGGAAAATTCAATACAACCGCCTTGCCGTTGCTACTCTGTGGCTTGAGAGAAGCGTGACTCGCGCAAGTGAAGCAAAGGGGCCACTTTTGTCGCGATGGGGCGGGAGACTTCCGTAGATATTTCGCGAGAGAAGGTCCGCTTGTATTGGGAGTAAGGAGATCATCGAGGTAGGCGTTTGTTGGAGTTGTCAAATACTTTGACAGCTGGCGCGGTGAGTATCGCATTCCGTTAACTCGGCTCCTGTCCGGCCAGGCCCTTGTTAAGGGGCCCGGGTTAGGTTGAAGCCGGCCTGCAGCGGGGATCTTAGTCAAGGGGTTGCGGTGTGGGCGGGCCCCAGCTGAGGTTAGGTACTGATAAGCACGGAGGTCGCTGAAGGAACGACCCTAGAAAAATAACCTTAATGCTTAACTCAAACTCTGCTTTCCTCGCCTCCAATTTCGTCAACCTCACCTCCTCATCGCGGGCTTCCCAAGTGAGCCATCCAGCGGTCCGAAACCTTGGAACCGCCCCAGACCCCTTTTTAAGCCCTGCTGGACAGGCTAGAAGGCGGAATCTGGCCTGATGTCGTTTCGCGCCTCCCGGTTTTCGGGCATGCTTACGATTTTGAGGCTGTGGCTCTTACAGGGGCTTAAACACTTGGCGGGGGTTTCATATGGCCCAACATGGGGAAATCGACCAGCTCTTCACACGCACTAAGTGCTTGGGGCTTGGTGAGCTCCCTTTCGGCATACCAATTCCATGGTCAATGCAGCGAACCTTAACCCCCTGGACGCTGCCCATGTTCGTCTCTTCCTTAGAAAGGCTGAGGGTCGCACTGAACGCCGCTGACGTGTGTCAGGTGTCGTTCGTGGGGATTTACTGCGGAGAAGAAAACACTTCTGTATGGCCTCAGATATACTACAGATTCGTTCTTATGGTGCAACTAGCAATGATATGAACCGGCCTTAAAAACAAGTTGCCAGAATGCAATGCCGATAATAAGTAATCATGACTTTCCATTACAGCACGAAGGCCAACAGACAACGCCTTGACATTGCCTCACCAATCTATCATAAACAATCCGCATCATGTCGCGCGGCCATAATTCTCTTGCGATCATCACCGCAACTAGGGACGCCGCTGAGAGCCCCAACTATCCGAGAATGTCGGGTTTCATGTCCCAGCTTAAGCCTGAGCAAGACTAGAAAGATTCAGCCTGGCTGACGGCAGGACCCGATTCCGGTCTACATGTTCTGATTCTAAGGGGCTCTTGCCAGCCAAGGCCACTTACCCTTGACAGTCCCAAGCATCCCGAGTATGCCGGCCAAGCCTCAAGTGTGTCCGTGTCCAGCCGTTCCCTCAACCTCACTCGCCAGTCCAGATTCAGCCCTGGCTAGATGCCCCTGCAAGAGCCGCAAACCCAAAACAGACAGTCCCAAGCTCTTCATCCCTTCTCTTGGAACCGTTCCGTCACTCTTCAGATGGCAACACGACATTTGGTCCCATCTCGACCCGGTCAGAGAGATGCGGCCAGGTTGGTAACACACCTGGTATCCCGCCGTCGCTACCGCCCTCACTACTCCCAGCTCGGCTAACACCGCCAGCCCAACGCCGGACTTGTTACCTTCTCAAACACTCTCACCCGGGGCAACTCCACGAATGACGATACCTAGACATCTCCTTCACACAAACTCCAACACGCCCTTGCTGCACCAATCGAGCCCTGGGCCAGCCACAACCACACCCATCCGTGCATCCGATCTTCCGTGTGCCGGCTGTTGCGGCCCATGCTCGTCAGCCAAGACGACAACAGACCAGGCCCCTTTGAATATAATGACTTTGCCGCTTCCTCTCGTAGTCTCAGTGATCAGCAGGACTGTCAACTCTTTTCTTCATCCGCGCGCCCTCTTGTTCATTCGTTTCTTTCCAGCACTCGGTGACTTCACTCATCCAGTCCGCTGCAGTTTGCTTATTTCGTTTCAATCATCTAGAGACCGGTATCTCGACTCCGTTTAGAGGCGAGCCTCATACGTTCCTTTATTCCTTCTTGTGTCTTTCTTTTCTCAACCGACGACGACATCTCATCGAGCCGTCAGAACAAGCAGTCCCTTCTAGCCCGACACGATGCTTTCTCGATACGGCGTCATATCATGGCTGGCCTTCTCGACATTGGTCGCCGCTAACCCTCCGCCACCGGCCGTACAGCAGTGCGAGCCTAAAACCGAGACCATCGTACACACCCAGACCATCCACGAGACCGTTCACGTCACTGTTCCAGGGGAAAAAGAGACTGTCCATGTGACGGTACCAACTATCATCCATCAGACCGTCCCGGTCCATGTCACTATCCCCACGACGATAAAAGAGACCGTCCACGTCACGGCCCCGGCGCAGACCGTCAAGGAGACCGTCCATGTCACATCCACTATCACCACGGAACGCGTCAAGACGGAGAAAGTGGTCCAGACGCAGCCGCCAGTCCACGTCACCGTCACCAAGACTGAGGAGAAGAAGATCGTCCACACAGCGGTCTTGACCCAGTCCGTTCCCGTAACGGTCGTCAAGACGGAGAAGCAGGAGGTACTCAAGACCGTGACCCAGACGCAGTCCGTCGCCGTCACCCACGTCCAAACTCAAATCCACACGCAGACTTTGGTACACACCAAGGTCGAGACGAAGCGGGAGGTCCAGACCCAGACGCTCGTCCACACCATGGTCGAGACGAAGAAGGAGATCCAGACCGTGCCCGTTACCCAAATTCAAACACAGATCCAGACCCAAATCCACACCGTTCCGGTCACTCGGACCGAGACCAAGGATCGGGTCCAGACGGTGGTCCAAACGCTTCCGCCGGTCACCCACGTCGTCACCCAAGAGCGCGTCGTCTCAGTTCCGTTGACCGTGCCAGTTCACGTCACAAAGGTCGAGGAGAAGATCCTCACTCAGACACAGGTCGTGACTTCGATCCAGCAGGTCCCGGTTCACGTCACCCAAGTCGTAACGCAAGAGCTGCCCATCACCCGCGAGGTCACGAGGGTCTCCCACCAGCTTGTCACGACGACTCTTCTCCAGACTGTTGTCCAGACAAGCGTCAACAATGTCCGAGAGACGGTGCACGTCACTCTCCCGCCTCAGATCGTCAAAGAAACCGTCCACGTTACCATGCCTCCCCAGGTTGTAAAGGAAACGGTCCATGTTACCCAGCCGCCCCAAGTTGTGCAGGAGACCGTCCAGGTCACCCAGCCTCCTCAGGTCGTCAAGGAGACGGTTCATATCACCTTGCCACCCCAGATTGTCAAGGAGACGGTTCACGTCACACTGCCACCCCAGATTGTCAAGGAGACGGTCCACGTTACTCAGCCTCCACACGTCGTCAAGGAGACGGTTCACATCACTCAACCTCCCCAAACCGTTCACGTTACCCTGCCGCCTCACGTGATTCACCAGACAGTCCATGTCACTCAAACAGTAAGCCACTGTGGTACAACTGTAGCAGCTCCCGTTCTAGGCCATGAGCCCTCTCCTCCGCCTGCAGTCCACCCGCCCGCAGCATCTGTACCACCTGTTCACGAGGTTCCCCCGCCAGCGCACCAGACGATGCCATCGGTTAGACCTCACGAATCTGCCCCTTCGACTCATACTCCTCCACCAGCGCAGCATGTTCCTTCGGCTGCGCCCCCAGTTCACGAGGCACCGGCATCGGCAGCCCCTCCCGCGTATATGCCACCCCGTCCGCAGCAGTCCCTGTGCATATGATGCCTCCCGCAGAAGCGGCTCCTTCAGCGCACCCAGCAGCTCCAGCGGAGGCCGCGCCTCCTGCTCATCAAGCACCGCCGTCAGAGGCTATGCCTATTCACACGCCTCCCACGGAGGCGGCACCCGTACACGCACCCACTGAGACGCCTGCTGTACCTGCAGAGCCGCCCGTACCAGCACATCCCATGAGGATGAGGTTCATGCGGCGGACGGAATAAAGAGTTGGGTAGGAAGGGAACGGGTAGGGAGGAGGATAGATATGAATCATAGACATAAGGTCAAAGGATATTGTGCGCGTATAACTTTCTTACATGTAATCTAAATATTAGACGGTAGCTATGACGCCGGACGAAGTTTGATACCCTGTCAGGCGAACTTGAATGGACCACTTATTAATACCTCTCATGATTTTGCACTGTTAAGTCACTATATGAGGATCGAAGAGTACTGTGAAGGCTCTTGCTGAGAAGAGCCCAGATATCACATCCTACTTCGGGGAGCGATAAGAGACACATGCAATATCACTTGAGCCGCCACTCGGTACCCAGTTGTGGACGACCACAGAGTTGAGACACCATTTTTCGAGACATACGGACAGCGTCGCAAGGTTGCAGCCAGATCGCAAGTGTCGTGACCGGTTATCATCCGAGACCCCACTCATGACTCTCTGCGTGAAGGCGTCGCTGATGGTAACTCTACGTGGAAAGGACATCCGTGAACCTCGTAGATTGATGAGCTTTGAAGCTAGTGTATTTTGATCATGGCTCTCATTGAGTATTTGTACAGCTATGTATGTATGTGCATAGTGTAAGAAACACTTCACCTCGGAAACCGCCTTGGTTTCCCCGCCAGCCTCTTACAACAGGTAAGTTGCAAGCAGTGACAGGCCGATCAAGGACATTAGCATACCCGGGGCGGAGGCAGCAGCTCCAGAACCGGGTACGGATGTGGGAGTGGCTGTGGGCGCCGTTCCGTTTGCAGAGTGCTTTGACGCATTAAACTGGGCAACAATGAACTCGACGGCGTCATCGGTGTAGTTAACAAAGTAGGATCCGTGAACACCGGTGTTGTTCCCGTCATCGCAGTAAATATCGCCAGTGTCGCAAAAGGACTCAATCTTGGAGGCGTAGGCCTTGCAAGCCGTGATGTTTTCACGAGGGAAGAGCTAGACACCCAGTCAGCGACGGTTCTAACATACGGGTGCTCTGATTTAAGCATTTCATCAAGGCGACTTACGCCGTTGTGAGTGCTGGTGCCCCTGTTCCAGGATGCGGTGGCGTTGTGCGTGGGGTCTCCAAAGAGAATGACGGCGATGACTGCAGGTTCAATCCGTTACTTTGTAGTGCATTGCGAGGGGAACAGGGACAACAAACCACTTTGGTCTACGACAGATGCAATCACGGGAGTCGTAACGTTGAAATCCAGATCCAGTTCATCGCTTTTGTCGTCTTGGGTGTTGCCGCACAAGGCGTCGCCTGCAACGTGCGCACCCTGAGTCCATGCGTGTCAGCGGGAAAACCAAAGTCAATTCGAAACCGTCGCATTTTCGTGTCCAATTGTGGGCAGTCTGGCGTTCAAGTAAAGGCATGCATGTATGAACCTTTGTGATGTCGGGGTGAGCTTACCTGAGAGTAGCCCAACATCACGACCTTGGAGTTCGGGCATCGTGAGTTGTACTGCGTCAATGCAGTCTTCATGGCCCCCGTACCAACTGCGACGGAACTAGAGTAGTTGTCAAACGTCGCGGGGTAGTCGAGGGGCGCGATCTGAGACCCAGAGATGGCAGCCACAACGCCGTTGGCGACACTGCCGATTCGACCAGATCCGGGAGGCTCGTTGCTCCCGCGGGCCACGATGAGGTGGACGCCGGTGGCGCAGGTAGCGGTCGAGTTCTGCGCCGAAGCGCTAGCGGCGAGTAAGCCCGCGACGGCGGCGGTAGTGGTCTTGACCCTCATTGCGTTGTTGTGGAGGATGGAATGTGTCTTACACGCTGTGACAACCGCCGGGGCTCGAGGATCAGATTAGGGAGAAACGGAAACCAAAAGGCTCATGGGCCAAGAGCTTGCAACTAAAAGCCAAGGGAAGAGCGAGGTATTTAAAGGATCGCCAGTACATTACGTCGCAGGCTCACCGAGCCTGTTAGCCTGGCCTAGAAACTAAGAAAAATGCAAGCCGCGCCTCGGTCCGGTCGGCATGACAGCACCGGTAAGACAGTTCTCCAACTGTCCTGCGTCACCAAAGCGATGCCATTTGCTGCTCCTTCTACGTTCACCAAAGCTCTGGAGCACCACCGATGAGTTGGTTGGGGGGAGGACTAGGTAGTGCATGAGGATGTGTTCGATCGTCAGGGGTCATCCCAGACGGCCCCAATGACGAAGCGAGAGAAGGCCCGCTCGCAGCAAACGCCATCGATGTTCTTCTCTATTTCATTTGCAAACTGGGACTGACAATGAACAACAGGGAGGGGCCTTGGTGCATGGATCCACCAACGAGCTGCCGCGCGTGGTTAGTTCCTCGCCATCCCGCGAGAAGGTGACCTTAAATGGAGAGCTAGTCTGGGGATTCGAGAGAGGGGTTCAAGTAATATGTAGTGAGCATCGGCATTGTGTCCAAATGAAGCATCGCGCTTCAATACCCCAAGTCTTCGGGTCCTTTGGCGCCTAGCACTCCTTTTCCACTTCCACCATTGGCCAATTTGACCCGCTGAGCTCCGGTTTCCCCGGCAAGGTCGGGGTTACTGGGAGACTTGTGGACTTTGAGTGCGGGGAAGGAGAATACATAACCATGCGTGGAGAGACGCCTTGCCCGAGTGGTTAGCTTCCCGATCTATAAGGAAGAAATGCCGAAGTTGTGAACAAACCGAGGCTGTCGCCGTTAGGGGTGTTTGCTAGACTCACCACTCAGACCGAGCGTTAAGTGGCCGGCGTTGTGTTATACATGTTCTTTTGATACGCTCCTGACAAGCAACACAAGACTATTAGAGGGATGAAGGAAAAAGCATACCAATATGCACTTTTTTCTGGCAGAATCGATACCTGCAGCGTCTGCTGATAACTTTCACAGATGTTAGCATTGGCAAGGAAGCCATAACATGATGAGAATACTACCCTAATGACTCTGTACCGTCAGTCTCATCGCGATCTCACTGTTTATTTTGTTGTTGCATCGATCGCGTGCTTTGCAACAAGCCTGTTGGTCACATCCTCATATCGAGCTGCTAAAATAATTGCGAAGTATATAGTCCGGCAACTTGGTTCCTCATTCTTCATTGCATCCACGGTTGACTCCACCTGCGCCCCTTGCATCAGCGGCAACCTCGGCTTGAGCAGCTCACCTTTTGTAACACGATCATGCTAGAAGATGATAGCAACGTACAAGAGTAAAATTTCGAGAGTTGTTGCTTTAAACACACCTTGCCGGTAGGGGTTAAAGGTTGTTTGGTCTTCGTCTTTTTTCTTTCCCCCCCTTTTTTTCTTTTTACATGATGTTTTTGATACTTTTGCGTGGTACTGAGTGTATGAGGCACTTCAAAGCATGGTCATCGTCTTTCAGGTAGACGCCAGAGGTTTGGGCTGGTAATTAGTAGAAGCCTCGATCACAAGAATTGGCCATCAATAGGTTCACCCGAGTCTAACGTGTGTCCTTTCCTTAGAAATCTATTGACATTGGCCTGAACATGTGAGAAAGTCCTCACGCCGCCGACAAGAACTTGTAACGGCGAATATACTCGTTGCCTCGCTAACTTCGAATGTCGACCCATGGTGTACAAGCAGCCCAGTAGAGGCTGCTTTAGGTATATTATGAGTATTTAGTATTGACACGACACGGAAGTTTAAATTCAAGTATATGAACATAGCACCTCATCTCGTTGTCTCTTTACTTTTGTTTCCGAAAAGCTGCTGTCAGTCGCCGAAGCATCGCCACAGGTCGTTCGTTGTTTCCTTAAGCGGTTTACCTTTCGACATGTGTTATAACCTGTTCGACTGAATACTATTTAAGCGAGTCTCTGGAAAATATTTTGATCGTATTCTGCGAGTTAGATGATCAAATCAACAGGGTACACACGCTGTCTGCTCCTGCAAAACTTTAGTCCGTATAGTTGATGGTCTCATTTTGGGTTATAAGAAGTAAATGGCGACGTAAGTGATGACGGCATTGAGTGGAAATCCTACTTATTGCTTTCTAGGGAACATTTTGGCAGTTCTTCCTATATCATTGACTGAGAAAACCTCGCTGCCACAGTGACACCATTCCTGGCCCAGTTTCCGATATCTACCCGTACATAACGGGCTTCCGAAACTTCAGCAAGCAGCCTCTTCTTGTGAAAGAATATCAGTCTGTGACACAGAACTTTAGGACGCTAATGTCCAGGTACTGTAGACGTAAACCCTTTGTGGTATCACTTAAGCCAGTAATGTCCTTGACACGAAGCCGCCAGAGCTGATGACATGATCAACTGGCATCTTAGATCAAAAGAATTCAACCTTGACACGTATTGTTTTCAGTATCAGCGGTGCACCCTCCTGTTTGATCCTCTTGCCAGGCGTTTGTCATTGTTCTATCGAAGTGCCAAGATGGAGACCATACTCAACATACATGACATAGTGAGTCACGTACTTCAGTTGTAAAGAGTTGCACATTCAAGATCGATTCAAGGCCATAGTAACTCATTCTTGGAATGTATATTGGAAGCGCGCAGGGTGATCAGGTCTATAGAGAGCATTGCGGTGCGGTGAGCAACCACGACCTCCCCCTATATTTACGCAAGATGCCTATAGCCAGTTACTATTTATCTGTCTTGATCAGGTCCAATCTGACCTACTCAAGCTTGACCGCAGCGCGATGGATAAAGTAGTCTCCCAGGGCTCTTGTTTAGGTATGATCAAGATGTTGGTCATCACGAAAGATAAAAAATATGTTTCCTCAATTCTCCCTTAGAGACAGAAAAGTCAGTTGAGTGTGTGTGTTGATTGATGGTGTCTGATCTGTGTCTCACAAGCTAGAGAGGTTTCTACGCCCCTGATCAGACCCTGCGTAGCTAAGAAAAAAATAAAGCAACGCAAAGACCACTGTCAATGGGAGCAGGAAACCCTGCCCTGTTCCAATATGTACCATTCAAGATGCTTTTGCTTAGATTTAAAGGCGACACGACGGTATTCTGATTATCTCATTATTGACGTAATTGTATTAGATTGTGTTGGACTTGAGACTGGCTTGTTATAGTTTTCAAGCCTCAACCGTATTCTTGCTCACTACGCCTCTCGCAAACTCTCCGAAAGTGATGTGCTGATCCGCATCGACCTCCTCTCCAAGGTTGGGTTGTGTGAATACCGCAAGCGTATTTCTCGCCACCCTTCCATTACTCATAGAGGGCCGTACGCCTCGTACAAAATGTGGAACAGCCTTGAACTTCCCCTTCGTAATTCTCTCTAGCGCCTCGCCTGTCTGGAATGCTATGCAATCTTTTGGAATCTTGACTTGAACAGTTTCTCCATTTCGAGATTTGATGTAAAGTCCGGCCAAAGGATCCGGACTACCTGACATCTCTTCCAGCGGTGGAAGTATTGAGGCGGCATTCTGGGCGGAGACTGAAGTCGATGTTGTGTGCTCGTCAACAAACATGGCAGATGTTAGAGCCGTCAACACGGAGTGATCCAAATGCACACCGCACCAATCATCTTCGTTCGTGCTTGAGCTTTCTTGAGACTGGGGGTAGTAGTGAAGTAGCCTGGCTTTGGTGGTGTTGCTTGTGCTGACGACGTGCTCGACGTAACCCTTCGTGTAACCTTCGATCTCCCGTTCGGCGTATTGGTCACATGCACGAGCGACTAGAACAGCGGTATCGATCAGGAGACGGCAAAGATCTTCCAGGCTGTTTTTAAAACCCGGTAGAACAGTGTCTTTAGGCCAGATGTTGGGTGACAGATATTCCGGGAAGTTTTCGGGAGAAAATTCGGCAGTAGGTTTCGCGCAATTCAGCTTGGGGTCTGTGTAAAAAGCGCAGTTGGCATAGAACGACCCTTTGAATGTATCAACTTGTCCGTCTTTTAATTGCTCTTTACCCAATGACCAGCCGGTGAGGTACTTTGCAGCCGCGTTTTCAATCTTTGCTATGAGATGTGTTAGATTTCACCATCGGATTCGAGGGACACGATTACACTATACCGAGCTCTTCTTCGGGAAGGTTTCCGAGATAGGACGCGTAAGATAGTGCCTGGCGCCTAAGCTGGGGAAACTCGGGGGGGACATCTTTAACGACTAAGATTCCGAGAGAGTCTGGACCGAAAGCCTCAACAAGCCTCTCAAAAGGGACATCTCCTGGGATTCTGGTTAGTAGGAATTGGTTTAACTACCATGCTGTAAACAAACCGGTTTTTAAGTCCGTGAGTGATACTACAACTGGTTGAGCAACGGTGACATCTGGTCCACGCATTGTAAAGTTGTTCCTTGAACTGGAGTTACAGTCTTTTGGGTGATTTTGCAGTTTCCAAGGTGAGGAAAGTCTTGTTTGGAGGATTAGCACGAAAAAAAGAGTTGCAATCATCCAGAATTGATGGCTGCCTTTGTATATATTTCTCGAGACAAAATATTGGAGCAATTTTATGATGTCTGTCTGGAATAGAAGTGCTATTGGGCAATTCTTACGAGTCTCGGAGGTTGGCTGGGGCAAGTGGAGCGCGAAACAAGCGTAGGGCCACTTACTAGATCTGACCGGTTAAGCACCGCAACCACACCCCGATTGGTTGATATTTACGACACCACATTTACGACACAACACGGATGAAAGACATACTCTGACTGTTGCACAACTGCTCTGCGGCTGAAAAGCATGATTGGCCGTCATTTACGACGTCCCAATTCTCCTCCTACAAAAACTGACTTGCAACCTTTCTTTTTTGGAAATCGTTTATTTGTTTTGACATGGGACAAGAAAATGCTCCCTTGCCACATTAGAGCTCCGACGGCGTAGGTTCAAAAGTATTCTACAACAACCGTACCTAGAAAGTGCTCCTTGTTACACCCGGCAGTCTTGCAAATCTTCGACCGCATATTGGAGGTAGGGCGTAGCTTCGTTAAAACAGGCTTGCCGTCAAGGCCTGGCAACAGTCTCTGGTAGACCTTATGCACCCGACCCGTCTCTTGTACAGAAACATCTTTCAGCCAGAACCACCTGGACTTTGGTGGTACAAATCCATTCTCATCTCGGCCGGACTCCTCGAGTATCAAGGCCCCCAGGATCCCGTCCATTTTTGACACCACATCCCAGGAGACCATAGAAGACGGAATTTCGTGAAGAGCTTGGAGTGCAGTCATGCGGATGTCGTGATTCCTACATGCGCGTACAACTGTGCAAAGGGGCAAGATAAGACCCTGTCCAAGCAGAACAGAGGTTGGACGTGGTTGCGAGACACAGTCGCGGTAGAGATCAACACACTGGAACGTGAGATCCCGAAACTCATTCTCGAAAGCGTCATAGGCTATCTCGGTTGGGTCGAGACAGCATGTGAGGGTTATGTAGAGAAGTAGCCAGTGAATCTGCACGATTCTAAGGCCCTTCTTAGTTCCAGTGTCGATCTTCGGACTTTGGACATAGTATTGTATAATTGTTTTCCATCTCTGCAGCTGCGAGAGGAAGTTATGCTGGTGGATAGTAAGACTGCGGAGTGTTTCCAGATCGACGCCATTTGCTGCTGTATCGGCGGTGTTGCCAACGAAACTAACGCCAAAGGTGAAGAACCTGCACCATGAGATGAAGAATTTCGATAGAGAGTCATGTTCCGGGTTGTGGAAGTCAGAGCCAGGATCGATCTTGAACGGGTGAGTATGCCGCCGCAGTGGTTGGAGTGATTGTGAGACATGGCTCATGGCTGCCATGCAGGGCAACACATGCTCCATGTCGTCAAACTCGGCGTCTCGAGGTTGTGTTTCACTATTGCCGGAATCGCTCTCAAACATAGTGATGCAGTCCTTTAGCAGGCCAAGGCATGAGTTGAGAAGAAGCTCGGCTGTCTTGGGCTCTCCCTGGAGCAGCTCGTAAACAACGAGTAGCAGAGTAGTGATAACAATAGTCGTTGGTGATGACGCCGTGATCAACTCCATCCGTTCCCTTAAAGACTTTACTGCTTTCAAGTGATGTCGCAAAGCAACCTCGCGATGCTCTGTTACAGCCTGATCATCCGAAGATAGTGGCAAGACCTTCCTTCGAATCAGGCCTTGCTTCGTGTCTTGCGGTGAAGCACGGATGAGTGCTCCAACGGCCAAAATTGAATGGTGAATACAGTCATCTTGCAGACCTTCACCAATGACCAGGTAAGACCAATTTGGGCTGGTATAATAACCTGCCAAGTTGGTTGAAACCTGATGGCGAAAATAGTCGAAGTAAATGCCATCCTTGCGATACACCTCGGGGAGGCTTGAAAGAGATCGAGGGATTTGGGTCGTCGTGGACAGGACAAGTTCCGAGCTGCAAGAATCAATCTTAGACGACGTAGAGCGGGGTGCGATGAGTAGCGGGGTCGTCCGGCGGACAATGGTTTGATTTTGCCTTCTCCTCCTCCTATCGATGCGGTCAACGTAGCCTTCGCACGTTACGCCGACCTTCTCGCATCGGAAACAAGTGGGCTTCCGCTCGTCGCACTTGACATGGCGAGTCTTGCAGGTGGCACATCCGGTACGGGCCTTCGGTCCACCCGCCCTCCGTCGCTTGGTCTCCTCCGTCGGCGAGGCCCGTTCGCTGGGGGTGGCTTCGGGGGATGTCACCTCCAACGGCTTAGGCAAGATCCAGGGCCCGATCTTGGAGGCCAGGTCTGGACCGTGTTGCTCCATTTGTTTTTGTTTTATGTGCGCTGCTCGAGTTGGATTGGCTGACTATGCGGGAAAGTGGTGCGATTCTTGCTCATAAGAGAGGGAAAGCTCGAGGAGCAGAGGAAAAGGCACACCTTATCCGCTCAGGGGAAGATTGATCTGTGGGATAAATGCAACGCGTCAGTTGGCAAAAACATCGTATCCACCAGAGCCCCCAGATTACGGGGTTCATGCATGACAATGGATGCAACATTATTCGCGCGTTCTCTTATCAGAACCTCCTGTGAATGGCCAGTCGGCTGCTCGTAATTATAAGCCAATCAGAAAACTGTGCTCTAGCTGGGGTTGTCTAGACTAACAAGATGCGGACTGATAAGTCGGCAAATAAGCCGAGAGAACCCTGGCTCGACCAACTGAAGATTCAGATGCTTGTGTTGTCGATGTGGTCGAGACGCCTTCATTGTAATATTCCTGTCAAAGTCGTCGGAAGCATCGAGAAAAGAGTCCACCGCATGAGATTTGTGATCGATGATGCTGACTAGTCAACCAACCTTTTGAAATAGGAATGCCAACATATTCTATCCTGCTTTCCAAGATGTTAAACAAAGTGATCTTCTATTTTTATTCGCCCATCTGCTCATGACCATGCAATAATGGGCTTGACCACATCGCCACGCTTCATAGCTTCCACAGCTGAACCAAAGTCGGCAGACTCGAAAACCTTGATGAGCTTCTCGACAGGAAATTTTCCATCTCTCCACCACTGAACCATCTGAGGAATGTACTCCGCAGTATTAACGTGGCCTTGGATAGCCCCAAAATACTGCTTACCGCTGACCATAAAACTTTGCATGTGAAGAGTAAGGTGAGATTCCGGCATGCCCGTACCAACCTGGATAATCTTGCCCATATAACGTGTGCCTTCAATCTGGGCGTTCAAGAGAGGCGGGTGCGCACTAGTATCGATGCAGATGGTCGCTCCTAGACCATCTGCCGCCTCTTTGATTTTCTCCGTGACTTGTGCCATCTCTAGCCCAGTTGTGTTGATGACATGCGTCGCGCCAAGCGACTTCGCCAGTTGGAGACGGGATTCAAATCGGTCGATTCCAATGATAGTCTTGCATCCCTGGTTTTTCGCGGCAATGACACCTGCCAATCCCACACCTCCCATGCCTGCAATGGCGATGCAATCCTCGGTTCCAGCTTTTGCAACGTTGATGACTGTTCCGCTCCCAGTTTGAAAACCACAGCCAAGCGGTGCAAGTACCCTTAAGTCATCACGAGTGAGACCAAGACCGGCGGCGCTCACGACAGACGTATCGCTCACAACGGTGTGGTGAGCCAAGCTGGACTGGCCAAAGAAGCGACCGCCGATTCCGTCGGAGAACACGGGTTCGCCAATGAAGTTAAGTTCGAAAAAGTTGGTGCAGTGAGACGGGGGTCCAGTCTTGCATACGTGGCATGATCCGCAATATGAGAAGGAAAGGAAGACGGCATCGCCGGCCTGGACTTTGGTAACGCCGCTTCCAACCCGAACCACGTAGCCAGAGCCTAATGGAAAAAGTCAATTAGCTTTCAACAGAGCCTATAAAGGGCTACCGCCGTACCTTCGTGTCCAAGAACCCTTGGGTAATACACGCCAGGAACTCCCTTGTCCTCGGGCGTGTTGCCGCAATGCAAGTCTGTATGGCAGATACCGGAAGCAACAACTTCAACGAGAACCTCATCTGAACGAAGCTCTCGGAGGGTTACAGGTTCGATGGCCCATTTTCCTTCGGAGAAAGGACCCCTGGCGATGATGGCCTCCGACGTAAAAGACATTTTGCCAAGGTCGATATTATGATTGCAGGTCTAATTTTAGTGTTTCAAATGACTGTCGGTGATGAATCACTCAAAACTTGGATAAAAATATTATGAGGGCTCAGTTAGATGGTATGGGTTGCTCGCATTGCTGAACGTTGCAAGAAAAGTACGAGTTAGGAAGTGCGGGGTCGGATCGCGGCGATAAGCGCGATGCATCCACGGAGGTACCCCAGCTACTTAGTTAGGTAAACGCCGCCACTAATGTTTTGATAAGGCAAACATAAAACCAATCATAATAGTTTGGATTCCCAAGAAGGCATTTACTTTTGGAGAGGCACGGGGGAATTGGACTTCCAATTCAAAATCAATCAAGGATGCGGGGTAACCCGCGCGGGAAGGGTCCGATAAAATGGCAATCGTTGCGAACTAATATGCGACGTTAGCAACATCCCAAGAGCTTTTCGCAAGTCCAATAACAACAAAAGAACTACTTTGAGTTCCGCCATATACGATTTGGACATATTTGCTTTGTGAACAGACGCTTACCAATATGTCCCCAATTTTGGCATAACTGGGCGGTCCACTTCATCCAACCCATTTTCAAAGATCCGATGCCCAGAGGTTTTCGTTTCTATATGTCTCGGTAAGCTTTCATTACCCAAAAGAGCATATGAAGTTCCTCCCTTGATCTTTGACTCGTAAGGGAAATCGAGCAGAACGGTGCTGGCTGGCGCTCCGGACATCAGAAGGTCGAGCAATCTTTGTGTTCGATCTTTGCTGAGTCGGAATGTTCTTTCGGTAGCCTCCTATCGATCCGTATAGAACCTCAAGGGATCAGCTTTGATCCCTTGAAATGGACTACGCTTGGGCCGATCGCATTACATTCCACCAGTCCTGATGTGGGACTCATCCCAGTATTGCACCACGTCTATGATACCCTTTGAGTATCAAGCATACTATTCATACTAGTCAACCGGGAACAATTTTGAAAAGTCCCCTTCCGAGAAGAAGGAGCATAGAATATTATCTTTGATACGTGGCCATGTGGTATTGCCGTTGGTTCAGTGTAGGATTGCATCTGCCTGCAAGACGAACGGGGAAACGGTCATTGAAACAAAAGCTTTTCATGTGCCAAAACTTGTAAGAGCCAGATTTAGATGAAATCTTCCTTGAAGGCTTTGAAAACCAAACCTGATCATCAACATTGGACTCATGAGGGGACTGAGTATCAGAACTAGCTCACCATAGACTTGACTTAAACATTCCCAGGGCTAGTACATACTTAGGTTTCAGAAGTTGTGTCCAAGAAATCATGAAATAAAGATATCTTCAGATGTTTCATGAATGAAATGATTGTATAACAACTGTCCGTTGCCATATCTCTAAGCTGTCTCGGCCAAAGAGCTTGGGGAAGTCCACTGCTTTTAAGGGCGCATAAATTTTGTTCATTAACGTACCGACTAAACTTATAAAGATTCTAGACGATAAGTCTTTCCCAAGCTTAAATTGAAGTGGAAAATGTGCAAAGTTGGCAGGGACGGTTCCCAGACATTGGGTTGTCATTTTGTGTCCACCTCATTGCCATCAATACTTTGAACGGACAAAACCTCTTACGTAGCAGGGCTGACCGCTCTAGGACTGCAATACTGAGCTACAATGGAAGACTAACTGAAGGATCGGGGAGTTTAGCTTTATCAATGGCGATGATGATGAAATTGAAACCAATGCAATGAGTTGTGAGATAGGTGTGGCCTCTACTGACCAAACAACCATGCAATTGCGCTGACAACACTTTGAATAATCTACTGGCTTCAGAAGCGTTTTCATTGGAAACACACCTACAACGCCGTTACTTTCATCAGTGGAGATGAAAAATGCATTTAAACAGTCATTTGTAGGAGTCTTTCTGTTCTGTGATTCCGCAAAGAAATCAGAGCCCTGCTGATGCTATGAATGAGCTTGTCGGACAGCATGTGGCTGAGAAGAACACCAATAGTATTTTCGAGTGCCACTTCAGTAAATAAACACCTGCATAAATCGTCTGTTTGAATCCGTAAGGTTTTCTAGGTAACTACTTGATCATCAAAAGCGGAGGGTATTTAGGTAGCAAGAGAATTGGGCAACAACCTACAAAGCAGCAATCCATACTTCTAGAGATTTTACAGTCGTGGAACCTCTTCATATAATTTTTCAGCGAAGGATCTCGGTGATTTATAGTATCTGAGGCTGCCGCTTCATGACTATGTTGTCAAGCGTGCATGCTGCCCAACCTGTGCTTTCAGGATAGACGTCGGCAACAGTAATATCCCTACGGTTCAAACACTATATGATCGACCTTATGGACGTATCATAGCAGCGCAGTCTCTCTTACCTGGACTTTAAAGCTTCTTCTATTCTCCAATAATAGATACGAGCTCGGTTGGAGACCAATTTTACTTGACGCCAACAGCGTTAAGGTATTCCTGGAGTCTCGAATAGCGACCTCCTCAATAACCATACGCCTTTCTTTAGCTTAACGATAACGTACAGCCACCAAAAACTTTTGGGAACGCTTAGAAGTGAGCTATGAGTCTATCCGACAGATTTTTGAAACAAAGAAATAAAGGCTTTTATACCGGTTCTTTGCACCTAGTCTAGTTTGGTCAGTGACTCAACCAACATCATCCATGAAAACTTACAGAATACAGTCAGTAGGGCTGGTGTTTGCAGTTTCTAATGCGCAACGTATCACCAATGTGTCCTAGAAATACAGATTATCCATCAAGTTGTAAACCTCAACAGAAACGGTTCTGATTTGGTCAGTGAAGTTCCCGGAGCTCACATAATACTCAAAGTATTAGGGGAACCCCGGGCCGCCAGTGACGAGATTAGTTGGAAGGGAAAAATCCAAATATTCGCTGTTTGTGAGTAGAGTAAAACTCTTGACTTAGAGATCCTTTAACAACAACAGCGCAAAATGATTCCTTGTTATCTTATCAGCTGTGAATGTTCGTTCCATTTCAAGAAGCCGTTGCAGGAATCGCTCAGCAAAGTAAAAACAGCCTCGGGTCTGCCACGGGAGCATTAAAGTCATCCAAAAGGCCCACACTCGCTAAATTCCCAGCTTCGATTGACTTAAACAAGACAACCCAGAACGGTAGCCTGTTCGTAGGCGTGCACATGTGGTACCTATACCTCAGACATTGAACCAGGCGTTATGGCCGCGGAACATTAAATGCCTGAACATAGCCTTCATCTGATTGGTTACCACACTCAGGGTTTCTAACCAATTCGGAGCACTAGTCGCTGTGAACGATGGCGCAAGCAAGCAAGGTCTCAACGCTGCTCTGCTTTTCTTTCACCTCATTCCGGATGTGTATTTCGACATCGTCTTCTTGTTGCACCTTGTGTTTTGGAAGGAGACTTTGGTTGGCAGGCGAATGGTGTAAACCCACTATCCTTTATTCAATTGATGCTTACGATATCAGATTTCCTCCACTATTAGTGTTGGATCGCTTTTGTGGATAGCGTTCGGAACAGGGCTATCTGCTAATGGGAATCCTTCAAGGGTTCAATAGCTATTGGATACAACGATGGCTCAAACCTCAGCAGAACAACAGTCACGCATGTTTACCGTGGTGGTTGGTCATCACAATATCTTCATCTCAGAGTCACAGAGAAAATAATCAGTTCATAATGTGGTCGCTTGATGGGCTGAACTCCTCACAGCTGCCGCACTTGGCTGGAGAATCTCCACCAGCCGCCCCCAACCCAAAAGTCACGTTGCAACGTCTGGCGGGTGGCCGAACCATTTGCCCCCTATCTCATCAGGTACCAGAAGGCTCTAATGTTGCCAAAGGCAGGGTAAGCCAACCAGAACCATGAGTGTGTTAGCTAGACACTGCAACACATTAAGTTAAACATTTCTTGGAAATAAGTAGAAGTGGAGAGTGAGGCAACGAAAAAACTGGGGGTTTCTGCTAACCGACGGGATACGACGTTTCGACCAGTCAGGCGGGCCTGAAGTCCATTCGACTGTAGATTGCCGTCAACTAAATAGACGGCCACGGCCTTCCCGTCTCTTCGTGCGGCTCGACTGGTCTCCGATTGGTTATGCAAGTAGAAAACCGTGAGTTATCACCCGATTGGCTAGTTTACTAACTCAAGATCTATTTCTTCAGATGGTTGGTTGCCCTTAACAAAGGATGTGACACGGAAACGGATCACGTTCCGATGCATGGGTGAGGTGAGAGCGTCCAATGCTGGGCGATTTGCGTTAACTCGGGTTATGCTTGGGAAAACCTCGCCAACAATATTTGTATGACAATTAAATGGCAATCATACATAGGAAATAACGCGTGTGTTGAGGCCCGATCCCATTACATGAGTAACAAAGCGAAGTTGGGCTAGGTTTTTGAAATCTCCGGATGTCACAACGATCTAGGGATTGCCGGAGGAAATCACTACGGACCAGGGGACATTTCGTGAGGTGAGTTATTGCGCAACAATAGCAAAGGCCCACCACAAATCATGTAACCCAGTTGTTCGACAGGGAAATTATTGGCTTTCTTAGAGTTCCCAGCTCCCGAGCGTTGCTAGCTTTTCTAGTCAGAGATACCAAATTGGTGCAAAGAAGATCCATGCCATCTGATGTGCTACAGGCCCAACCGAGAGGACTAAACACACAAGTGAATCGACTTCAATATTTGTTTCCTCCAACATTTTCGGGTATCTTCCTTCATCCAAGAATAGCATAATGGTTTGGCCACTCGTGAGTTTCCGAATGCCGCGGATTTAAAGCTGTGAGACACCGTAGATTATCAATACCTTGACGGTTAGGAAAGCCGACCAATGCTCATGAAAGAAATGGTGAGAGACTGATCAAAACACCAGCACAAATAAGACTGGCTGGCTTTTCAATTGTGGTATACATCCTGAAGATAAGACAGACCCAATTCAGGGGACAACTCGACTAATCGAACCTCCCGTCCCATAACATAGCAAAGTTTCAGAGGTACATCAATGCCACCACATTACTGACGTCCATCCCACTACGCTACACAAAGTTTGATGACGATGAGACTGCCGAGTACGAAACCTACCCCGCTCTGTTGACTCGTTTTGCTCGTTTACACACGCGTCTCATTCGATGAACCTTGGTTCGGGGTTTTATTCCATCCGCCTGCTCCGACCCCTTCTGCTTCGGGACCCCCACACCCGAGGTTTTGGTTTCTTCTTATTGATAAATCCCCATTGCAGTGCCCATGTTACTTTGTTGGGTCAAATCACTTTCTGTCTCATTGATCAGCACAGAGGTGGGGGGCAAAAGGCGGTGCACGCCCCACAATCGACGGCTCTCAAACCCTGGCCGGACTGGGTTCCATCCGCTTGTGTTACACTCTGGCGTCTTGCGCTGCTCGTAACCGTTCGTCTCCCACCGGTCGCGTTTTTCGTCACTATGAAGGATTTTCCTGCAAACAGGATTACCTGGCGAGCCACTCGGCACGGATATTTGTACTGTCATGCTGCATAGGAAGAATACGGTGGAGAAAAAGCAACGTATATTATAGTCTTCGATCCCCTCTTCTGCTCAGAGTTCAATCATCCGTTTAAGCACGCCCATACCGTGACTTGTTAACCGCCCAAGAAACCATGTCAGTGTTTCCCAATATGAACGCCACAGCGAGGCTAGCCGTGGATAGCACGCTACTGGCCGAGGCGGCTTATCGATGGCCTGTAGTCGCGACGACGCTGCTTGCCTGTGCTTTTGCCTTGGTCTTACAGACAGCCTTCAAGACCACCCACCTGGCAGATTTACCCCTAGTTGGGGCCGAATATGGAGGGAAAGAGAGCAGAAGGAAGAAATTCATGAATGGAGAAGCAAAGAATCTTTATTTAGATGGGTATAAGAAGGTGGGTTGACTACATCTTGATCCTAAGCTTGTAAAGCGCAATGTTCTAACAATTCATTCCGTAAAGTTCAAAGAGCGGGCCTTTCGGATTACTACGGCAAGGAGTAAGCTTGAGATTGGCAGAACACGGATTTTTGGCTTAGTGCTAATATTGAAAACACAGAATCGACGAACATCGTTGTAGCCCCTAAATTCATGGATGAGCTGAAGAGGCTGCCTGATGATGTTCTAAGCTTTAACAAAGCCTTAGAGGAGGTATTTGAAGGGCTCGAGACAACAGCTAAGAAAGAATGTTGAGACTAACGTATATCATAAGACTCTACACACCAAGTACACTGGTGCCGAAACAAATATTCCCCTAATTCCTCACATTGTCAAAACTTCCTTGACACCAGCTTTAGGAGGTATGATGAATTATTCCAAATTCCACGCCTTTCAGGTAAGGGCTCACGATTGTATAGGGTGGCTTAACGCTGTTATCTCAGAAGAAGTTGTTGAAGCTATGCGGATCGAGCTTCCACAGTCTTGTGAATGGACTGAAGTCAAAATTCTGGATAAGTTGATGCGTATCGTTGGTATGGTTTCCGGTCGTGTCTTCATTGGACCCGAACTTTGTCGGAACGACACTTACCTTGAAGCTTCTGTCAACTATACTGTCGACTTTATGAGTGCGGTTCGTAAAGTCGCTTCTATACCGCCGTATCTGCGCCCTATCTTAGCTTCAAGGACTTCTGAGGTCAAGAGAGTACGCAAGCGCATAGCTGAAGCAGGCACGTTTTTAAACCCAGTTGTGACAGCAAGGCGAGAGGCTGCTGCGAACCCCGATTACCAGAAGCCGGATGACGTGCTTCAGTGGCTATTAGAGTCACAAGAGAAGTTTGGCCAAAAGGACGACACGTACCTTGCGAAATGTGAACTAAGCCTTAGCTTCGCCGCGATCCACACAACGTCAACCACGACTACAAACGCGTAAGTCTCCTTGTGAGTTTATTTTCTCTACTTCAAGATATTCTAACTCTGTCATTGAAGACTATATACACTATCAGCGATGCCTGAATTTGTTGCCGTCCTTCGCGAAGATGTGCAACAAGCTTTGGCTGAGACTAATGGGGTCTTCACCAGCATTGCCATGCAGAACATGAAAAAGCTTGATAGCTTCCTCAAGGAGTGTATGAGACATTACGCCTTGGGACCTGGTAAGGTTCCTGAGTTGTGTCAGGTTTTCCTGTCTAATGTTTGTTCACAGTGTCCTTCCAGCGGCAGGTTCTCAAGACCTTCACTCTCTCTAATGGCCAGGTAATCCCTGCAGGTACCGTAATCGAAGTACCCTCTATCGGCATCTACACCGATGAGGCGTTCTTTCCAGATGCGGATAAGTTCGATCCCTTACGCTTCTACAAGTTACGTCAAGCAAAAAAAGAACAGAAAACGGGATCCAAGCAAGCAGAGGTGGTCGCCAACTCTCAGTTTATCAGCGTGGGCCAGACAAGCTTGACTTTTGGTTATGGACGCCATGCTTGCCCAGGTCGCTTCTTTGCCGTCAACGAAATTAAGATGATTATGGCGAATTTGTTGTTGAATTACGACTTTATGAACGTAGGAGGAAGCAGAGAGAGGTATCCCAACTTGGAATCCGGAGCAATGGTAAGTCAGGTTCTTAAGGAAAAGTGCGAGATATCATTGGTCCGCTGACTGATCTAGTCCTACCCTGATCCCAACCGAGTGATCTTGCTGAAGAAGTTGTAGTTTCGAGGCAAATAAGGTATGGTTCAAATAGTCCACGCGTTTTTGGGAATCAAAAGGTGTGTGATGGAAGCCGTTACGCGGTATCAGAGATATGGGGTAAACTGCCAGAATGGATGTTAGATAGGCATGTTGCAAGGTCAAGATACGCTTGCATAACTGGGAACGCGATTTGGGGTTAGACATACATCAAGCAGTATGCATAAGCATGTGATGACAAATCGAGCTTATTGTGAATAACGGGACGAATTATGTTGCGATGCGAATGTTAGCAAACACTGAGGCTGCGACAAGCAATCCGGAAGAGTTTTGCTAAGGGTAGTCCAACAATTGGCTGGAGGGGCAGTGTCCCCACCTCGCCCTTCGCACGAGCAATCGTAGAATCTTTTCCTCACTGTGAGTCAGCTTTTAAATTAATTGCAAGGGTGTTTTCGAAGCGGTTAAAGGTATATCGAATCGACAGCGAGTGCCCGATGTAGTCGTTGGCCTAGCGGCAGTGTTGGCATGGGCCCAGGCCTCGACGTGAGTTAATCACGAAGCTGAGCATATCAGCGGGCCACTGCCCTCTTTCCAATTGGGGACTCATGTTTGAGTCAAAAATAACACAGCAGCATAAGTCTTATGTTCAATGTCCCACATATTCTAACAGCTAAAGTTTTTGAATTCGACTTTTCCAGGTGGATCTCTTACCTTTTCGCCATTTCTTGCTCAAGCATGCATAATTACAATTTTTGCTCTTACGCCAAAGGCCTGGCCTACTTATGTGTACTTGATCCTGGCCTCAGGTTTAGAAGAGAAAAATGCTCGCTCATCAATAACAAGTTTAGTTCGCTGGCTCGTAAGCCCAATCTCTCCAATTATCTTCGCTTGGTCGTTTCGGTTCCGTCGGAGGCCCAATTAGTTCACTCCTTGTTTCCCGACTTTCTTCACCTGCGAAAATCCCGAGAACCATTAGCTCCTTGATATGGCTCGTATAGTTGGCTCTGTATATACTGCTGCTGATGATCCTGCGGCGGGTATTGTTGGTGTGGGTTGCGGTGCTGTCCACTCTCCATCAAGTACCCTTCATTGAGCACCTCTGAGGATGTCACTTGCTTGAGACCAATCGCCCGGGTATTGATGACGCGGCTCGGGTGGAACCAGTTAAAAAGTATCGCCGTAATTACCATCAGCAGCGCATCAAAGATGTAAATGTACATCTCCTTTGACTGGAGTTCGCCCTCCTTGCCCTGGACATACTCAGCGACTCGGAAAAGAGAACGGACCATGATCATCAAGCTGCTGCCATACAAAACCCAAAGGAGACCTTTCCAATGTGTTTGTATCGTGTGGGAATTGGCTGTCGGGTTTCGGGTAAGGCGAATGTGGAAAACAAGCGTTACGATCATGAAAAAGCCAAAGAAAAGAATCTGAATTCCAAGACCGCCGACGATGATATTCTCGCCCTTTTTGACGGAGTCACGGTCTGTGGCTGTTGCAAGCATACCACCACCTAGTCATATCTCTATGTCAGAATATTTTTGGGATTGACACCAAGAGGTCCAGGAATGACGTCGCCTTACCTCCACTCTGGGCAAGAAATGACAAGACATCACCAAGGACGAAGACCTTGGTCAACCACTTTGGCCTGATCAGCGAGTGATGGCCAGCGTCAAGAAGATTGATCAGTCGGCCAAGCACCATGTAGATTGAAGCAGCGAATAGAGCCGGTCCGAGTAATAGTAGAATCGACTGAATGATGTAAGGGTTTTTGGTGTAATCGGGTGCCTCAGATGCCGACATGGCTCGACCTGCATACCCAACCGCCTCAACTGAAAGATATTAACTGATGTATCCCTGAGTCTCCGAACAAATCTTGGGGTCATAAACTTACAAATGCAGCCAATGACAAATGGGATAAAGTACCACGTCCGGCGTCGACATAATTGCCAAATGTGCAGCATACCCGAGACTCCAAATACAATGATGAAAACTGTCGCTGCAACCATGGATGGTTCATAGTGATAGAATACGAAACCGGTGGACGCGCCTTCTGTTGTTGTGATATTGTCTGCCATGATAATAAGATTGTAGTCGTGGCTTCTTGGCGCAATACGATTTCCGTTGGATTAAGTTTGAGCAAACCGCGGATGTTGGCTCCAGTCGAAGTCGGATTTTGCTACAAGAGTCAATACTGCCGTGGGGTTGTGTAAAGAAGCTAGGCTGACGTTGGGTTTACTTGCGAGTTGATTCTATCCCCATCCGTGACCGATCAGAAGACCGAGATATAAGTAATCCATCCCCATTATTTTCGATGGCCCGTATCTCCCCCTTTGTCTTTGCATACGTGTAATGGTGGTTACAAAATAATAAAAACACAACAAGCCCCCTTACACTAGGCAGATTCATGGATGACATTTGCAGATTCTGAGATTGTACGCGGAGTCAGAATTTGTCGTAGTGGTAGGGCTGAGCCACCTCGTCGAACGTTGTTCGCTGTTCTCCATACGCGTATATTTAAGAGACTGCGGTTGGTCAGTGGGACAAGCCGCCAGACATGCCAAAATAGCGTCGTCAGGGTTGCTACCTTCGGCGAAGTCCAGAGAAGCTAAGAGCTGTGGGGAATAGCCTCTACACTTGTCGGCTTTTCCTGACCGTTGGTGTTATACGCGTATTCGCGGCGATTAGCCATGTAGATGCGAGACAACGCTGCGGCCCCTAAATCCCGCGGATTCGCATAGCCCAATCAGAATCTTCTTGCACTGCCCATCAACCCATTAGCCTCCTGACTTGAGCATTTATGGTTACGCTGGGCGGAACCAATCATCATGGAGGCACGCGCATCTTGGATCAATACGGGCCCCTCTTTTTGCCATGATAGCAATGGCAACAAACCGATCTGCGGCTCTCAAGTTCGACCAGAGTCTGACGCACGTCCTTCTTACGTGGACGCCATCCCGGCGCGTGGTGGCGCGGCCTGAAGCGCTGGGGGAGAGATAATCAGTCTAGCCACTTTAGCGTTCCCGTTCGGAGTCCCTCACACTCGAGTCAAGCACGAAACGGCACTTTATTGAGGTCGTGGAGGTGTGACTGGGCGCAGCATATTGAAGACTGATTTATGAAGGCGGTATGCAAATCTTCGGGGAAAACTTCGAATCGCTGCGACAGTATTTCTTGAACCCCTCCTACAAATTCTGCGATGGGCAATCAACTTTCCTCTCGGATATTGCTGAGAGCCTACATAATTCTTTGCCTCGACTTCATTGACAATCATCCTTGCAGGTCATTTTTCTTATTGTCGAGATACCCATCTAAACTTGCAAACTAAACACCTTAGTATTCAAAACCAGTCAATTAACAGGTTTGCCCACGACAAGGTCCAACTTTTCAAATTCGTTACCCCGCGGGCAAGGTTGTGCCCGAACAAAGAAGATGTCCAAACGCAGTACGATTCGTATGGTTGAGGAGGACACGTTGCCTCAGGACTACCTTCCATCTTACGAAACGGCGATAAATGAGGGGCTACACCAACATAGAGACAGTGTCAGAAGTAGGGAGGACCAAATGATGCCGTTCCAAGAGTGACCATTCTAACCAGCTAATCTCTCACAGGCGATGGTAGAGTTGACATAAATCTCGATTCTCGCTTGGCGACGACGCTTGCTTGCTTCATCCCCGATTTCAAAGACACAACCCAACACGCCCAAGCCGCATCAGCCCAAGGCCCCCCCCCAAAATATTTTGAGGCAGCAGAGAGCTTCGCTGAGAAAAAGACTTTTCCCGTCAAACTGAACATCGTCATCCAAGTCGTAGGAAGCCGAGGCGACGTCCAGCCTTTTATTGCCCTTGGCAACGAGCTCCAGACCTACGGGCACCGCGTCCGCCTGGCCACACATGACGTTTTTGACGATTTTGTACGAAAATCCAACCTCGAGTTTTACCCCATTGGTGGCGATCCTTCCGAATTGATGGCATATATGGTCAAAAACCCCGGCCTTATTCCCAGCTTGAAGAGCTTGAAGGGCGGCGATATTCAGAAAAAGCGTAAAATGGTCAAGGAGATGCTCGAGGGGTGCTGGAGATCGTGTATCGAGCCCGATACACAGACGGGAAAGCCCTTTGTGGCCGATGCAATCATTGCGAATCCACCGAGTTTTGCGCATGTCCATTGCGCTCAAGCTTTGGGTGTACCACTACACCTTATGTTCACCATGCCCTGGAGCAGTACGAGAGCGTTCCCCCACCCGTTGGCAAACCTAAAGTTTGGAGACAAGGGAGTTGTTGATCAAATGACGGCGAACTTTGTTTCCTACAGCATTGTGGAGTGGTTGACATGGCAGGGGTAAGATACGAACGGCATTGCTTATTAAAAGAAAATGTTAACAACATAACAGTTTGGGAGATGTCATCAACGACTGGCGAAAGACAATTGACCTCGAGGAAGTACCATTTTCCGAAGGACCAGTACTTGCGGAATCTCAGAAGGTACCATTCACATACTGCTGGTCTCCAGCACTAGTACCCAAGCCGATTGATTGGCCGGCATATATCGGTACGAACCCAGCCTTTACGGGCACGTCGGAAAACGGAACTGACTTTGGCCAGATGTGTGCGGCTTCTTTTTCCGAGAGCCTCCCCAGTATACACCGTCGCCCGAGCTGGAGAATTTCCTTATGAATGGGCCGACCCCTATTTACATTGGATTTGGAAGCATCGTCATTGACAACCCTGACGAGATGACCAAGATTCTCGTTGAGGCAGTTCGATCTACCGGTGTTCGTGCCATAATATCTAAGGGATGGAGTAATCTGGGAGGGATCGATTCGGATGATGTGCTGTTCCTCGGAGACTGCCCTCACGAGTGGTTGTTCGCCAATGTCGCAGCGGTCTTCCACCATGGCGGTGCGGGAACAACTGCGTGTGGACTGCTGAACGGAAGGCCGACAACTATTGTTCCATTCTTTGGCGAGTAAGTGCTTTATCAATACACCAGGAACTCTACAGTGGCTTACATGCTCTAGCCAACCTTTCTGGGGCGACATGGTTGCCATTGCAGGTGCGGGGCCGAAGCCAATTCCACACAAGCAGCTCAACGCCCAAAACTTGGCCGATGCTATACGTTTCTGCTTGACTCCAGAAGCAGCAGCAGCAGCCGGCGAAGTTGCAGCCAAAATGAGGACTGAGAACGGTGTAGCTACGGCAGCGAAGTCGTTCCACGCCAACTTGCCTCTGGAAACTTTGCAATGTGACATATTCCCCGACCAGCCTGCAGCATGGGGGTTCAAAAGAAGCAAAAGGCAATTGAAGTTATCAAAACAAGCTGCAGGTATCCTTCTCGATCACCTAAAGATTGGACAAAAGAACATGTCGCTGTGAGTAGCCAGCAAGAGTCCGGAAATTTCTATTTGCTTATGTAAAAATACTCCAGATACGAGACAAGAACATACATCATCGAGAATCGCCGATGGGACCCTGTGACAGGCTCCGCATCATCTCTGATGAGCGCAGGAGCCGGCATGGTTAAGGGAGCTACAGACATCGTCATCAAACCAATTCAGGTTTATCGCCAACGATCCAAGATAAAATCGGCAGAAACGGGAGACGTCGTGAGAAGCAGTGCCAGCAGTGATTTTCAGACACCTCCTAGATCACCGAGTCTAGCACCGCCGCAATCCGACGCCTTTGAACGACCAAAGAGTGCCGGCGGAGGCTGTGGAAGTACCACAGGGGAGGCAATGAAAGCGTCAGCTTCTGGTCTCGGCAACTTTTTCAAATCATATGGCAAATTCTACCTCGACGTGCCACTGGCGGTTACAGAAGGGCTCCGCGTGACGCCAAAACTATACGGCGAGAAAGTAGAAGACCGCGCGCCTATCACGGATTGGAAGTCCGGCGCGATGGTTGGCGGGAAGAACTTTGTCACCGGTATCGGTGGAGGATTTGCTGATCTATTTTATCAGCCCTACAAGGGAGGCCGAGACGGAGGTGCGGCAGGTGCGGCAGTGGGCGTTGGCAAGGGTGTGATGAACATGATGACCAAGACGGCTTCAGGTATGTTCCTCAATCCCACGAACCTCATCGTCTTGGACGATACACTAACTTCAGCAACACAGGAACCCTTGGAATCGTTGCTTACCCTGCCCAAGGAGCGTATCAGAGCATCAGAACAGCAGTCAAGTTCAAGACTCGCCACAGCATTGCCGCTGCCCGGCGAGCTGAGGGTGAGTATCTGGCTCGCAATACTCCAGTCAATGTTGAGCGGGTACTGCAAAAGTTTGATGAGATTTGCCGAGCCAGTGAGGCGGGAAAGAAGGTTATTGGATTTTAGGAGGCAAAGTGAGGACAGAGATACCCAAAACATTCCTTGCTAGATTGCACTTTAGACTTGGTGGTAGAAGGTTTACGGTAATTTAGCCGCATCACGCTCATATACTATTAGAACATATCGTCTCGTAGATATAAATCATGAAATCTTCATCTTGAGACGCAAAACATGTAAGCTTGGTACTGGACCCAAGATGGAATGAGTCAGAATTAACCCTGTCCTTGGTTTCGAGTAAGAAGCAGGGTTTTTGCAAGCCTCCCAGGCTTTGATTTCGAGACTATCATCAACAGAACGGGTCACATACGCAGCACTACCACAGAAGCTCTCAGTCTTCTCAGACTCGCGTTCAACATGAACAGCTGATCTATCAACTAGTGGTAAAACATATTTAGTTGCCATCAAGCAGCGTCGTAAGGCCGGCGGTTCGATCCCCCAACCCCGGGCGCATTCGATTTTGTTCCCTTTATGAGGATGCACACATTTTTCAGAAGCGAATATAAATCACAATAACTTTGTGGACCTTTGTAGACAATGGGAACTCGGATCAAAATGACTAGATTGATGGCATGCCCGTTTCTTCCATCTCAAGCCGCGTAAAGGACCTTGAAGACCCAAGCGAACTGGTCCGCCTCAATCAATGCTTCGTCCACCTTGATCTTCAACCCATGCTCAGTCCCCGACCCAACTGATTTCCACTCGAGGTCTTCGCCGCCTTCGATGTTGAGAAGACTGACAACATCGCCCTTGACAACGGGAACCGGTGCTTGGATAGTAACCCAGCCGTCAACGACAAGTGGCTTTTCCAAGAACACGGTGTAAAACGCCTCATCAGTTTGCGTAAACCTCACGTCCGGTCCACCTGGAATTTCACTCTGCACGAACCAATATGTCGTGTTGAAGATTGCTTCTTCATGGCTCTTGATCCACTTACCGGCCTCACGCAAGTTGTCCATTTCAGCTTGCACAATAGTCCCGTCCGCCCTCGGCCCGATGTCCAGCAAGAAGTTGCCGTTCTTCGACACCATGTCAACGAGCGAGTATACAATTGTGGTAGCGTTCATGTACTCCTCAGGCTTCGTCTCTCGGTTGTATCCGTAGCTGTATGGGTCCATGCCACGGTTACTCTCCCACTTGCGCTGCTGAGCAGACGCGAAGGTCTGGTACTCAGGAGTGTCGAAGTCGGCCGCCTCAGAGATGCCGCAGCGTGAGTTGATGGCAACCTGTCGGCCCTCGGCACGGGCCTTGTTCCACCACTCTGCCGCGAAGCCTGCCGTGCCATTAGCGGCGCCGCAGTCACACCACATGATGTCGGTGCCGTAGTCATATGCCAGAGTCTCCATTTGAGGGACCATGAGATCCGTGATGAAGTCGTTTACGGGGACATGTCCAGTGTACGGCTCTGGCTCGCCTGTGTAGGGGTTTGGCGCCGGCGTACCCGGCCAGGAGACCGAGGAGGCTGTAGGAAACTGGACGAAACCGTACGGGCCGAAATCTGGGTTGAACCACTCAGGTAGTGAAAAGTATGTTCCCCGCTTTAGCGAGGGCTGGTATGTCTCGGCGGCATCAAAGAGTTCCCTAAGAAGGTCACGCTTGGGACCATAGTGAATTGCCGAACGATTCGAAGTTTCACCTGTGTCGAAGAGAGCGAAGCCATCATGGTGCTTAGTCGTGATGACGAAATACTTGGCGCCCGCGTCAGCAAACAAGTCAACCCACTCTTTGGGATCGAATCTTGACGCGTTGAACTCCGGGAAAGTGTCATCGTACGCCCAGTCGGGGCCGTAGGTATCGAGGCGGTACCCATAGAAGTTGGAGCGATCACCATCGGGATGGTGCGTGGAGTACCACCAGAACCATTCGGCGTAGCTTTCGTACGGCGTCGAGTTGCCCCAGCCGGTGACGGAATACGGTCCCCAATGAATAAAAATACCGTATTTGGCGTCGTCAAACCATTCCGGACTTTCATGTTTGGACAGACTGTCGGAATCTGCAGTCCACTCTGTCAAACCGATTTCCACACCGTCAATCGACGTCGCTTGTCGAGTACTTCGGCTGCTAATCTCAAGGGAGACGCTGACTGGACCATCAGAGGCTCCATCGACACCGACTGTGATAACCTTCTGATCGCCGGGGCAGAGTCGCTTCAGGTGTCCCGGGCTAACGGTGCGAAATCCATCTCCAGAAATAGTTACGTTAAGACCGTCGCCAGACACACACTTCGACCCAGCGTTGTTGACGGTAACCTCAACTACCTGTGTTCCATTTCCCACCCACTTCTGCGTCGGACGGACTGACTGCACCCCGATTTCTGGGGTCTGGTGCCACAAAGAGATAGCGAAGACGTGAAGTCGACCCTCGGTTGCATTATTCTTCACCGGCAGGGTGATGGAGCTAAGCTTCTTTCCTGGCGGCAGCGCCGTGGAACGCTCAAATATGTGCGAGGTATTGAAGTCGGAGCCATTGGCTGTATATCTGCTCGGGAATACAATCTCACCGCGGTTGATAGTCAAGAAGCTGAACCAGTTGAGTGTGCGGAGCTCATACTCGGATGTCGTGTTGTCGGAGTAGGCGAAGGACACATTGCCGCTGACGGTCGCACCCTCAACGTCTCCGGCCACGAGGAATGAGACTGAAAAGTAGCTGTCCTGGGGGACGGTAACTTTTTGACCAGTACAGATGAGATTGTCGGGCTCCGTGGGTCCGGTGTACCCAGGGAAACTATACTGGATTCCTGTGTCGGGTGAGACGAAGTCCGGGCCAATAACTGGCTGAGGGAACGACTGGTCAAGTGCGTCGAATGATGCCTCTCCCGGCTGAGTACCGAAACCTTTGTTGTTGAAGAGGGAGCTCAAATCAAGGGGAACGGACTTCTGTGCGATTGATGTTAATAAGGTTTAACGAAACTTCGTGTCGATGTTGATTACTCACTCCATGGAGAGACGAGTTGGTAACTGCCCCAAGCGCAATGCCGCTCAGGTACAGCACTGAGAGAGGACTGAGACTCCTAAATCCCTTCATTTCAGAGATCACCATTTCCTGGGATTCATTTCATCTGCCTCAAAGCTTCAAGAGGCTGAGGAAGATGGCCGTTCTTAACGGCCAACCTCAGTTCGGCGGCGGGGACTTGGACGATCCATCCCTTTCATGGATAGTCTCCTCAGTTCATCCAACATATCGCTAATTACGACCCTGAATGGAACGGTAACATTACCCAAATCGATGCCCACTATTCATGTTACCATCAACTTTAGGGACAGGTCGGGAGTTGGGGTTCCTGGGCAGTGAGGGGCACCACCGCTGATAAGATAGGTGAATGCTGGAGATAGCACCACTTGCCCAGACGTCATCAGGAGAGGGGGTCCCACGTTCAGATGCGTACAATGGGCCGCTTCTCCGAGGGAACTTATCGTTGAAATGAAAGCAATGCCGAAATCGGCTGCTATTTGCCGACTCCTTCTCATCCCATTTTACTATCATGCTCTTGACGAAATTAACAATTCTCTAGCAATTTCATTTTCATTATTTCTGTCAGCACGAAGTTGGTTGGCCGAACCAGAAACTTGGGCAGAGACAGCAGGTCCAGTGAAAAGGTTTTGTGAATGATGGAAGATGATTGCCGCAACGCCGCATGTGGTAAAACAAAACACAAAAGTTATAACTAGAGGTGGAGAGAGACAAAGCAAAGGACGATGGCATACTACCTATGATAGTTTTGGCCCGTGGTAGATTTGCTATCATCAGATCAGTGCACGTCTTAGAGATAATGGGCTAAGCTATGAGCGCGATGACGTTGATGGCAAGGAGGAAATGAAGTGTTTGGACATTGCTCGAGCGATTCCACTATGTCTGTGCGCTGCCCTCGCCATTCCGTTCATTCACTCCGATGTCATCACTTCAGATTTCCCTCGGCCACGGATGTTCATGGCTTTGAAATCTTTGTTTGTAAGGGCTGTCAAGATGTGTTGCTGCAGGGCTCGGTCTCGCCCGCGATAGCATTGACCTCCCAACCTGATCTCCGGATACAAATCTAAGTTGAAAGTTCAGCCAAAAGTACGATTATCGGGACGAGTATTTGAAATGCAAGCCCCCCTCTTTGTCTTGACAAACGCGCCGAGGTTGAGGATGTATTTTCTGTCAAGAATTCCACGTGTTGATTCTTGTTTCGAAACACTGAACCTGCCCGTCGGGTCAGGAAACATGGGGACGAGCTGCATATTCTCCGACCCCGACCAAGGCCACTGTTTGTTTCTTACACGAGCTTGCTGATCTGCACGATGTCTGACAGCGCGATTGAAACATTTCGGCAACCTGTTCTCCACTTTCTTTAATCGTGTTTCATTAAACAGTTGGTTCCTTGGATATAAAAAAAAAAGCCCGAGAAGCCCTCGCAACCGCTGTCACTGTCACTGTCACAAGTGGCGATTGAGTAGGATTGCCAGTCTTTGAGCAAAATGAAGCTTAGATCACCAGTAATGTTTCTTCTATTGAGTAGTTTTAAAACCTTTAAGACGTCTTACCTTGCTCTGCAGGTGACCGGACAAGGGTACTATGATGAAATGAATACACATTGAAATTATTCCCATGCTACCTAAAGGGACACACCCTAGGAATGCGTGCCCAGACGTCTTCTCATCGGGAACGACCTTGGGCTCATGATCTCGGACTTCTTCTGGTCGGGCTTCTGCTGTGCAGCAAAGTTGGCCATTATTTCCCACGTAGCCATGACGCCTCCATTGCGCCTTGTCTCAGCCATAGCCATGAGGTCGGCCATCTTCATCTCATAGCCTCCCATAGGAATCGGGGCGGCTGCCGGCGGCGCCTCGGGTCCTTGTCTGCGTGTCGGCTGCCTAGCAGCGCTGGCAGCCTTCGGGGCGCTGGCCGGTGCGAGGCCAGGCTGCGCACCGGTGATGCCACCACCTCCCTGTTGGGGCGTGCCGGGCTGTACGAGACCACCGCCCTGCTGCTGGCCTTGTTGCGGTTGGCCTTGCTGAGGGGCGGGCTGGGGTTGGGCGCCAACTGGCGTCCCGGCGACCATCATAGTAAGAATGAACTCGCCGTCAATCTGATTGACAGGAACGGCGATACGAGCATTCTCTCTGTCAAGGAGAACCTGGGCACTGATCGGGCTGAAGGTTTGAGCCAGGAGAAGCTGCGTAGCCGCAGGGATCGCAGGACCGGCATTTGAAGGGGGGTTCTGAGTGTTTCCTCCTGGCGGAGGCGGTGCGACAGCGGGGGCGTTACCAGCAGCGGCTCCTGCACCGTTGCCGGCAGTGTTACCACCGCCGTTCGCTGGAGGTTGCTGGCCAGCGGTTCCGTTGTTCACTTCTTGACGCTTGGAGCGAGCAGCCTGCAGTGCACCTGCGGCACCACCAGGGTTCTGAAGAACCGGGCGTTGAGCGATGCCGAGTGTGATGGAAGTCTGAGGTGCAGCACCTGCGCGCATGGCCATCGCCATGAGTCGATCAACATTCACTGTTTCAGAACCCGGTCAGTGCCGCTCGCAAAACATAGATAAAGTTTATTTCATGCAGCGGGAAACAAAAACTTACGCGGCATCTGGACCACGGCTGTCATACTGTTGAGGCTAGGCACGACTCCTGCCAGGTTGCTCGTGACGAGGTAGCGGTAGTTGTCTGTCATCGTATTAGCATGGTGGGTTTTTGACAAGAACGAGATCATGTCTTGGCACTCACTAATGGACATGATGCCGTTGGTGACCATTTCAGGGCTGATGCCGTTGACAACGTCCGTGCGGATGCTCATTGGCTGACTAGCCCTGATGGACATCCGGAATCCGTCCTGAAATTCCGCCTCCTGAATGCCGGATCCTACGATCTTGACAGGCTGACCAAAGGGTGTCAAAGAGACGCCAAGTTCGCTAGTTTGGCGGCCTACCGCCACGTACTCGCCATCGATCTGATTCAGCTTGACCATACGGACATTTGCATCGGTGATGTTGACGCTCTTGACGGTTTCCATAACGATCCACGCTTGGCGGTCCTTTGACAGCATCGCCACATAGGTGTTATCAGCGGTGACACCAGCTTGCTGCAGCGTGTTTTGGTCAATGGCCAGCTCGATCTGAGCGCCTACTAGATCGTTGGCGCCATTGGTCTGAATAGTGAAAGAATTGCGCGAGAGTTGAACGAAGGGCTGCCCTGATGAGCCGACAACGTGGCTTGCCGGCAATGGGTTAGGGTTCTGGTTGACGATGATTTGACGCTGCGTTTGGGAAAACGTTTCAATCTTGGTGTTGTCGGGAAACACTAAGCTGTTGAGTTGCATCTGGGAGAGACTTGTTAGAACGCCTCTAACAAAGCAGATTCCCACCTCTTTCCCAATGACCATCGCGATGGTCAAGAACCAGTGTGCTGCGGAAACAACTTACATCCCCATTGAGATTGATAACCTGATTGAATTGAACATTCTGTTGACCTTGAGCTGCGACCAAGCCAGCAAGTAGTAAAGAAAGCTGAGAAAGCTTCATGAGCGTCATTATGATTAGCGAGGGTCAACCGCCGGGGTTGGTAAACAAACGATGAGAAAGAAAAAAGAGTATGGTGGGATGATAAGAGAAGGAGAGACACCGTTACTAAACCCACGGGTCCTAGGGGAAAGACGTTTGTATAGAGGTACGACCAGATAGAGGGGCTATCAACAATCAAACGAGGGTCAAGTAAGCTTAATGATCTCGGGAGTGGGCGCGGCGGAGTCTTGTACATATGGCAAGGTATAGAATGGGGCAATGAAGGGCTGCCATGCCACCTGGTAGTCGACGGGCATGATTGTTTGATGGGGTGGTCGGACACATAGAAGCAGCGCCCAGCCGGAGAGGAGCTCGACCCTCCAATCGCATGAGTTGTCTGGTGTCGGCTGTGCAAGAAGAATTGCTGCAAGATGCCGCTCCCATCCTCTTCCGGCCGCACAATCTGTTGATGATGCGCCTCGGCGGAAAGTAGATGCAAGGGGGCATCGGGCTTAATCATCGGACCATAAGACTTCCGATCACTACAGGCTTGCGGGTGCCAGGCCTGAATGCAGATGCCTTCCATGTGCAAGGAGCAGGCAGCATCAAAGAGGTGATATCCTCGTCCGGTCTCGAGTGGGAGGGGGAGGCAAAAGAGACAACACAAGGTAAGGCTCCTCGGTTTCGGCTGGTATGAGACAAGTTTCGTCGTTTCGAGCTCGGCCGTGTGGGGTTTCATCAGACGAGGCCGGGCGGAAATGGTAGGCAAGTGACCATTACTTACCTAAGATGCATTCTCTTCTTCCCAAACCCTTCATGAACAAGATGGGGATTCGCAAGAGGGGACGGCAATCCTAATAACCGCGGATCCTTGGGTTCCCCTCCTTTCCGTTTTGGTCTTCTTCGCCAAGTCCAATGGGAAGGAATCCTCGTTTCGCCGCAGCTGATGTGCGACTTGGGTCGTGGCTTGGCGAATGCTTGACCTCAGGGCGGCTCCGCGTCTGCGTCCTAACATATTCTATGTGATCCTCCCGGTTACCATCACTTTTCTCTTAACCCTCGGACGATATTCTCCCACATGGCCCTCTGCTTCTTGCTTGCCTTGTCCTCGGGTTATCCAACTATCTCGTTTCTTGCCCCGTGGCCCTCGTTTCTCCTGTTATTTCGGAAATTTTCTGTCGTCACCAAATCCTTGATCATGATAGTATTTGTATTAATCACCTCCACTTTCGCCGGTTGTTTAAAGAGGCGGTTCAAGTTAATCTGCAGTCTGTGCGACTTACGCGGATACATCGCTGGTAATCATCCGCAGAAGGCCATTCCCTTGGGGAATCGGAGAAATGGACAATATCCTCATTACTCATGTGGTTGTTCAACCCTTCGGGACCCTTCGGAGTGTTCCGGTCTCCAGAGACATGCCACATTACCCAGATTGAATGATGGCATTTTTTATGTCCCGAATGGCAATGAGAAGCGCCCCGAAAGGCCGAGACAGGATGCTGCTAGTTTGCGCCACGGCCATCTGAATAGAACGAGGCGGGTGACAGCTACCGCTTACTTCCTTTACCCTTTCAATTCATAATTGGGCCCTACGTGGTTTGATTCAAGTATTCTGGTCTAGTATATATGACCTGATCTTCTTGAAGCTCATTCTCAAGAATTGACTAACATGGGCGACCCTCGCCAAGGTGGGCGAATTCTTAGACTTGGTGTCCGTATGCGACAAGCCCACTCAACTCCCTGATGAGTCGATTTGAGTCTCAGCCTACCTCGATCCCTGCTCACTAGCACACCACCCTGTATCCTACTACAGAGGAACCCCAGGTGACCCCGGCATTCCAAACCACTTTGACCCCTTTCGTCCGCTTGCTTCCGTCTCTTCTCAAGTCTTACATCGATCCCCCATCTTTTCTTAGCACTTCGTTTAGCTAATGATACCTGTTTCCCTATGAATCCCCTGTCAATCATGCCTTGGCGTTGCAACACATTCTTCTTGGCTGTGACGTCTGGAGTGTCCTCCCCCGAACGCATCCATCACGACCCTTCCAAGCGCTGGTGCGCCTGATCTCTCAATGACCCCTCACCCTTGGATATCCTTCAGATCAACATCTCTTTTTCATCCAAGAGCAGTCGCATTGTTCAGTCTTCAACTACCTTATACGTCTTGCGGACATTCGATATAAGTCGTTCTATCGTCCTGTCCATCTGCCCACGGTTCCGGGCCGGTGAACTCTTTCCGATCTTAGTCGCGTTTTCTTTCCTCTCATCTCACCTAATCAGATTCTCTTTTTTTTCAGTGAATGGTCGGACACCTTTGCAAGGTCGTTCCGCTCTACCACTCTCCTTTAGGACAGCCCGCCGAATCATCCACCCTTCTTCTCTTTCTATACTATATTTTGTAGGTGTGGCTTTTTTCTTGGTGCAACCAAGCTAGTCTTGGTATCAACCAACTCAACAACATTGCCAAAATGCAGTATTCGTTCATTCTTTTCTTCGTTTTCTCTTACCTACCCTCTTTTGGTCTCGCTCTACCAGCTGCTAGCCCAGCAAAAGGCGTTGGGCATCATCGATTCCTCGTCCGGGGTGTCCGGCATCTCGGTACCCGAACGCCCCAGAACGACGTTGCCGAAGGTCAGACAGGCGCCAGTCAGGGCCAGAACAACACGGTCGAAGGGCGAAATGGCGTCAGCAGTACCCAGATAATGAATGCCGTTATGTCTTGGATGCAAGACACAGGAAAGGTCACAAAGTTCCTCAACACCGCCACATCCTTTACCGGCGCTGAGTTCACCAAGCAAGCTACAATTGCTCTCAACGCCGAGATTGACGAGCTCAATCATAAGATGGTTCTCGACACCGCCTTTCAAGGAACGGACATGGTTACACAAGCCAATGCAGTGCTCGACACACAAGGCAACTTCCAGGCGGTCGTTGATACCTTGCAATCCATGGTCACCAACGGACCCGACACCGCGCAAAAGGACGTCAACACCATCAACAACAACCGCTGTGTCAATGTACTTCCCAACATCGATATGTACTTTGCTGCTGCCGGTGCCCCTGAGGTTCAGGCTGTTCGTCCTACAGGATGCTTGGAGGTTGAGGGCGCCAACGTTACTCCCGCAGTCCCGCCACCTGTTAAAGGCGGCACTGCACCACCTCAAGTAACTCAAGCGCCTACCGTTGGCAACGGGAATGACAATGGAAACGGCAATGGCCAAACCCAGAGCGGCAACGGTCAGAACAGTAACCAAAACCAGGCTGACAATAGCAATGGACTGAACATTGGCAAGGGAGTCAGTGGAAACGGCGGCAGCACTCAGAGCAACAACCAAATCAACGATCAGGGCAACAACAATGGTCAGAACATCGGCAAGGGAGCCAGTGGAGACAGCGGCAAAAACACTTTGCAGCCCGCCAAACTGGGTTCTCAGAACTCCAATACCAACGTCAACAACGGCAACGGTAACAATCAGGGCCAGAAACAATCTCAGCAGCAATCACAAAAGCCTCCAAGTCAAGCAGGCTCCGCCCTACAGCCCGCTCGGCTTGGCTCGTCAACGTCTGGTAAAAACTGAGTCCAGCACCTCCACAGGAAGTGACTCCTTCCACCAAGACAAGAGCAGCTCGCGCACAGCTTCAGAAGACCCAGCAACCGCCATCCCTAGCCACGGACTTGGCGAGGACGTTGCCCGATCCCGCGGGCTGAGACGAAAGCTGAATGGGGTGGCGGAAAGCTTGAAGCAGCATGCTTGATAAGCCCTGCAAGCCAAGATGTCAGTAGTATTTTTTTGTTAGCTTCTTCGGTGTCAGGCGAAGTTTGTGGTCACGGATGGTCTGCGACTGTGGGTGTGGGTGTGAAGGAGGCGAGGGTCCCGTGGTACTCGGTGCTTGTTGGTATCAGTTTGAAAGCCTGGTAAAACGCTAGCCAAAAAATTACTCCCGTAACAGGCCATTCTTCTTACTAAGGCAATAGGGTATGGGATCTTTCCTAATAGTGTCTTTAATAAACCCTGTCGAATGCTGTAGCAGCGAGTCGCAGGCTTCTCAATAATTGGGCAATTCATATTGACTCTGTGCTCGAAACGGGCCAAAAGCTGGAGACATCCCTGGAATGTTTGGAAAATCGTAAACGAAACGTCAAAAAGGTACCCCTGGCTTGCCTGGGTTCCAGGGGTCCTGCATGCTGCGCCGGTTGAGCCGCTTTGATCGCTCGGCAGAATCCGCCCGTCTCATTCGCAGATCATCTCCACGTCCTACTCACTCGGACTGTTGCGATTGGCTCGATCGACCAGCGCAGGGTTACCTCCTAGAACTTTGGGACGAAGATATGGGAACCATGGTCATTCCACGTTCGAAGCAGGCAAGGTGTAGAAAGAGTCTCAGAGGGCTGAAGATACTGACGAGTTTCTTTGTTGCCTTGGTCAGACTTTTCGATATGTACCTCCTGACCTTGCTCGAACCATCTCGCGCAGACTGCGACGGCGTTAGTGCCACAATGCCATCATTTTGGTAGGCAGCACAAACAATCTTTGTACTCTGTCACGCACCTTCATTGTCTGGCGTTTGCTTTGGCTTCTTCCCTTCATCTGACTGTCGGACCCCACTAAATTGAGACGGCAACCTCGTTGTTGGCTGGTTCTTTCGGCCGAATGCCGCAAGGCGATTGGATAGTTTTGATGCCTGAGACGCAGAACGGTCGAATGCATGATGGAGTTCAGACAATCAACGTCCAATTTGATAAGTTGCGTGCCGAGCTGCTGTGCTACGTGCCCCCATTGTCTTGGCCTGTCTCTCATTTCGCGGATGAGCACCTTACGCACACTCACGGGCTACTCCATAGTGCCCTCAATGCGTCGCTGAGTCTCTACTTACGGGCCGTGATGTAGCATTTCCCGGAGTCGTGGGCCACCGGCTCCTCAGCTAGTCTAAAAACTTCTAACGTCGATCAGGTCCTTGCCCGTTTCGATGATCATTCATGGCCCATAGGTCGAAACTTGGGGATTTCGGCGTGCCGATGCGCTTATACTAAGAGGAAGCTTCCATCGTCAGTTTCTAGTGATCTTAACGTGTAGTTGAGTGGTAAGGCCATGGGTGAGCGAATCATTCCTTGGATTAGCATTAGCCAGTATGTTCGGCTAACCGAGATATTGGTCCCACGAGAGTCGCAGCCCAGGAGTTTATATGTGAAAAGATATTCAACTTCAAACACTACCATCTGACCAAGGGGGGATGAATCATTGGTCATGCCTAGTTTGAGTGCCATCGACTTAATGACAGCGGTATGATTGTCTTAGTCGGTTAGATGCTATGAACACGGCGGTGCCACTTTCAGCTCGTCATTTGCAGTTGTCATCTGACTTCTTCGGCTTCAATTCGAAAGTGTATCACCTCGCAACCTCCCTTAGAAGAGTAGACGAAAACGCGCAGTTACCCAGACTATAACTTTTAAGTGGCCATCTGTATCAGCAACCCATGCTTTATACCACGCATAGCTTTTGGAAATTGAAATAATATTCTTTCAAATCCTTTACAACCCAGTCAACACGATCAACTTGAAGCTCAACGTTGAAGCAGCCGTTGGTGAGTGTGGGAAGTCAAATAGGGCGATCCGAACTATCATCTCTGCAGGTTGACAGTTTTTTTATAGTTTTTTTGGAATGACAAGATTTCTAGACTCAAGCTTTACTTACTCGACTTCCCCTTTTTAACTTGAATTACTATTGACTGATGAATGCAGCTTGTCTAGGATTCTGACTCCAAGTCAACTGCAAACTTTCTGATCGTATCAATGATGTTTACTAACTTTTAAAAAGATAGAACACACGACCAAGCGTAGCACGAAATTTTGAAGGCTTTGTACTCGATCACGCCTATCCTTTGTCTGTATAACACTCGAAGGCAGCTTGTATCACGGACTCGATAATGATTTCTCTGCCGGTTGCGTCGGCTACAAGAGATATTGCTACGAAAACTATGGCGGCATAGTTTTGACAGAAAATAGATAAAGCACCCCAGTTCGAGCGTAATTGGACCACAGAGAAAGCGGAATCCCAGCGTCATTATCGAAAGGTTGTGAGCCCAACGTTCTTTGAAATGAAACCGTGCTTAATCTTTTGAATTCATTGAGTCTGTTGACTCCACTCCCCCTTTCTCGCTTTGAATACAAACAGGAAAACTTACTACAAACGGGTTGGAATGTTGAGCATCCGAATTTTTCTTCAAAGCATTTTTGAGAGCTTGGTCTCGTTACCCTGTGTGAAAAACCTAAGCTTCATATCAGTCTTGATAGCGTCTAAATATAAATATGAACAGCGCTAACCCCAGCATTTAGCAGTTATTATCACAAGGCTAGTACTAAGAGCTGTTTAGTTGATTTCAAGTTAACTTACTCAGGTGTACTATATGTCAGCACTCGAATGGCAGGTCGCCGTCCGGTAGCATTTTGAGCTCCACTGTATAAGTACACCCGAGTTTGAATGCGGTGCAATTAATCGTAATCATTTACAAAACGTTGTATACAGAACGATATCGAATTGGTTAGCGTGAACTCAATAATATTCTTATCTCGCAAACCGGAGTGAGAGATATGGTACGTTGAGATAAAGGGTACTATCACGACCCTTGCTTATCTCTACTCATCCATCCGTCACCCCGCACTCTGGCCGCCAATCCATCCTAACGCAGACAACCGCCGAGTTCCGAAGCGCAGATTTCCTGGTTGAATGCCTTGATAACAACCCTTCGGCGATTTCGGCAGACCCCAACCCCCTCCCCACCCCTTCACAGGATAAACGTCAAGGACTTTGGAGATTTGGAAAGATGTAACGTCACTGTTCGGAGATTCATGTCAAACCCCTCACATGCGTGTGTTCCCCTCATTGATGATGGAATAACGCCCTGGAAGGAAACGTTGGTGGCAATGCTATGGAAGCGATGACACCTTAGGTCATTAGTGACCATGGTGTGGTTCGTGAACACAATGGTCCACTCGGCTGCACTCGAAGCAACAATCCAAGGACTGGCCTCAATTGCTCAGATCCCCACTCATATAAGTCCACTCACTTGGAATTATGGCGAACCTGACCGTGATGCTATTCGCAATAGCTTAGAACTTCATTAGTCAAGATGATGTTTCGCAAACCAATTGAGGCCGTTGTAGCGCTGTTTGCGTCGCTTTCTGTTGTCCAAGGGCAAGCCGTCCGATTCAACAACCCTGAAGGCGTAGATATCTGGTGTGGCAAGGCCTATCGTTCTACGTACGTCACCTCGTCACTGCGCAGCTAATAAGACCTTATTCATTGTTTGAGAACCATAGAGACTCCTCCTTTGACCCGGGCGGATGGTTTCCTGAGCCTGTCATCTCGGATATCCCTCTCTTAAGACTCAAGGTGCGACCGCGCCTCAGCATTTACCTGGAGACTGATTCAACTGCAAATCTCCTCATCGATGCCGTTATCTCAAACCAGGTCGGCTTGCCGCTTCCTCTTGGCTTTGGACAGAACGCTTCGCTTGCGACACCGAAGCATCTAACCGTTGAGATAGTTCTCGAGAACGATGTGCGCACAACACAAGATATTGCACTGGGGTCGCGGAACAACGAGGTGTCTCTCGCAATGGGCTCTTTAACTCCCCGTATGGAGGCTTATAACATCACCGTCCGCACAATGCTAGACTCGACACATATCTACGAGGACTGGACTGAGTTCTCTTACCTGCCTTACCCCGAAGACTACGGCAGCGTAGCCCGCATCGATAACCTCTATGGCGGACTCCTGGCGCAGCGGGGAAAAGATTCACCGTGGGACCTCATCTTCGCGTACACTTACTACAGTAAGCATACTATCTCTGTCCTTTAGATATCTCGCTGACTGATCACAGCGCAATGGACTCTCTACTGGAACGATAGCGTCGACACACTCAACGAGTTCGCCGCTATGGGCTATAATGTCATCCACATCGTGCCCACGGGAAGCCTCGGCGAGATCCCTTTTCCCTGGGACGAATTTGAGCCGTATTTACAGCGCGCCGATGAGTTGGGCCTCTACCTCCGCTACGACGTCCTATGGACCTGGCCCAACCTTACAAATATGGTCGATCAAGTCACCCGCTTGCGCACTCACCCATCCATTTTGCTATGGTATCAGAGCGACGAAGCCGACGGCAAAGCAAACCCCGCCAATTCCACTGGTATCGCGTACGAGCAGATCAAAGCCATTGACCCATATCACCCCGTCTCCCTCGCTCTCAACTGCTGGGACTTTCACTACGCCGAGTACGCCGCTGGCGCCGACATCGTCATGAGCGACGTTTATCCGGTGGCCATCAATGCAACCTTTTCGACAGTCTATGGCACAGAGTGTAATGCGACGTACGGCTGCTGCGGGTGCGACGACTGCGAGGGCAAGTTTGAAGATATTGCGGTACGGTTGGACGAGTTTTACCGTCGCGATGAGATCCTGGGGTGGCAGAAAACACAATGGTTCGCGCCGCAGGCATTCGGCAACGAAACTTTTTGGGCGCGATACCCGACGGCGGATGAGGAGGCCGTGATGACGGTCTTGTCTGTAAACCACGGCGCCAAAGGTATCGTGATGTGGAATTATCCAGCGACGGACGAATTGGAGACTCTGACTAGCAAGTTGTCTGGGCTGTTCACGCATAAGACTGCGGTCGATTTCTTGCTGGGAACAGAGAGGACACAGGACCTGGTTGTCGAGGGGGCGAAGAGGGTTGATGCTGCTGCGTGGGTGGATGACAACAAAAGGCAAGCGTTGATCAGCGTTGTGAACCTCAATTATGATGAGATACAAGGGGAGATCAGAATTGTTCTGCCGGAGGGCGTTGAGGCTGGCCAAGTCATCGAGGTACTCTGGGGAGACGCTGCTTGGGAGCTGGGCGCTGGCGGCTTGATCGCAACAGAAGGGTTGGCTGGGCTTCAGACATCGGTCATTGTTGTCGATCTATCTTAATTCAGTAACACTGAGACCAAGATGGGTTTGCAAGGCAATGAGAAACTGTTGTCGCAGCACGAATTTTGCAACACATCAATGACATCAACTCTCAGGACGTAGATGCTCTTCAAGTCATTCAATAGTTTAGAATCACTGAGTCGATCGTTCAATAACGTACCCAGTGACTGTTTAAAGTTGTCCCGGGAAAGTTGGACCCAAAGCCGCTAACTTGGCATCCGCGGAAGACGTCATTCATGGAGACCAATACGCGTTTAGACTGTAGCGCTGACCGAACTTGCGATCTCTGTTCCGCGTATAGACGGGAATCCGCACAGCACCAGGTTTTCGGATCCGCAACCCAAAAAAAAAAAAACCCCCCCGAATCTTCGCATTGGGTGCTAGCACTGACGTAAGAAAGGCAAACGCATTTGTGCTTGGTCAAGCACTTTCTCAAATTCGGCAACGCCCGCCTGCTGCGACCTTACTCGGTAAGATCACTCTGCACAACGGGTCTCTTGCCAAGCCTTCCCAAGGAATTGGCCCGAACGTTGGTCTCGGCAAGTTTATTGCCTTAGTTGTGAATTCCAAACCAAACTCACTCAATCCATAAGGATGATCTAGGTCCGACGTTTGTTACATGAACTTCCAGATCCGCACCTCGGTCTATCAGAGCCGGTCTGCATCGATGCTATCCACTATGCGCCGTGGACTAATCCTCATCGGCCTCCTCGCTGCTGTCGGCATAACACATGCATTCACTAACGAGGAGCAATTCCGGCTGAGCCATTCTAGGTACGAGAAGCTGTATGACTCTTCTGGCCCAAACGTTCCAAAACATTCGGACTGGAGGACAACCATTGTGCCTCCGCCTCCAGAGCGGGAACCTATCACCGTGACCGAGCTTCCCTTACCTCCCGTCACAGCGGACGAGGGCCCTGGGGGGTGCACCTTGGATATAAACCCAAACGAAACCGGATGTATTGGCAAATCCCCCACTCTCCAAAACGGAAACTTCCTGCCTGATAATCTTCACGTCGTAGCGTCAGTGAACTTTACCGGGGCTCCCAACGCCCCAGCCCCAGCCAGCATATACAGTGGATTGCAGTTAATCATCGTCAAGGTCGATGGTACCACGTTCCCGAACGGAGACGCGTGGAAGTGCGTTACTTGCGGCGTCCCGGCAGAGAATCAGTTGGGGCGTAACGAACTGCTCGATTACCCTCAAACCTTCAACGACGGCCAACGTGTGCTGGCTGGTACTCACATCATCGAGTGTTCTGCCCAGCTCGCGAGTGAAGCCTGCACACCCGAGCACGTCCACATCTACCCTATCCGCTGGAACACGGCCGTTGATGGATCGGGTCCAGGCGGCCGGATCCGAGAACTGCGTATTCATCCTGGCGACGAGCATATTGGCTTCAATTCATTCACGATTACATCTGGCAAGATCGGCCAATTCGGATACATCGGAAGACTATCCTTCAATCCTTCGCCCACCACTGGCGAGCCACTTGCTCCTCGCTATGACCTGATTAACGTCAATGTCTTGTTCAATCCGGACGCCAAGAAACCTATCGAGGTCGATCATGAAGACAGCAGTCAACTCCGCATAAACTATGATGCCATCACTGTTGGAGAGTTGCGCGGCTTCAGTGGCACGGGAAACGAAGTCACATACATCGGATATCCAGCCGAGTCGTCCAACATTGATGTCTTCGCTGTTCATCTTACCACTGGGAAAGTACGGCGGCTCACTGCTCATCCAGAGTATGTTGATCCCGTCGACATATCGCCTGACGACCAATGGACAGTCGTGATGGACACACGCGGCACTGGCAGGCAGATGTTCTTGGCCGGATTACGGGGCATCCCACCTCTGACAGACTTAGTAGCCGCCAGTGCTGTCTCTTCAACAAGGAACAATGGCAAGCGGCGATTCTTTCAGCCGTGGTTGATCGACATTCACGGTGACCGAGGCTCCTACTTTGGACAGCAGATAAACGCGGAAGGAAGCGGCATCCCCGGCAGCGGTGCCGTCAACGACCCAGAGTGGAACGGCCGCGCTGATCCGAAATGGTCTAATGACGGGATGCGAATCGTTTACTACCAGGCACTGACCACGCCTCCGGCCTGCGGCGGGGAAAACCCCTTGCCCTGCTACCCGTCTACAGCACCCGGAGGCCGCATCGAGCGCATGATGATAGCTCACCTTGCAAGCCGGCAACCGCTTTCGCCGGTCTCTGTCAAGCCGCTTAATGATACCATCCCTTGGGCAACCTTGTACGCTCCTGGAAGCCAAGTCCCGGAAAGACCGTTTCCTGCGCTTGGAAACTTTACGCTCAAGGGTAGGGTTGGTGGATGGGCGCACATCATGATAACTCCAAACAGCGACGACGGCCAGCTTCCAGGAACTGTCGCGGTGGAGTATCACAATTTCTCCGATGATGGTCTTAATGTGCTTGCTGGAACGGAGGCGGTGACGGTAGTGAACCCTACCCCGACCCTGGAGGATGTTTACTGGTTCTCCGACCTGATCCAGACTGGACCGAACAACGGCACTAAGAAAACCAGCGTGGGCGGCTTCCATCTGAACGTTGATATAATGACGAATATTTTCCAGGCTAAAGGCACGTTGAATACAACGATTAATGGCAAGGAATGGGTCCAGCCGGCGAATGGTACGTAGACCAGACTGGATGGAACTTGTATATGGCTTTGCAAGATGATTGCTCCAGTTTCCAAAAGAAGAGTGTCTAAAAGCTAAATTGCAGTCATTTGGCCATGTACTAATTAAAGTAAACGTTTGTTACAAACTGTTTGTGTTATTACAGATCTGAATCATTCATCGTTATGTGACAACAGTGAGTGTATTGTCAAAGAGCTTTCTTGGGAAATCGAGGTCTGCTAGTCCCGGGGAATGTTTTATTTATCTTGTCAGACAACGGCATTCACAAGCTATAATTGCCGTAACAGAGCTAGAGAGGTTTGATGTTTGAAGCCCTCCTGTTAATCCCGCTCAAAGTCCGCATCAAGCTGCTTAGCTTTGCCCACTTAGGCGCCGATGCTGCTGCCTCGTCGCGCTCGTCTATAAGCCCAGACAAGACTGCCAGATGAACCATACTCTCCGTGCAAACCTGATTTTGTTGGGGGAATATATGGTTTCATCTAGACCTTGTTGAGTTGTTCAGAGAAGAAGCACATGCGTGTTGATTATCTATTAGAAGCAGAGCATAGAAGACGCTACTACCTCCTGACATAAGCCAGCGGAACGATGATCATGTGATACAGCACGTGACTAGTCTTTTTCCCTGGCTCCATGCCTCGACGAGAGAAGGACGATCATCTAGTCGAGACGGGCTGGGAGAGGGAGGAAACCGCAGCCAAAGGAGTCGCGCGCGCGCTGGAAACGGGATCGTCATTTTCTCGCTGTCGACATTGCGCATACGGAACGAGTTGTGTCGGAATAGACAATTTGCTACCATGAGCTGAATACCAATTGGACGATAAATCCACCACTTTCACCGTCCCTCGAGTCCGTGTTCGTCTCGAGGAGCTTGACGACGGTTTTCCTGCGATCCTATCTGCTCGCCTATATTTCACTTGGGCCGTTAACAATTCTGCGCGAACATGGCCAAGAAGAAGAACAAGCAGACCGCGCTCGACGAGTTTGACGAGAGTGTACCTAGCGGAAGCGCATCGCAAACCTCTTCCAATGGCTCATCCAAGGACTCGGCGTCCAAGAGGGCTGCAAGCGCAATTGCCGATACAGCTCCTGCGCTCATCATATGTCGCAATAAGTCCGTAAAGTGTCTTGGATCATTCCTTAGTTTGAAGTCAGCGCGCAGGCGATGCGCCGTCGGCGTCGACTAGGATGGGGTTGCCTACGGAAAGATTCATCACTAACAAAGACTGCGCGACAGGCATTGGCGCTTCATTTCCTCCTTCCATGGTCCATGGCTGCAGATGCCCGTCGAGATACTCGAAACCATTGCGAATATCAACTACAACACCCCGCGACCGCGTCCGATCGATCCCGCCGTATTCTTCGATCTCCTCAAGATCCGCCGGCTCGTGGACGAAGCCACAAACCTGGCCGTCCGGGCTGCCAGTGATATCGCCTCGCCGACCCTTACGAACATACACGGCGGACTCAATGGGCACATGTCATCGTTGGGCTTCGGGGTGGGTAACGGTCACGGCACGAAGCTTAGCAAGGAGCGGAAATTCCGTATGAGAGAGCAGGCGAGCCAGAAGCTCTCCCGCGCATATCGTCTGGATGAGATTGCCTGCAGCGTTGCGACCATGCAAGGTGCTTCACCACTCGAAGAGATTGGGTCTCTGGTGCTGCAGCGCAGCAAGGACGACCCGGATGCCAAATACGTTCATTTCTTTCACGAAAAAATACCCTCGCGACAGATGGCAGAATGTACCAGTCTACAGCCCCTGAACGAAGTCATCTCGGCGCGTCCGACAGAGGGAGAAGCCTTGCGAACCAGAGCCACGGTCCGCACATTCAAGGACGACTATGAGGGTGCCGCACAGGACTTGAGCGCCGCGCTGCAAGTGCAACGTTTCCATCAGCCGCTGCACAAGACGCCGTCCTCCCAAGAGTTGCAGCAAGTGAATGGATCGCGCAGGAGTCAGGACGTGATTCTGACGGATGAACAGCAGCCTAGCAGCTTGGAAACACAACTGTTGTTTCAGCGTGCCGGAGTGTACTTGACGATTGCATGCCAGCACGTGGTGGACAGCTTGCCAGAGATTCCTGCAAACGGAGAGACAGCACAAGCAAACAGCACGAATGGAGTATTCAAGTCAGGGAATGGGACAAGGGCCAGCGAGCAGGCTCCAGAACCTACGGCAGCGGATAAGGAGGCAGCAAGCAAGCGGTTGGAGAATCGCAAAGTGGTCAAGACGTACGCCAAGAGAGCGCTTCGGGACTACATGGCTTATTTGTCGCAATTCGACTATACACCAGATCTGCCCCTGAAAGTAGCTAAGGAGTTTACTGAGAAGGTCAACCTCGCCGCGAATGGTATTCGTCACCCTCGTATCCCCGACACGGGAAGCACTCCACCCTACAAGACATACGCTCTGTCCGACCTCTTTGCTGCTGTTCCTCCCACCGATATCCCACCCTATCCGTCCCAGGACGTGGTCCGTTCCTCGGGCCTGGTGCAACCAGGCAACTATGAAGCCATCACTTATCATCCCTTGCTAACGGACGCCCTTCATTCTCTGCTACTTTGCCACTGCTTGGTCCAGACATCTACTAAGGAGCTTCTTCGCCATGCATACATGGTGGCTCGACTTGCCCGCCTCGCCGATGGATACCCGATTTTCCAAGCCAGTAGATCTCCGGCAAGGGCGGATTGGATCGAGGTTCTGCGTAGGGCGCAAAATTGGATCCAGATGGCCGCGTCTTGGGAGCAACTATGCGCTCCTGCTCCCCTTCCGGTTCTCGACGGGTCACTTGCTGGGCAGCAGAGCAAAACCCATCCATCCCCCAAAGCAGCCGCCCTTGCTGCCGCTGCCATTACCAGAGACCCGAGCACATTGTCTGACGCGGGCGAGGAAGAGGAGCAGCGCAAGGAGAGAGTTCGCCAGCAAGCCATCATGGATTCGCTTGACGATGATAGGGTCGTCGACGAGGCTAGTCTTCGTGCGGCTATCACTGCACGCCAGAAGCGTGCCGAGGAAGACCACGAGTACCTGCTGAAACTAAAGAACAGCTCGAACGGAAAGTCGGAGTCCGGAGCAAGCGGGCAAACATCTCCCGCCTTGCGACGATGGAGCGTGGACGATGGGAGAGAGTACCCCATCTTGACGGAGCGCGCTGCCGCCATCGCGAGATGGATAATGGAGGCTCCGGCAGTAAACCTCGGGACTGCCAAGCGGAAGAAGAAAACTGGCCCAAAAAAGAATAAAGATATCACAGGATCGGAGAGTGCGTCGGCCAGTAAGGTTAGCCTGGCCATCGGCGATACTGCCCTGGCAGTAGACGCGCCCGCTTGAGATTAATAGTTGTTTAGCTACAACGTATTTCGTGACATCACTCCAGTATGGAGCTGTATAGGTGCGTGTCTCGAGTGACACGCAAACAGTTGGTCAAAGAGAATCGATGAGCGGCTTAGGGTTATGGAAAGCCGGGTCCAGCATTCCTTTACCGCCCATTTTCCCACAAGCATCGCAGCATCTTGCCAGTAAAATCGCTTTGCATGGTTGATAGCAATGGACCTGGCTACTTAAAAGCTACTGCAACCCTGAAGCAGTAAAGTCAAGAACGCCATCGTACGGGCCATGACCGCCTTTCGAAGTTTTACACTTTGTCACGGATTTCCAAGCGGATCTCAGGATACAGCGAAATATCATTGACCAGCGATTTACGTCGCCTATCTTGAGGGCCGGTTCTTACTCAATTGACGAAATTGTAATCTCTTTCATCTCGATCAGATTGCTGTTGAAGGAGGGGTCAAGTCAGGAGACAGTACGCCGAGAACATGTACATTCAGCAGGAGGCAAGGATCCACGGCCTGCGGATCTAGAATCCCATTGCAGTCGTCTTTGGTACTCTCTGGTGCAGCGAGTTGATATCGACTTAGACGCCTCAGAGGTATTGCCCTTTGCGACGCCACGTGTAATCAAACACAAGAGATGGTGAACATACCACGGCAGGTGTCTGATTACCTAGTACCAGGCTTGGAAATATACCTGGGACCACACTTCGTCGGTAACCGGGCAGGCTAAGGGTCGAGCGGATGACGAAGGCGATGGCATGTAGCACAAGAACAGAGGCAGAACCCCTGCCCTCCTTATGAAAGGTTCGTAGAATCTCTAGAATGCTTCCACAACTTGTGGTCGAGTTGGAATGCAGCGATGACAATCCAAACCTGGAGGAGACCGTTTTTGGTCATCCCCATCCGGAGCAGACGAGGGCCATCTTTGCAGAACCACCATCACAAACCGCCTTCGGTGTTTTTTCCAAACTCACAACCTCGCCTAGGTTTCCTCTCGACAAGACACCAGTAGGCAATCTGAATTTGTCTTTGTTGACAGGTATCGTCGTGCTGGCTGTAGGGTGCGCAGCAGCATTGGTTCATTGTCTGGGGGAGAAGGAGGTTCTCTCTGGAGAGCTCTGGGCATCGTTTCGTGTTGCATCGGGATTATTTACGTGTTTGCATTGGAAGCACCAAGCCCTGTGAGATCATCGATGGTCAAAGGGGGCGGGCGTCCTCGTTCAGACTGTTCACGACGAAGTCAGGGGTCAGCTTTAGCCATCGTCGTTGTAGTCTATGGGTTACTCAACTCGATTCGCTCTTGACGCCTTGGCATTGTCAACAGACTGACAGCTGTCCTAAGATATTCAAGGCGAAGTCTTATCGCTTCGAACACCACAGAAAACCAGAAAATGCTAGATGCCATAACTCTCCGTGAAAAGGGAACCAGCCTTAGCATAAAAAGCAAGATCGGCTTGATGTGTTCTCCTTTGCAACTGTCATCGCCCCCAGAAACGAGGCAACTCGTTGACGCAATATCCATCTCATCATCCATCCGGACAGAATAATGGGTGTAGAGCAATGAGCCCGAGGCTGGCCCGGCTTTGGAGCTGAGGATCTACAGTCCATGGTGCGCTATTTCCCCGATACCTAAGCTACCTAACCTAATGAAATCGCATAACGAGTCGGGTAAGAGTTTTCTTTCCAGCTCCTATCAGCCCCATTCTTCCAACCATACTATCCTGCATGCATCCGCAGGAGACCGCAGCAGAAAGCCGCATACCGCACTCTGCAGAACGTAGCATGCGTCAGCGCCCTTTGGCCAAAGGAGGAGAATGCGAGGGTCCATAACACTTGGGTGTTCGCCTCTCGAGGGAGATGTCTGACCGTCCGTCCCCACAATCCGGCGAGGACGGCGGCGGGTTTTCCAACTAGCGTGGGTGTGCGTGCATCCATGGCCGAGATCCTTTTTTTTTCTTCCTGAACCGTGGGCGTTTGCCTTCGCCGGCCCCATCTGGAGCCGTCTGGGGAATGTTTATTTCTTCCATCAATCACGTTCGCGGGGTGAGCGGGCCCTTCTTGTTTCTGGCTTGGTGGCTTCCTTTCGACGAGGTCTCTCCTCCACAAGTTGCTGAACGGACGGGCACTTCGTACTTCGTGGGCCTCCAGGATTTTTGGTGGCTTGGTTTCCCTGCTCCGGATTGCGGCACGGACTCTGGGGTCCGGGGGAGATGAAGCGGAGAGGATAGTATGGAGTCACGATGGCAAAAGGTGCTGGGATGATGCGAGTTGGGGGGTTTAATGAGATTATCGGGTGAGCGATGAAGACACTCGCCCCCCATCGAGACATGGAAATGATGGTGTTGTCATTACTTCAAGCTGAACTGTCCGCCACGTTTTCGTACCAGACTGCCGGAATTCAACGGCAGCAAAATGCCGTCTGCCAAGGATCTTGGTGCCCATGCAATCACGAGCCTCAGTGACTGAAGGACAGCGACAATGGGCCCAAGGAGGACGGGTGAAAAGGGTGCGATATCAAGGGCACGCACTCGAAGGTTCTTGGCGGGCGTCGGGTGGCTTGCAGTGCCAACGCGGGATGCGCGGAATAGCCATGCTTGGCTCCTTTGATGGCCTTCATTAATCGCCGAGAAAGGGCTGCTGTGCGCTCCCAGGCCTCTTGGCCTGCGTGAGTTGAAGCTTGTATCGACTTGTCATGAGCCTCCTACGCTACATATCAAACTTTGAGCCGCCGAAGCCCAGCTGTTGCGAGAACCTCGAAGCGAGCAACGAAACAGGGAGAGCTGGACCGTGGGAGATGCGGACCTGTGACAGTTTAACTGTGCATCCAGTCACACCGAAACTGGACCTTTTGCATGAGACGGCTGCAGGGTTGATGGGTCCCCGAGATAAACGTTGCGCGAGCATGCCTGCTGGGATGAGCTGACCAACCTGGCATTGTCACACCTCTGAGGGAGGAAGCGCGACGTGCTTCGGCAGCGGGACCGAACAGCGTCGTCAGCCAGTTTGGTCCGAACATTGTATGCATCAAACTTTTTGAACTCTGCTCATTGGGGTTCTGGAGAAGAACACAAGAAGCACGAGTAGCGCAGAGCACAGCTGAATGAGTCCACATCGATCCCACAGGAGAGGCGTGGCCAGATCCGGGACTCGGCAAGTTGGGATGGCCATGTGCAGCGCCAAGGGTCATCGCCAACGCCTCCCACACACCTACCTCGGTCCCCAGAAGCGCACGCGTAAAGGTGGTGCGATAAGAAGCGGCGCGTCCTCCTTCTCGAAGTTGCTAGCATCTCCGCGCGTGACTCTGCAACTGCACAAACAGAACTGGGGCCAGGCGCGGGATGGCGGTGGGTTGATGAGGAGGAGGGTCGACGTTCGAAAAACAAGCGTTTGCCTAGACCGGCCGCCACGCGGTGGTGAAATTGTTTGGTTTGTTTGCTCTTTAAGATTTCTCATCCACTTTCAGCATCTGTGACGCAAGGCAGAATTGTCATTGGTGGAACATAAAACATGGGGTTTCTCCGCCAGCTCAAGCCCCTCCCGGGGTGAGAACAATGACAAGGATGCTACCAAAAGGTTGGGGAGAGAGTTCTGGGGGAAATGACTCCTGCCCACACACACACACACACGCACACACCCGTGCCGCGCCAAGACAGTTGGTCCTGTCGCCGCATCTCTTGGGGTTCGTCTTGTCCCGCCGCTTGGCTCGTGTTGCCTCTGGGTGGATGGTTGGCTGGCTGGGTGTGACGATATCGGATTCGACGACGTTTGCTACCGTGATGGCTTCCAACGTAGGAACCTGAGGAATCGACAGGTATCCCTATGCTCGGTGCTTCCTCTGCCAAACTCCGCCTCCGCTCCCCCGGAACCAACGCTAGCAGCCAGACAGGACCCCGGTAATTATGGAGAAGCGGCAGGTCTATCCCTCGTTTCCGTCCTGCTACCTATCTGCCTTGCCTGGTGTAGTAGGTGCACTAGTAGCCGTAGGCTGGGGAATGAGGGGACACGGGGATGAGGGGATTTGGGGGAACGGGGTGATTGGGTTGCTTGCGGGGACACGAATGCTAGTTAAGTTTGATGAGAACCTGTGCCTTTGTTAAACCTTTAAAGACAACATCTCGTCTCCCTCTCTCCATCTTCGATCGACTCTGTGATCTGGTTCCTTATCTCTCTGCTGGAGTTGCCTGACCAATCTCTCGCTTCTCTTCAGACAGTACCCTTCTTTCTCCCACAGGTTGTCTTGCAGCAAGGTCGTCAAGATGGCTCCCACCGGCAAAAGAGTGTACAATTGGTCCGTCAGCCCAAGACTCTTCCAACGCCTCCAAAGGTTTCTAGACGGGATATGCTGACAATTCTAACGCAGGTACATCTCCCTGATGGCAGCCATGTGCATGGTGCTCTACGGGTATGACGCATCCGTCTTCAACTCCCTCCAGGGCTCGCAGAACTGGCTCGCCTGGGTCGATGTCGACCTCAAGAAGGACACCCAGCTCATCGGCCTCGTCAACACGGCCTACACTATCGGTGCCATCGTCGCCGGTTTCTTCATCGGCGGTCCTGTCGTAAGTCATTCCCTTGATTCACGCTCTTTGTCGTGAATCTCCTCTAGACCGCCGGCTAACAAGCACATCATAGGCCGACTACCTCGGACGCCGCTGGGGCATGGCCATCGGCTGCATGATCACCATCATCGCGACCATCATGCAGACGTTCACCCCCCACCACAAGATCGGCGTCTTCATCGCCGGCCGTGTCATCATCGGTCTCGGCCAGGGCCTGGCCCTGACCGCCGGCCCCGTGTACATCGGCGAAGTCGCCCCCTCAGAGATCCGCGGCCACATCATGGCCTGCTGGCAAATGTTCTACTCCGTGGGTAGCTTCATCGCCTACTGGATCAACTGTGCGTATACCCTTATCCCAACCCGCCCCGGTGGTACATGAACTAACAAAAAGTTTGTGTAGATGCCTGCTCGAAGCGCCGCGCGCAGCTCGGCGAGTGGGACTGGCGCATGGTCGTCATCTTCCAGATGCTCGTGCCCATCATCATCATCATCGCCCTGCCCTTCCAGCCCGAGAGCCCCCGCTGGTACATCCAGAAGAACGGAAACGTCGAGGCCGCCCGCGCCGCCCTCATGCGTATCCGCGACACCGAGCAGGAGGTCGAGGAGGAGCTCCTCCAGATCCGTGAGGCCATCGAGTACGAGAAGGAGGCCATCAGCAGCAGCTACTCGGCGCTCTTCAAGGACCCCTCTATCCGGAAGCGCCTGTACCTCGCCTTCGCCCTCAACGTCGGCCAGCAGCTCACGGGCCAGGGCACACTCAACTCGTACTCGACCGCCATCTACAAGAAGGTATGGCCCTCCAACGACACCATCAACCTGATCAACGCCCTCAACGCCACCATGGGCATCCTGTTCACGCTCAACGCCATGTGGACGGCCGACCGCTTCGGCCGTCGCTGGCTCTTCCTCGTCGGTGCCGCCGGTATGGCCGTGTGCATGCTCATCGTCCCCATCATCGGCATGAAGACGCCGACGGCAGCGGACGGGACCAAGAGCGAGCCCGTCGGGATCGCCATCGTGTTCATGCTGTTCCTCTGTAAGTCGCACATCATGTCATCTCACTGCACATCACAGCCAAGCTAACAAGCCCCTACAGTCATCTTCTTCTACAAACCGACCTGGGGCGCGACGACCTGGATGTGGACGGCCGAGATCTTCTCCGTCAACGTGCGCGCGCAGGCCGTCGGCATGTGCTCGCAGATGCAAAACGTCGCAAACACAATCTTCCAGCAGTTCTTCCCGACCTTCCTCGCCAACGAGGGCCTCAACTGCCTCTTCTTCTTCATGGCCATGAACATAGTCCTCGGCGTCTTTGTCTACTTCTGCATCCCCGAGACCAAGCAGGTCCCGCTCGAGCAGATGGACACGCTCTTTGGCGGCGCTGACCACACCGAGAAGGGAGGCCAGATGCTGGGCGTCGGCCACGACGAGGCGCGCGACCACGGCCGGACACCGGGGAGCAAGGACGGCGCCGAGGTGCAGGAGTCCGAGCGGAGGGAGGTCGTTTAGAGCGTGTGCCGAATTTTGATGGCGGGAGAGCGTAATGAGTAATGCGTGTCGATGTATTAGTATCAGAGAACAACCGCGTCGATCCAACCAACAGTGGTCGTCCGTAGTCGCATTATACCCCAAACTGCGGAATTAAAGTGTTGTCAACCCAAGTCCCCTAACCTCACATTGAAATCTGGGTTCCATGATCATGGATGTGTCTCTGGCATCCAAATTTGCAGTACTCATCAATTGTCACACTAAAGCAACATACAAGGAGGGATGTGCAGAGACCCGGAGGCATCGATGGAGGTCAATGAACTATGTTTGTTCGCACTCTACCAACTGCATGCAAGACCATGTAGTTCGGTCTGCCCACAGAGACAAAATCTCATACCAAACCCCCATCGCTGAGCGTCATCTCTGACTCTTGTATGTTCGGGCTTAAAGACATAAGATGCGTACGGAAGCAAGCATGTGAGATGACAAGCGGATCGAGGTGGACTCTCTAGCATGGAGGAAATGACAGAGGCCATCGTCGGCAACCGGCCGAACTGGTATCTTCAAAAACGCAAGCTCACTGCACTTGTCACTTAACCCCAGGGTACAACCAACCAAGGCATCGTTGAGATACAAGTCGTGTGCGCGCAAGTTACACCTGGTTCACGAGTGTTAGAAAGCACGGAACCTGGTCAGCAAATCAAACACTTCAAGCTTGATACTTGGTGTAGGTAACATTGTCTCGTGAGTTAAGAATACATAGGGGACGTTGATCTATCTAAATGCAACCCGAACCATTCCCTGCGACGCCCCACTTGTTTACATGGGCGGGCCACCCTGTCCTGGAGGACCAGACATCATCTGTCCCGTCCCATCAACCCATCTATAATGTATCATAGGTTGCCCTGGCTGTGGCTGCTGCTGCTGCTGCATCATGCCTTGCATTTGCATGTGAGGCGGAGCCATGATAACCTGGGGATGGGGATGAGGAGGAGGGTACGAAGGTAGTTGAGCCTGTGGAGGAGAGGGTCCTTGAGGCATCGGGGGAGGTTGTTGGTAATGCTGCTGTTGCTGCTGCTGCTGTTGTTGCTGCTGCTGCGGTAGCTGTCCTTGTTCCCTCATCTGCCGGCGAATCCGCAGCCAGGAGAACAGATCTGACGAGATGGATTCGTACGTCGTCTTGAGCTGCGACGCGATATCCCACCGCTGGGAAAACCTGTCAAGCGTTTCAAACACCTGCTGGAGGCATCGTAGGCTTCTGTCCAAGCTGTCTTCGCTACCAATAGGGCGGTGCGGAAGGGGCGGGGGTGGCGCTGTGCCCGGGCGAGTGATGGGCGGGATGATCCTCTGCTCAGAGATGAGCAGCTCACGGGCAGCGTTCAAGACGGTGAGGAACTGCATGGCGACAAAGTAGACCTTGAGAGCATCCAGCGAGCTGTAAAATGCCGTGTTCATGGCGCCGTGGGCGACGTTGTGGATGGTGTTCATGTATGCGATGGCGTGTTCGAAAATGAGCTTTCGGGCATAGTCCGTAAGGTGCGGCGACCGATCGCTAGGCGCGAGGCAGTAGATGTAACTGTATCTCAGCTCGAGCTCAAAGAGTTCACGGATGCCTGATGGAAGGTTGTCCGGCAAAGACTCGTGCCATTCCCTCATCTCGAGACACATTTGCCAAATAAAAGAGGCAGCATCAGGGAGCGGTGCCGAGTCTGCCTGAAACAGCATCTGATACCATTCTGACTGGAGGCGCCGAAGCTGGAACAAAACCAGAGCCGAGTCTGCAGACTGGGGCCCAGTGATGGGCCCTGAAGACAGACCAGAGTTGCTGGGGTACTCGACATTGATCGAGTCGTCAGTGAACGAAAACGATCTGGTGCGAATCATGCTGATAGTTCTACGGCCAATGTCAGCACTGCTATGAATAAACGACATCCGATGGCTGGGGCTTACCTGTCGAGAGCGTAGACGCAGTAAAACATCTTCCTCCTGAGATCGAGCGCGGCCTTATCAGGGACTTGCAGCTGAGGCGGATCCTGATGAAACCCTAAATCGACCACAGCCCGACTTGCGAACCCGATCAAGTACCAGCTGTCGAAGTGGCCAGGGTCGAGCATTGAGTATTGCGTGAAAAGGATGAGAGACTGGATCTGTGTATGATAGCCCGGCATCAAGGCCTTATCAGCAAAGGGTAGCGCGCGGGCAACGAAGTCGAGCCCGCGACGGTAGTACTCGTCATGCTTGTCCCTGCTCTGGGCCGTGTATCCAATGGCAAGAACCATGTACAGGAGCCAAAAGTCTGCATCTTTGAGGCGTTCCTTGACTCTTTCGTCTTGCTGGTAGACATCGTCGAGGACCGTAAGCAGATGCGTCTCAGAAAAGGAAGGGAATAGTGCGTAGATGTTGGCCATGTAGTACTGGATGGTGGCAAAGGCCTCGGCTCTTGTCGGAAAACTGTCCTCCGTGGGGTCCGGCACCTCGTCGTTGGTTGCGGCGGCCAGTACTAGGCGAGCAAACGTCATGCCGCTCACCGACGGCTCGAAATCACGGGTCGTTGCATTGACGGACCTGGCAGATGTCAGCGCCTGATGGGGCGATAAACTCGGAGGGTGGCGTACAAAAAGCCGAAGTCAGACACGAGTGAGTTGACGTCAGAGTCCTCTCTCTTACGGGCAGCCTTGCGATGAATGGCAGCTCGGATGTTGGCCAGTGAGTCCTTACGGTCAGCAGGGGCTGTCGCCGCCTCGTCAACATCATGAAGGCTGACCGACGCCTTGCGCGACCTGGCAAAGGCCAATCGTTTCTCCAGCTTTTCGACTCTGAGCTCCAAGGCCGCGACGTAACTGGCATCGCATTAGATCGATGCAGGCCAAAGTTCCGGAGTAGATGGACAAACCTTCTCTCCTTGCCTCTGGCGAACTGGTCGTTGGCGCTGGAGCACTCATTCTCACGGCCGGCTTTCTCACAGGCGGTGCAGGCCGGGAGCTTTCCATCACACTAAGCCAGCAGGGGACGCATCAGCAAGAGCCCGATGCGATCTATCGAAGCCAACAACCGGGGAACAACAGTTACCTTAACTTTTGCAGCTCGACCTGTGGGGCAAGATTAGCTTCGCATGAAATAAAAGCAGTCAGCCGCGACCATGGCGACTCACATCGTGAACAGGCCGAGACAGGCCGTGATACCCGCAGCAGGGGGTTATCAGAGAAACTGGATCGCGGCATTGTGGCGACTGAACGCGACGGGGTAACGAGGTGCCGTGCCTCGAGGCCGCGCTACCGAGTTGATTTGAGGTCGATGGCAAGTCCTAAGAGATGCACGGCAACGAACCGGGGGGGGGGGGGCAGCTTGACGTCTTGGTCCGCCCAAGGTGAGTTGATAGCTTAAGTAAGCCTTGCCGGATCTATGTCGATGCAACGTCTTCTAGACAACAGGATGTCGTGCAACGAGTGAATCAGAGGACTGGGGCAGAAGATGGATGTCTCGTTGAGATCAGTCAGTGCCGAGCTCAGGCCGGATCGTGATTGCTGGGACTTGGTGAAGCTCTGGAGGTCGGATAACGCTGCAGGGACCAGCGCGAGCGAGCACACGTATGCGAACAGGTCGTCTTAAGCGCGGGATCGCGTGCAGATGGCGCGTCAGCTGTCGGAGATAGTCTTCCTGAGTCGAGGCTCGCAGCTAGTTGCGAGTGTTCACCAGGGTCACAGCGATGATGCGTGTGATCTTGAATCTTGAGGCGGCTACGAGTTGCGGCTGTCGCAAAGGCCAAAACGAGATGAATTGATCTGCGGTGCAGAAGTGCAGCAGAACGCGGCGCAGCCACGAGGAATGATTAGTTGGTAATCCGAACCAAGGTCCGGGTCGACTGTCCGAGACGAGACGATGCGCGAGTCGTTGGAAGCCTGACTGCCCTTGTTCTTGCTGTCGCGCTACCGCGGTGTCCGTAGTATACTCGTGTGGCCCGTAGCTGAAGTGGCCGGCGAGGCGAGGCAAGGCAAGGCAAGGCAAGGCCAGACCAAACCAGGCAAAAGGCTAGACAAGGAAAGGCAGGGCAAGGCAAGGGGGCGGCGATCGGGTTTGGGATTCGTATTCCGCTGCGACGGTAGCTGTGCTGTCGGTCGCCCTGTGTGAAGTGCAGTGCACCAACGTGCAGTGTAATTTTGGGTGATCGGCGGCAGAGTCGACGACAGACGCAGTTCCCGTACACTTTTGTTCCCCTCTCTTGTGCGACTGGACGTCAACGCTTACCCCGCCTGGGATCCGTTTGCCTGACGAAGGCTGAAGCTGGGTGGATGGGCTGTGGTGGGTGCGGGCGTCGATTGGCCCCTGTTGCTGTCTTGCCAGATAAAGCCCCCCGTTTGATTCCCTCCCCCCCCCGGGCGGCCAATGTCACTTGCTTGTCCGTGGATATTGGGCTTGAAGGAGTTTCAGGGATCGCTAGTGCTCTTGTTGCATGAGCGGTCGCCGGCACACATACAATAAGCCGTCGTTCGGGGGCTCCGATTTTGGACGAGGGTTCGGGGTACAAGTGTGTCGACGCTGTAGAGTAGGAGCCGGCAGATGCAAATGTTCTGGAACAAAAATAGAAGGCGAACCGCCGAATGATGAACGCGAACAGGAGGAGAAGGTCGCAGGGGGGGGGGCCGAAGGCCAGCAAGCCGGGGGTTACTCGTCGTAGGTAGGTAGTGATAAGGTTTTGCTCGGACCCGTCTCACAATCAAGACGTCGTCGACTTTTGCCTGCTGTCTATCTGGGCTCGACCTTGATGTCGCCTGTTGGGGTTTGTGGTGCAGCAGCTGTGATGTGATAGGGCAGACATCGCACATCCATTTGGTGCGAAGTACAAAAGTTAATCAGAAGCGCCCTCGATGGCGCACGCGCGGTTGGCCCCACGCTGCTCCTGTCATCAGATGACTTGCCGACCATCTCGCGCAATGCATGGCACCCATAATGTTGAAGCTTCCTCACTCTCGGTCGCGCCGTCTGGCATCCCCTGCATATCCATGGCGTTGCACTCGGTCGAGGACGACGATCAGGACGTCCAGGATCTCGAGGACGACGACGACAAAGAAAGAGAAGACGAGAGCGAAGGCGAACTCGACGTCTGACGGCCGAATTCCGTGGCTTGCCTTACCTTGCCGTGGGCTGCTACGGTTTGCGTATCGCCGAAACGGGCATAGTGGGTCCAGTCCACCCGAGAAAGAAAAGACGGAGACGTGGAGCGGGCGACATGGTGTACTATGTAGCGAGTTTTTCCCGTAGTTTTCCAGGCACGCGTTATCTTCGCGGCCGAAGGGCCCTGTCGCCTCAAACGCAGAGAGCGGATAGCTGCTCGTCACCCAGGTCGGCGCCGTTTGTCACTCGAGGTCCAGACTCGGATGGACACATCTGACACTTGGCTGGGGAGGCGGCGGCGGCGGCAGGCAAGCAGTCCAAGACCAAAAATACTATGTATTGTGCCCGCAGGCCCAGATGAGACAATCCGTTGGCGCGGCCCGAGATGAGTGGGCGTCGCGTTCGAAAAAATAAAATAATTACAAAAAATGACACCGGGAAAAAAGGGGGAAAAACCATGCGGTGAAGTCCATTCACGATGTGAGCAACGTTAACAAGCCATACCGTGGGCTCGTGAAAGTAGCCCCCCCACCCACTCGAGACCTGATGGAATCCAAGAAAAGTAGCATCCCGTGCAGGGCACGACGTTGTTCCCGGCCGCAAGGCGACATTGCTTTGCGAGTCGCTGTTTATTTCTGTGAATTCCCCACCTTCTTTGGCTTTGCTTAGCGGTGGTGATCGTCGATGAGATATCGCGAAGTAAGCGGCGCGGGGTGAGGATGGCACTACCGGTAGGTAACGCCTCCAGTAATGGCGAACTCAATAACGCAAAGTTTCGGTCGGGATCGGGAATCGACAAGATGGGATGCCGATTCGCAAAGGGCAAGGTCAGTTTGAGCTAGTTTAGACGAATCCAGGGTTCTATCCAGAAATGGCTTTCGCGCGCCGGGAATCCTTCAAAATGAGGTTTAGGGCGGGGTACCCGCTGGGCAGTTGGACAGAGCCGCGAATGGGCGAACGCACCTTGCATTGGATTCGACTCGGACAGGAGCGTCAAGCGGTGGCCACGGGCGAAGAGACGGTGTGACGACGGGCGTGCTAGTGCAAGTATTCCCCATTCCCCGGAGGAAGAGACGCGTGGTCGATGGCGGTTAGTCATGAATTCGTCACTAGAGGCATATTTTGGTGGATGCGATGGGTTCATCGTATGTATTCTTTACGGCGGCGTCCCTGATGCCTGTGACTGCTGGATCGTCACCTTTCCAAGCCAATATTTTGGACCGAGAACGTGGCAGAGGGCAAATCCATACACGAACGGAGCGATTGGACGGCGTCGCCAATGGCATGTGTAGCCTGTTTGTCGAGCAACGTGGGAAATGGAAGGGCAGCTAGGTCGCTCCTCCGCGAATCTGGCGGTGACGTAAGGGTCCGATGCGGAAGTGAAAATAGAACACGGCGAAAACAACATATCCTGGATGGGACTCAAGCGGCAGACGGGCAGAGTTGGATCATGGTGCCTTGGCTCATGTTCATCTCTCGTCTTCAAGCAACCATACTTGGACGATCCCGCTCCGCCTCTCTTGCAGTGCCTCTGTCGCTGGCTGGCCAGGAAAGCCCAGGCTCGGAATTGTTTGACTGTTTTGATATGTGGGTCACGGTGGATACCGCGCACAACAAATCAGATGATGGGATTATGGGGAAAGATGGTCATGGAAGGGGCATGGAAGGATATTATGGGGCAGGACCGACCACGACCTGCGCAGGGCAGGGCAGGGCAGGAAGACGCCTTGAGACGGAGAAGGAGTCACTCACGCTCGAGAGACGGGCAGGATCGTCGGCCTGGACACTCCTTGTCCGGTTGCCCGGCTCAAAGCAGAGCAAAGCAAAGCAAAGCAAGGCAAGGCAAGATAAATCAATGCATAGCAAGATTAAAGAAATGGGAGAGCACTGGGCATGTCGTTGGCATGTGACAACTCGGTGTCGAACTCACTCTCGGATCAACAACAAACGAGCAAACGACAAAATATTCACTTGCCAAGCTGCCCACATTCATACGGTACCTACAGGTACAGTACACACATCATGGTTGCTTGTTTACAGCCCACTCTGCGAACTACCCTACACGGACCCCAAAATAACACCAGGTAGGGCTGGCCTGTCTTCTGACTTTGGGGGGGAGGAGTCATCTCAATTGCCCAAAGGTCCAAAAATGCAATATCCACGTGATGGATGGGTGGGAGGAGAGGTTCACGGTTCCCGCTCATCCACTGTCACTGTTACTGAGACGAGCTTTCCGACCCAATATGGCCCATGGGCAATAGCGCGCGAGCCTGAGAAGTCCATCGACACACTGTACAGTACAGTACCCTGTAGGCAGCCCAGTCGCCATTTGCCATGCCACTCGGCACGTACAAGGTGACAAGACATCCATGATGTGTCGTCCAGTCTTAACAAGGCTCTGCTAAGGGGTGAGGGCCCCCGCCGCAATGGTTCTGAAACACTATTGCTGCCACTTGGTACCCGTGAACCCTGCCAGTCGCTCTGTCCGATTTCCCTGATTAGCGAATGAACAGCCGGGACTACCAGTGGACGTGAGCGGGATTGCGCTGCGCTAGTTTCCACTGCGAAAGGTACATCCCGTCCTCGCTGCTCCTGGCCCATTAGTCATGTAACCCCCCCCCCCCAAAGCCCACACCCACCTGTCCGACTTCGACCTGGACGGCGGTGGACATGTCACCTAGCACTCGAACCTTGGAGTAAGTACTTCCCAGCTGCTACCTGATCCGAAAGTGGAACCTCTTCCTGTCCCTCGTCTCCTCTTGGACGTCCTGGAGAATCAACCGCTTTCGAGCCCACGCGACGACGGCTAGCCCCTCCCTCCACGATACCCTCGACACTCGATCGATCCTCGTCGGCCGAGCCATGAGAATAATATCTACTTGCTCTTGCGCTTGTCCAATATCCTGATCAACATACACCTCCACATTGTAAACCTAACCGGCTCGGAATACTCAACTTCCCGTCCGCCCGATAGACACCTCGCCAGCGTGTGGAGAGACCGACAGAAAGAAGCAGGAGGAGGAAGCAAAAAAAAAAACAAGAAAAAAAAGGACCCAAAACCCGCTGATCCGCTCGTCGAGCCTTCCCTCGAACTTTCGCCCGCGTCTGGACTGGGGAACAGCCTCAGTATCTCACCCGGCCGATGGATGCCGCAGCTGTCTTCCGCCATGGCCTGGGCAACATGATGCCGCGAAACCCGCCTTTCCACCATCATCCGCCTCCTAATCCTCCCCCACAACTCTATCCGGGCGGCGCGCGCGCTTCTCCTGCCAGTCGCGAAGATCCCGAAAGTGACGGCCCTTCCAATCGTATTGCACACACTTTGACGGCTTGCTGCCGCTGTCGCCAGGTATGTGGAAAGCTGCCCTTGCGCACCCAGCCCCTCCTGAGCTCTCCCAACATGTGATGCGATGCCATCGCTAGACCCCGATCAGGGCTGACTCTCTCTCCCTCTGCAGCGGAAAACAAGATGCGATCCCACTCTGCCCCGTTGTCTGCCTTGCGAGCGCGCCGGCTCTGTCTGCGAATACTTCGATACCACCAAGGGAAAGAAGATCAACCGTAACTATGTCATCAAGCTGCAGGAAAAGGTGCGCGCCCTCGAGGCCGAGCTGCGCCAGTATACCGACGACGACAGCGAGTTCTCCCATGTCGACGAAGACATTGTGCGCCCGGGAGGCCTGGTCCGCTTGAATGACACAGACGAGACGCCCCGTTACCTGGGACCGAGCAGCGGCATCTCCATGACCCGGTTGCTCGTCCAGGACGCGAAGCTCTTCACCGATTCGAAGCGAATATCCGAGTTGATCCCCGAGGTTCGCGCAAGGCGCATGACGCGCATGCAGTCCATTGTCATGACAAGGGATAGAAAGAAGAGCTATCCCATGATCAGCGCCCACCCTGCCCAGGCGTTGCCGAACAGGCCCGTCGCAAACAAGCTTGTAGATGTCTTTTGCCAGCGATGTAAGTGCTTTCTCTCCCCGTCACTCGCAAGCCGACTGACTGACGCTGCTACAGCACAGGTGTTTTGGCCCACGCTACACGAGAAACAATTCCTGGACGATCTGGAGGCCGTATACGCGGGTGACCAGGACCCCTATAAGAACCTGATTGTCCGCATGGTCTTTGCCATCAGCCTGCAGAAACTGGACCCGCAATATGCTGGTCTCGCAGATAGTTACTACTTGGCTGCCATGGAACACTTTGAGCAGGTCGTCCGGCCGAAGGACCTGAAGTCTCTTCAGAGTCTCGCAATGATCGGCCAATATTCCCTCTTGACTCCAACCAGAACCGCTGTCTACTACATGGTGGGGCTGGCCACCCGCGTTTGCCAGGCCGAGGGCCTCACGGATGAGAAGACCATCTCCGCCGGCTACTCGCTAGATCCACTGACCCTCGACATGCGCCGTCGCCTGGCCTACATCATCACATCCATGGAGGCCGGTCTGGCGCACAGCATGGGTCGGCCAAACGGATTCTCAAAAGTCGATGACCGGATGGATGTTGAGCCGTTCGCGACTGTCGACGACGAGTATATCACGGCAGACGGCATTGGTCAGGGGCCTCCGAGCGAGAAGAAGCTGGTCGCTCTGCATTTCTTCAAGATGCGCATGGAGCAGGCTGAGATCAGGAGGGTGCTCTACGAGAAGAAGCGCGACGAGCCCAGGGACGAGACTCACCCCTGGTTCGCCAAGATGGAAAGAGATATTCAACACTGGATCGATTCCTCGCCCCAGAACCCTGCGTGGTGTAGGCCCTGGTAAGTAGAACGAGTGCTGTTGGTGAGAAACCAAGCTGACCTTTGACCTCTAGGTTCACTGGACGATACCATCAGATGCGCATCTTCCTCTACCGCCCATCCCCGCAGGTACCCAAACCATCCCCACGAGCCGCTGCCATCTGTTTCGAGGGTGCGTCATACATCATCAACCTGTCGAAGCAGCAAATGGAAAAGGCAGCCGTCGACATCACCTGGGTCTTCCTCTTGAACCTTTACATGTCTCTCAACACGCTGCTATGGACCGTGTCTTACCCCGAAATCCGACAAGCCCACCCCCGAGAGGAAGTGGAGGAGCTGGGTGACCAGACACTCGACATTCTGGAACAATGCACAGAGCGTTGGCCAGGAACCGCCCAGGCCGTGCAACTGTATTCCATCTTTGCGAAGGCCTGTTTGCAGAGCTACGAGTCCAGAGACACCCCTCAGTTACAACCGTCGAGCACCTTTACCACTCCGCCATCGCTTTTCGACGGCAACTCGCCGCAGGGCTCGGAGATTTCTGCATCGACCGCGCCCGGCGGCGGACCGACATTCAAGGTCAACCCGCCCCACAACCCGCCTCAATTCGGCTTCGTGTTTGACGCGACCCCCGAATCCATGAACACGTATCAGTGGGATCCCAACTTCCCTCCTCACCCAACCTTCCGATCCAACTCAATCTGGGGCAACTCATCCAATGAAACCACGGGACGTCGCTTTTCCGCGTATCCCCCGAGTCACCACTGGAGGATTCCACCCCGCCGGCGACAACCACACCTGGCTACACAGCGTCGTCGTCACCGCCCAGTACCATTAACAACGCGATGCCCACGCCCCCGGATTCGATGGGTCAACATGTCGGAACGCCGTCAAGCTCGACCATCTCGCCCCCAGCGATGGGGACACCCGCCATGTCACACTCTTCCCCTCTCGGCCTCCAGCACGGCACACCGAACATGGCCACACACAGCACGAACATGTCACCACCCCCACCGCCGGGCCCCAGTCAGGCAGCCAGAGCGCCGAACTTTGCCCCTCCTCCGACATCGAACCCCGGGGCCCCTCAACGGCCTCTTCCCAACTACAACCCAGTCACAGACTGGTTCAACCCCCGCCGCCTTTCATCAACCCCGAGGCCTTCAGCTCCATGAGCAACAGCTTTTTTGGTGACTCTTTACAAGTCAACGGGTTGAACGCGCAAAACGCCGGTCTGGGTCTTGATCACTTTGTTGGCCAGCCGTTCAACTGGTCGCAGGAGCGCCAGGGCAGCCTTAGCCAGCAACAGCAGATGGAGCTGATGAATGCTCTCGAGAACGAGGGCATGAGTGACATTGACGCCCTCCTCAACATGGGCATGACCGGCGCGGCGAATGCCGGGAGTGGTTGGGCACAAGCATGAAGTGGACAGACTTTCATGAGCGAACGGAACAGTGATGGTTGGAAGGATCTTGCAGACCTTGTGCGATGAGTTTTTTCGCTTTTGGTACGGGTCGTGCGTGTGTATATATACCACGGAGTCTTGGGCGATGGGCGATATTGTATTAGGTTTGCGGACAGCACTCGTAGCGACGCGCCACCGCTTCGGATAGTAAGGACGCTATTGATAATGCATTTCTATTAGAAAGGGATAGAGGATTGCCAAGTTCAGTGCTATGTCTGATTATCTTGAAGTGCCATCCAGTCCGTCCACCTTGTCGTCATTGAGTTTGACGCTCATTGATTTCTCGAGGATCGTGGAGCCTTCCTGTAAGGAGGCGCTTTAACCAGCCTCTTTTCCACTCCACACAACGTCCCGACGTGCTAGGGCAGAAGTGACAGGATACGACCGTGATTTCCAGATCCGTTGGGCACTGTTAGCGTCAGTGAACATTCTCGCCCGCGGTATCGATGTCACTCAGCATGCAGAATTGTACTTTCAGTGGAATACGTGTAGCAAGCAAAATGATTGTTTATATACTCATGGCACCGGCGCGAGAAGCACGCCGGACGCGTGGGAAAAAAGTGGCAATATATACATGAAGATGTCTGTGTAGTGTGTGGTCGTTTCGTAAGAAGAAGATGGCGGTCAATGCTTCATCATCTCCCCTTTTATCCCGGGTCCGTCTCCAAAAACAAAAACAAAAAAAGAAAAGATGCAATCTTTATTTCTCTCCCTGTATCATTGTTTCGTCTCGGTTCATGTCGTCCACTGCGAGAAGAATGCCCGCCAGGGGGGGAGGGGGCTAGTTGACCCCTCGACGCGCCGGAAAAGCGTCTAGAGGCATTGGCTGTACCACTGGTTGACAAAGGTGCAGGTGCTGCCGGCGACGCAGGTGGTGGCGCCGCGCCAGTCCTGGCCGCCGCACTGGCCGTACTTGGGAGCAGCGGCGCCGCCGGCGGGAGCGGAGGTGGTGGGGGCGGAGGTAGTGGAGGCGCGGGTGGAGGTGCTGATGGTGGTGGCAGGGCGGCTGGTGACGGTGGTGCCAGGGGCGGGAGGGTTGACGACGCCGCCGGCGTTGAAGGTGGAGTTGACGGGGCCGAACTTGATGTTGGAGAACTTGACGTTGGAGTTGGGGGCGTTGGCCTCGATGTCGGAGGGGACGCCGGAGGTGGTGGGGCAGGTGCCGCGCTCGGCACCGGGCTTGCCGGCGCCGTCGACGGGGTAGGTGGAGTCGAGCCAGAGCATGTTGGCGTAGTGGTCGTCCCAGAGGGAGAGGACGAGGACCATGGGCTTGGAGACGGCGTCGCTCATGCGCGCGAAGCCGCCGCGGACGCCAAAGATGTCGTCGTCGCCAAAGGCCTTCTTCTGCGCCGTGCAGAAGGACGGCGTGAGCGAGTTGCCCGGGTTGCTGGCGATGACGGACTGCGAGTTGGGCACGACCTTGCCGTTCTGGACGTAGAAGCGCTTGATCTCGGAGAGGATGCCGTCGGAGCCCTTGATGAACTGCGTGACGACCGAGAGCTTCTGGGTCGTGTCGAGGGTGAAGCCCGAGCCGGGGCCGTAGAAGGTCTTGTTGCCCTGGCGGTACGAGTTGAAGTCGCAGCCGTCGGGGTCGCAGTCGCCGGCGTAGCGGTCGCTGGAGTAGGTGCCTCCGCAGGCGTCGCCCTTGCAGGAGTGGTAGGCGTTGTTGACGCACGGGTGGGGAGTGTACGCCGTGGAGATCTTGTTGGCCTCTGTTGGGATAGGGGAGTTAGCCATCCGGTTCTTTGATATTAGGAAAAACGGGTTTTGCTTTGCTTCTCACTTACCCCAGATGTCCATCTCAGCGCAGCAGGCGCCGAGGGTACCGACACCACCGTTGGAGTCGCTGCTGCTGGGGTTCCAGCCGTCGACGTTGGCCTAAAAAAGAGGGGCTAGTCAGATCTCGAGACCACAGCTCATGTATGCGTCTTTTCAACTTACAACACCGTTGATGAACTTGACGTCGCGAGGGCACTGCGAGTCGCAGTAGCCGGTACCGTACTTGGCACCCGCCTTGTTGGTGGAGAACTTGGAAAGACCACCGTCGGCATCCATGGAGACGAAGTACAGGGCACCGTTCAGACCGCAGTCAATGTTGGAGACATCGACGTCAAAGGTGAACTCGTTGCCGAGCAGGGTGAACATCTCGTAGGTCGACGCGTCCTTCATGAGGTAGACACGGCTGCCAATGTTCTTTCCGTAGGCGTGGGTGGTGACGAACTTGAGGTTGAGCTCGTTGCCGCTGGTGGTGATGCCGTAGGTGCCTGGGTAGTCGGCGCCGTCAATGCAGCACGCGGCGGCGCAGTCAGCACCCTTTCCGGTAGCGCAGTAGTCGTTGTTCCAGGTGTTGCCGGTGTAGCAGTTGGTCGAGCCCTGGACGGTGTGAGCCCATCGCCAGTTGGAGTCAAGGACGACGGAGCCGGCGACGTTGGTGCAGGAGCCGCCGGCGGCGCACTTCTGCCACTGGAGCGCCGGGTGGTTTTCGGCCTGGGAGGAGCAAGCCTGCTGGGCGCGGGCGGCGGCCGCGAAGGCCATGAGGGCGGCGAACTTGGTCTGCATCGTGAGGGATGAGAGGGGCTACTCGGCTGGTGAGAGTGAGGGTGAGGGTGAAAGGATGAGATGAGATGAGAGGGATGCGGATGAGATGAAAAGAAGCATTCCCAACGGCGAGGAATCACGAGTTTATATAGAATCATCTTACTCTAGGAAAGCCCACGATATTCGGCGTCGGTTGGCCGTCAACCCATCGTCCCTCATGAAGGTCGCCACCGCTCCCGCGTTCCACTCATCAAGCTCAGGTCCCAACGCGACCTCATGATCGGCCAGACCATGACCAAGGGAAGTGGCATCCGACGACTCACGGCACCCGGGCCGCCGCAAACGATCTGGATCTAGGGCAACACTGACTTGTCGATGCCAAGGGGTAGAAGAGAGGCAGGATCCAGGTACGCTTGGCGTCCGCATGGAGGCAGTTCAAAGTGGGTGGGGTCGGCGGCGACGGCGAGATCGTCCAGAGGCAGAGGGTGTGTATAACGTGCGGTCCAAGTGTCAGGAACCGTTTAACCATGGTCCACGATGCCTCGTCGTCGAGCCAAAGTTTTCGCCTGCTTACCGCAATGGGAAATTGGAGAAACTGCACCACTCGAACTTGGGGAAGGGGGGGCAACAGCATTCTATCCACACGCGCGGGCTCGTCTCGACCTCAGTCCCGGACGAGTCGACCGCACGATGTCACCCTCCGGCCATGCGGCTGGTCACACACACACCAAAGTCATCAAACGGAGAAACTGGCGCGACCGCTTTTCAACAAGCAGACGAGCCGGACAACAAGGTTGCCCGATGTGGCCTTGCCCCCCCTGGCTCTCCTCATTGGAGCAACTTTCTGCCCCCCTGTGCCTACCACGGAGGCCATGCGCCGAGTGCTACCGGCCTCGAATCGTCAAGGTCGCGAGTTTGGGCCCTATTGTTCTTCTTCTTCAACGAGAGGGACGCATCGTGAGATGCCCATCTCGCATAAGGGATAGGGGGGGAAAGTTCGGCGCAACCTCGTGATCATGGTCGCTTCCCGAAGATCCCGCCACGCTTGCAGCTGGTCTGGTTTGACTCGACTCGACTGAATCTACTCGCGAGTGCCCCTGGAAAGCGACCTTTAACCATGCACACCATCATCATGAGGACCAGCGGCGCAGCTCGGGAACCCTTTCCAGCACTTCTTCGACTATCGACTGTTTTATCAATCAAAGATAAGCGAGTGTGCCTTTCAGGCGCAAGTCGCTCCCCGCATTTCGCAAGGGTTCATTCCGCCCAACCTTCATCGCACATCACGGCGGGAAGAGCTGCTCCCCGCACAGCGCCACTGGGGCATCCGGCACTAACTGCCATGCCGCCCCGTCCTGGTTCCTTGCTTGGGGCAGAACGCCATGTCTTCCATCGCTCGGTACGCTAGGCCGCTTCGGCGCTGTCAGGCTTCTCAGGGGTTTTGATGCAGGCAGTCCTCCGACAACTTCGGATTTCACGATGTGGGCGAAGCTGGCATCTGGGAGTCCGAATGTCGTCAAGCTTTTGACAAGCGAAAGCGGCTCTGAATGCCAATGCGCTGGGCCAACTTGGCTTCAAAGTTAGGTTATTAATTGATCAACGCTTGCAATCAACGTCTACCAGACGGATGGGACTCAAGAAAACGGGATCACTTTGGGGAGAATCGCATAGAGCCCTTGGTCCAATCTGGCGGCGGAACTACTTCCCCATAATGCATGCCACTAAGGGCAGGGTGGCTGGACCGCCCACACACTGCTTTCGGGGCTGGTCATATTACACTCTCTGCGGTCTTGCGGGAAGCCTTTCTGTGTGCTCATCACGGTACGATGTGACTGTGCGATGACCCATCCCCGGCCTACTGTCCTTGGTTGGCGAGGGAGCACCCACAGTCGTACATCGACGTTTCCACATCACAACGTGCCAAGGCCACTTCCAATTTACCCGTGATAACCCAAAAACTAGGCTCTCTGGGCAAACGAGGGTCAATAAGCTTGAGCTCAGCCTCCGGTCATGGCAGGGTCCAGAGCGACGCTGAACATGGATGTGATCGGCAAAAAGCTTCGACGACAACAACCTCGGCCGAAAGAGCGTAATCTCCTAGCAGATCTGTATCTCTGGTTGGGTCCTACCACATGCCCGAGGAATGTGAAGGGGACTTGCTCAGTGGCGAGCCGACCTGAGGCTGGACTTCCGCCTCTGGAGCTTGGGTTTCCGAAGAACCTCAAGCGAGCAAGATCTGAGGGATCATCCACACTGAGCAGCAGGATGCTGCGAGAAGTGAGCAACGAATACCGAGCTTGCCGCTCTCCAAATGCGCACGACCGAATCGAGGCGATCCTGTGAGCCTCAATAACCATCTTCACGTTGTTCCCAGGTGAACCGGATGACGGTGTGTTCAAGACCCCACTTGTGCCACTTGCGGTTGACAGTTCCGGAAGTCAAAAGCCTCAAGGTAGATCAAGACAGCTCGCAGGGTTCTGTGGAGGGGTGTGACCAATACACGCTCATCAATGCGGAGAAGCTCCCACAAGCTTAATCGACAGCCCCGGAGAGCGAGCCGACTAGTGGTCGGCAACGAGGGAACGAAAGCCGTGACAATCTGACGAGGCGCTGCCGCGCCCATACAATATATCGTGAGGTTGCATGCGTCTGTTGAAATGCCCTGGATTTCGGGTCCGCGTTCCTGGACTCGCGTTTTCCGTTCCTCAGGTAGGCACACACAACGGGCTGACAATCGCTAGTCGATGCGGCTGCTGCACACGTACCATCATGTTGCGGTCACCGAAACATGAAACCTCGCCTTTGTCCGGCAGCAACCGGCCGCGACGCGGACCAACGACTAGACGAGAGCCTCGGAAAGGAGCGGGATACGACAGAGTGTACCTGTGGGCGATGAGATAGTGTGGGCAGTAATATCGTCGCGCTTCCTCGGAGTGGAGGATGACGGAATGGAGGCATCCAGCACCCGAAGGGACGACGCGTCGTGTGGCAGAGAGAGATGGGAGTCCTTATCGCGAGACGAGCGAATTGGTCCAAATCGTTGGGCGGACTTCGAACCGCCGCGCCTGCCGGCGCGAAGATGACAGTACCCTAAGACGATTATGTGCTCTCTTCCAGCGGCAAAAGCGAGCTGGATATCGAACGCCTCGGGCGCAGCTCAAAGTGCGGATCGTAGCTCGATGGGTCGATGAATTGGCCTCGGCCATCGTCGTCAGCTAGGACGTTGTCGACTGAAAACCGCCGATAGCCAGGATCGTCGTACACTCCTCGCCGTAACCCGTGTCATCCCTTCTGCATCCGGTGGCCTCCTCGGTATTCCCTTGCCCCGTTGTACCCTAAAGAGAATATGTGCGGACACGGTAGGAAGAGCGAGAAGTGCTAGTCCGACATGGCTGACTGACCGTCAGCCCCCAGATGCTGGAAGCCTGCGGCTTCTGACGCGCCACGGGCGGATATGCGAGAGTCACTTGACTCTACGCATGTTTCCGCCCTGGCCTTTCGGCATAGGCGCAGAAGCGAACGCCCAACGCCCCACCGCCCGTCCTAAATCTTTGATGCGTGGGAGAAGCGACAGCAGCAGCCTCACAGGTTACGGCGACGGTACAGTGCCGCCCGGAAACCCCAATGAGCCATTCTCATTTTCGCCCAATAGTCCGGTCGAATCGGTTAGCGATGGGTCGAGAGCAGAGGCAGCGGGGGCCTCCTCGTCGAGAGATTTAACCGGTGACGTTCCCACAATGGAAAGGCGTACGTGTGGGAAAACACGGAGGTTCGACGTCGAGGCTCCGTGGTTTTCTCGTCCCGATTCGGCGTGCCTTGCCACGACGTAGTACTGTCAGCTGCGGTAGGGCTTCAACAGGCTGCCGTGTTTGGTCTGCTGGGTCTTTGGGTTCGGAAATGAGAAGGATTGAGTTCTTCGATAGATGCGGTCCGTAAGATGAGCCAGAGTCACATGTCGCGTAGTGAGATGATGAAGGAAGCTCGTGAGGCACTGGGCAGCAGGATGTGGTCTGGCATGAGGTGATCGCACAGTGTCTATAGCTCGTTTGGACGGAGCGGTAGACACGGTACCTGGGCGCAAGCAATATCATCATTAGGTAAGGAATAAGTAGGCTAAGGTTTTGGGCTCTATGTATGCTATGTTTGTTCAGTGTCATCCTCAAGGCTTCGTTTGCCTTATCAGAAAGGCCAACAGCAACGACTCATTGACACAGTTGAAGATAACAGGTGACAGCTAGGGACATGTATGCGATGAAAGAAGGGGAGAGAAGTTATCCTCGGCATGCACAAATCACTTCAAGATACTCGCCCTAGAATACCTGTCATTGTGAACAATGGCCTCCTACACGTAGTCTACAATGTCGCCTCGTCGTGTGGGGCAGACCCTCGACCCTAATTACCCCGAAAGCAACTGGAATATCGCGCAAACCTGCTCTCAGCCGGACTCCTGTGACTGCCCCTTCGGCCCAAGGCCTGATTATCCCCAAGTAAACGCCTGCCAGACCCGCCATCTGCGCACCATGTACACACAAAGAACTTGGCTCCAAGCTCACAGTTCTCCCGGGCCCATATGATGCATGGGGGGGCCACAAGGTGCTCCCTTCTCCTCAGCAGTCGACCTGCGCGAAAAATGTGAGCGCCAGACTGTTTTGTTCTCACGCCGTTCGAATTACAGTAAGGTGCATATTCTTCGTTTGACGAGGTAGTTTGCCGTCGCGCTCGTAGATCAACCCGCAATTCTGGCATAGCGACTGCGTAGCGTTTAGTACATGCATCATCTCGCTGAGAAAAGGTTCGGAACTTACCCTTGGTCCCGCGGGGCCGGGTCTCACCGCCCACACACTCGATCCCCAGAGGGCACAGTGCCAGCATCTCCAGGACAGGCGCTCTTGGTCCGTCAGTCCGCTTCCCGCGCCGTACCCGGAGCCCATATCCGGCGTTCCGCGTCCGCCAGGGGTTCCAGACCGGCCCAGAGGACTCAGACTGCGGAACCGACGCTTCTTCTTAGATCGCTCGCCTCTGCCCATGCGTTCCTCTTCCGGAGCCTCGACGACGTTGCCGAACCCAGAGAACGGCACGCCACCGACCAAACCAGTAGTTGAGCTGAATCGAGCGGTTTCGCGGCGCAGGCGGCGAATCTGTCGCTCCCTGTCTCCTTCACGCTTCTCCATCTCCTCCTTGCTCAAGATTTCAACCTTGGGCTCCCAGGGGTCGGCAAGGTTTTCTGGGTCGTAACGCCATCCGGCATCAGCTCCGGCAGTGGCTTCGTTAGGGAACTCGCGGGCTCCGTTCCAGCCCATCACGAGGCCACCGGCTTCGCAGGCTTCCTTCTTTAGACGCAGAACCGCTTCGTAAATGGCGTGCGTGACAGCAGGAACCCATTCGCCAGTAAGTCCAAGGTCCTGGCATGTCTGGCTTGCAAAGGCCTCTGGCATTCCTGGTGGGTGCAACAGGGACCACTCAAACTTGTCCGTGTACAAAGTGGACTGGAGGTTGATGTTGAGGGTGACAATGCATCGGTAAGCGTCGTCGTGATCGTACTCATCGGCGTCCACGGGCACAGGGCTTGCATTCGCAGTGACGTCTGGCGCCGAGGTGGGATCTCTTATCCTAGACGGCGTCCCAAAACCGCCGTTTTGCATGGGGGTATCGGAGCGGCTGATCGCTCTAGTGGCGGGAGTGGGAGACTCGTCCTGGTTAAGCACCGAACTGGCTTTGGTCGCGTCATTGTTGCCGGTGTTCTGTGACTGTGACTGCGCATGGAACAACGGGTGCAGAGCGACACCGGCATATTCCTCGAGCTGTGTACGGATCTGTTTGGCAATTTCGAGCATTGTGTTGTGGCGGTTTGGCAGGTCCAGATCCTGAACATATGTTTGCGCAAACTGCTCGGTAGTGATGACCGTCTCGTGCAAATTCCAGAGGAAGGTGTCACGGAGTCGGTAGGGCGGCGTCAGTTCTTGCGGACGGTACTGAGGCAGAGTCGTGTCAACAGTATGGGGCGCCGAGGGAAACGGGACTTGGGGCACAAAGGCCGGGATGTCGAGCTCGATTCGGATGGGAATCAGGGTCAGAGGCAAGTCGGCCTGTGCCGAGTTCTGTTGGTCGCTCCGAACCTGGCGTCCCTTACCGAACCAGTCTCGCCAGATGCCCTGAACTTCGACAGGCTCGTTCGTGTCCTTTCCGGCCTTGTCTGACAAGTCCTGGATGTTCGCGAGCTCTTCCCTCCTCACGCTTCGCAGGCCGGTTGGGCGACGGCGGCTGTTGTCGTCATCTTCGTCGATGTCGTCGTAGCCATCCTCGGCGTAGTTGATGATGGTCGTTCCACGTTTCGTTACTCGAGAGATTGGGCCAGTGGGCGCGCTGACCAAGACTGGTGTGAGGAGAGAGTTATTGTAGCTTCGAACGCGCGGCGCATATGTGGACAGGAAGGCCTGTGGCTTCGGTCGGGTGTCCATGGTGGGATGTTATGAGACCCAATGGGTCATCGCAGGTTGTCGCAACACAAGGGTGTAGAGAGGGACACGTCGAGGGAGACGGGATTGCACTGGTCAGCGGCGGCTGCGCATGCGCAAGCGCGAATTGGCGCTTCGTGTAGTGCTGGCGACTGATGTCGGGTGTGCGTCAAGCTGTGTCGCCGGATGCTGGGTTACGCGCAGATGAAATGACCTCAGTGGTGAGCGCGGAAAGGGAGCGATGCACCGATTGTAAGATGTGGATCGCGTTGGAAATGCATTGGAGGAGCAGCAGGGCGCGTCAGAAAAATCCAGTCGGCATTTCCCGACACCCTTGCGCCAGGTCCAGCTCCAGAACAAGACTAGCGCAAAGTCTTGCCCCACTTTCTATAAATTCACCGAGAGTTTGCACAGAGGTCACCGTCGACGATATGGTCACGGGATGGGTGCCATCGTTCGGTGAGAATGAGATAATCGGTCTGGCTCGATTGCATATTATGTTTGGCACAATTATAATGTTTTCTCTGTATAATATTCAACCAACGCTTTCTCCCTGGTTCCCCATCTTTTTAGAAGGTCTTCTTTGGTGTACTAAAAGTGGTTTGAGGTGGCGTTCGACTGATGATATCCTTCCGCTGTGGTTTCTAATGCACATTGGCAACATTAACGGGTTCTATCTCCGTAGCCTCGAGAAAAATCGCCACACTAGTTTGGTTTCCCCAAAGGTCTCTGACAAGGCAAGTATTGAGACCATTGTGTTTTTTTGTAAAAAAAGAATTAAAAAAAAATAGAAAATAAAAGACTTAAAAAGTCTTGATTTGTAAGACAATCGTAAACATTGTAACATGAGACTATGGTAAATCCAGTACTGGTATTGTGATCTAAAGACCCAGTTTTAGGAAGATTTGAGGCGTTAACAAGAGACATAATGATACACGTACGAGAGGAGGAAAAAAAAGAAGTACAACACATGTTAGGACCAGAAAGGGGCGGATGTGAAAGATTTGCACTGCATTGTCCGAATCTTTAGACTAATAGGGGTTGGCAGAACTTGCTGGTGTGAACCTATTCTTACAACCCTGCCTTTATCTCCCAACTATCCCGTGCGAACATGCCAGACAAAGGTGTAGAAACTGAATGAAGAAGTCGAACAAGTGACTCAAATGAGAGGCCACTCTTTGTGGAACGACCTGCTCGAAGACAGGGGATCTAACCGCTATGCCGCGGATTGCAACCCAGTGCGATTTTCGGTGACGGCAACAGTGGTCTCACCCTTGATACCTTTGATAAGAATCTGGCGGTCACAAAAAGGATGTAAGTTGGACTGAGAGCCCAATTTAAGTTCGAGCGGGCGAAGGGCCGGAACCGAAGGCCTGTTGAGTAGAGACTTTGGTAATCCTGGTGCTACACAAGAATAAGAGCCTGCAAGAGGCAAGAAGAAGAAGTGATTAAGAAAACAACATACTCATTAATATCCTTGAAGACACGGCAAACGGTGAAGACGCGTAGAGGGTCCTTGGCACCCTTGTCATCGATGCCATTGGCAGCGGCACAACCAATTTGAGTGGCCTTGATGGAAATGAGCTGGTCTGGGAGGTAAAGTCAGTAAAGAGGATATCATAATCAACAGGATGGAACTTGCCGTGCCTGTGGAGCGTGTGGTAGTGGATGGATGTCGTGGCCGCATCATCGGAGTCCAGCCAGAGCTTGGCGGCCTCAGAGAGAGGGCTACGAAGTACGGTATTATCAGCATCAAGTGCGTGGAAGAAAGCAAGAGCATCACCAGCGCCTTTGCGCCAAGAGTAAGGAGCGGGCTCGAGGCGGCCGACAGCGGCGATCATCTCGGCCCAGCCGGTGGCGTCGTTCTGGAGGTTGGTGTCCCAGACAAGAGCAGGAACGCCAGCAATGACACGGGCGTCGTTGATGGTCTTCAGAGACTGCGCCTGGTCGCTGGTGAGGGTAGCCGCGTGGACGTCCATGGTGATGAAACCAGCAGCGGCAGCGGTCATGATGACCTTTGCAAGCATCTTGATGGGCGTTATTGCTGAGGTAGCGTGTAGTGTGGACCGTGAGTGCACTGCAAAGAGCAGAACTGGACGTTTTGTTGAATGAAGTGTCTTTGGAAGGTTGCGTATCGGAAGAACGGTCTTCGTTGTGGGTGAATCAAGAAGAAGAGGGGGAAGTTGACGAGAGGAAAAGGGGGTTTGTATTGAGGTTACACAGAGTGAAGAGATCAGCTGGTCGGTCTGTGGGGCGAGCGGCAGAGATTAGGAAGGAACAAACCTGCCTCTTAATTACCTGCATGCCCATTGTCAAGTTAGGAGGGAAGGAACAGATCTAGGATACAAAAAGGCAGTTAGACGTGCAGGGCTTAGCGCTAACATCTGCAGGACCGTTGACACTTTGGATTAGGTTCAACGTAGTATCGCTTATCGGAGGACATATCTCCCTGCCATCCTTTGATTGATGAGGAAGCTGCGGTCTCGTACCTTACTCAAAGGGCAGGCACAGCCTTCACAAGGTGAACGAGCTGGTAGGGCACATTAAAGACAAACACCAGACTATTTCAACGCCCCCAGGTCGTAAATGACATGGATCAGCCAACCCCAGCCTCAAAGTCAGAAAAAAAACGTATCTCATCAATCAGTCGTATCCCAGACCTCGAGATTTTCTGTGTGGGAAAGAGGTGGAAGGCTCGTTACAGACGGGCGGTAGCACACCAAGCTCTGGCCGCATTGCATTGGCGAGGAGCGATTGATTCCGCATTGTCCTCGTCAGTGATCTCAGTTGGGAGAACGAGCTTGAAGAGTGTCATCAACATGGTTCTCATTACATCTGCTTATACATCTCTATGTCTCTCGCGAAGAAAAAGTTGAAAATCAAACATGCGGCGTATAACATCATTATTTCCCCAAGAAAAGTATCCCAAAACTCCAACAAGCGCTTAAGAAGACCATTCCAGGTCGATTCGCAAGCAGGCCCCCCCTGTAAACGTTGGATATGTATACACGTATGGACATTTACACGGCAACCGCGTTCCGCTGCCTGATGCTCTGCGACCTGAGGAAGGAGATCTGGCCCCTCCGGACCGTTGTCTCGCCTCTGGGCGAGCGTATCTCGTCCTTGTCCTGCGACATGCTCGGCGACAGGTCGAGCATGCTGTACGGATCGTTCACCGGCGCCGGCCGCTCGTCCCTTCTTACCGACAAGTAGAAGAAGTCCCACCAGAACGAGTGCTCCAGCTCGCGCGGCTTGCCGTCGGCGGTCCAGTACCGCTCCTCGGACAGCTCCCTCGACAGGTGCCGGCGGAAGTACCGGTCCTGGCTGACCCACCACGCGCGCCAGGCGACGAGGATGGCGACGGTCAGGGGGATCACCGTCGCCCAGTAGACCCAGAAGAGGTGGCTCAGCACGGGAATCGGGTCTTTGGGGTTCGTCGAGGAGCCGGGGTCTGAGTTTGAGGCGGCACCGGCGCTATCGTCCGCGGCGTCCTCGCCCGAGGCCTGCCAGTCGAACATGGACATGCCGAAGAGGGTGCCGAGGAACTCGCCGGGCAGGAAGATGGCGGTGATGACGGCGAGGGCTTTCATGGAGGAGGAGTCACGGGAGGAGGCGACGGCCATGCGGGCGTTGAGAACGTTGTCTTCTTGGGCCATCTTACTGTAGATCTATGGCATGTCAGTGGAATGTGACGTTTAGGGGGTACGGCTGTGTGGCTTACGATATCGATTTGGGCGCGGCATCGAGCCTCGGACATGCGACGGTCGGTTTCCAGGCCCATGCACATCCTCTGCAGACCTTCGAGGTACTGCCGGATCTCGTGCCAGTGGTTTCCGAGGGGGTCGGCGAGCGGATCGGGGGCGGGAGGGAGCGATCGTCGGCGTGTGCTCGCAGACGAGCGCGAGGGCGGTCCAGTATGGGGGTCGTCTGGCAGGTTTTGCTGCTCCTGCCGATCACGCTGGTCGGCGTCTGTGTCCCTGACATGAAAGTCATCCAGACGAAACTTGAGCTCGCCGGTCGACATGCGCTCCGCCAGCTCATCGCCAGCCTGCAGCATCAGCTTCACAACCCTCTCCATCCATCGGACGGTATCCAGCAGCTTGATCGACTCCTTGAGCACATCGTGGGCGCGCTTCATGAGGTTCGCCATGCTCATCGGCCCGGCAACCTGCGGCACCTTTTCATTCTGGGCGCCAAACGTCAGGCGGCGCATGAGCTTGGACCGGCGCTCGCGCTCCATCTCGAATGCCTCGAAGCCGGCGATGCTGCTGACCTCCCACTCGAGGGCCTTGACGTGGTTGATGTTCTCCATGACGGCCTCCTCGGTGCGCATGAACTGGACCTGGAGCAGGACGACGGGGGTGATGAAGGGGTGGGCCCAGTGGGCGCGGCAGGCCTCGAGGCGCTGGTCGTACTCGTCGAGGTTCTCGAGGCTGTGCTGACGGGGGTGGTAGGACTGCCGGACAAGCACGGAGGAGGTGCGGTTGCGGACGTCGTAGGTCATTGACATGAAGTCGTAGGGTGTCCTCGGGTTCTTGGAGAAGGAGAGGATGAGGCCTGGTGGCGTTAGTGAGGGCGCGGGTGAGGTCAGTGATCGAAAAACCCACTCAGCTTGGAGCGGTCGAGGGACCAGAAGCGAGACTCGTTGGTGACGCGACGGGAGTACTGAAGCGTAGCCGGATGCAGGTCCATGGCGTCCAAGTCTTCAGGGATCATGGTGATGCCGTCTTCCCGGCGGTCAAAGGACTTGTTGCGGCGGAAGCAGATACTGCAGCTGTCAGCTTTGAAGTTGGAGCGAGAAGCGGGTGTGCACTCACACTCGTCGAACTCGTCCATCCAGCACCAGTTCCGGATGTCGTGCTGGTTCCTGTGTGAAGACTCCCTTTCACAGCTGTCAGTCTCGATTGTTAAAGGGCCAATTGGTGAGATGTTGCTCACATTGTGGTCCATCGAGTACCCCTGGCGAAAGGCGAGATCGAGCGTATGGTAACCGGGCACCTCGTCCTTGTGCTGGAGCTGGAAACTGATGTCCTGGTCCCCCTCGAGCTCCGTCTTCATGCCCGAGGGAATGCCATTGTCCTTCTTGAAGACGACATACTCGTCGTACTCGACCTTGGAGGCGGACTTGCCATCAGCCAGCAGGATGTCGTCGCGCAGGGCTAGCGTGTCGAAGCGGAATAGGTCGGACGAGTCAAGTCCCTGGAAGCGGGCCATCAGGGCGTTTTGCGTGGGTTGTCGCTGGTGGCTCGCGGGTTGCAGCTCAACATGACCGACTCGAGGTGGAGAGGCGTCGGCGAGGATGAGAGTGAGAGTGAAGGTAAGAGTGAGATGGACGTCAAGTCATCCTGGGCACAAGCTCTGTCCTTCAGCTCCGGGACAAGGCCAGTTTTTAATTGCCAGTTCTTCTTTTTTTTGCTCGTTAAGGTTGCCGGTCTTGGCTGTCGGCGGTGGTTGGTTCCGCTCGCATTCGCCGTTCCAGCGGTGTCCAGGGAGAGCCTGGCCCCCCGAAAACGTGATTTTGGTGGGCCTCGCTGGGTGTCGCTTGCGGGGGTCGTCGACTAGGTGTTCGCCGTTGATGGCTGAAGCGCCAGGCTACAGCACCCGTCGGAGCGATCCTTCAACAGCCGCCAGTGACATTTCCAGTGTTCTGCACCCCCCGCCAAGGTGGTCCCGATGCTCAGCCACTCTGATGTCCAGGACGGCCTCATTATGGATCTTGGCGGGCGCCTGGCGGGGCTCGTTTCCGGGGTCACGCGCTGTGCCGCAAAGGAAGGAACCTAAATACATAGGTACTATGGATTGTACACCTCGAGAAAGAGCGTTTCGGCTGACGACGGGTAAGTAAAGGCGGAAGGAAGGAAGAAAGGAGGAACCTGGTAGAAACCGCATCGAAACGCACAAGGGCAGTACGTCATTTGCACTCCCCAGCCGAATTTGGGACATTCTTTATCTCGGTTTAACTTAACGCAAAAGCTTCCTACCTACATAGTATGTTAGCCGGGTAAGTTTAGAAACCTTGCCAGATCATGGGTGCATGGAAGGATACATCCCAGCACTCCCACTGAGATTTGTGACGCTCAGTGGTCAGAATTGACTCAGACTTCACTAGGATCACGGAGAATTGCTGCTTGAGCTTCAAATGGTTCTTGGCCAATAAGCTTCCTACAGGCATGGGACGCCTGCCGGTTAAAGTTCAAAGGCCGGGCCCGGGCCCAACCACCAACATACATATGACCCCAGTCACCGCCGAACCTCCTCACCACCGGCTCCGGCTTCCGTCCTCTTGTCCCCCGTCCTCTCCACGTCTGCCTCCCCTACCCCTTGTCCGTCCTCGGGCGACACGGGGACCGCCTTCTTGGGGACGTCGTCCCTGCGCAGCTTGTACCCGCCGCTCCAGCCAATCCACCTCGTCTCCCTTGGGCCTTTGAGCATCGTGATGATCAAGGATAGCCCGATGAAGCCGACTAAAGAAAAGGGTCAGCACTCGAACGAGACGCGATAGTGGCGATGGGATGACTTACTGGAGGCACCTCCGCTATACTTCCACCCGCCCTGTGCGTACAACCTGTTACCCACCGCCGTGCCCGTCAGCTGCCCGCAAAACACACACACCATGTACGCCGTATTGACGCGGTTTCTCGCTTTTGGGTTGATGGTGTAGATGGACGTCCTGTTGGCAGTCTGTGCTGTCTGTATGCCCATGTCCATACAGATTGCCTGGATCACGGGCCCCGCCACGGTGAACTCGCCCGTGAACGCTCCGACGACGCATCCGATAAGGACCACAATCTGTCCCAGTACAGACGACAGGAACGGCACGTATCGGTCCATGATGAGTCGCCCGTACACCGGCCCGCCACATATGGCGGCGATGCCAATGAGCGAGAACAGCCCGATCGTGATGGACGGGTACTCGAACGGCGGCGACGCCAGCAGGAACGTCAGCGTCGTCCAAAACGACGTGAAGATGCAGCTGATGAAGAAGCCAATCAAACACGCGTGCACGAGGACCGGCTCCGTGAACAGCATCGTCACGATCGTCCACAGCGCGCGGAAGTAGTTCAACCCGTCCGGGTTTTTCGACGGGTAGTCTGGCAGGAAGAAGAAGAGCAGCACGAGGATGACGTACTGCGCCCCGAACGCGAGCCAGTAGATGTTGCGCCAGGACGTGTAGTTCGCCACGATACCCGACAGCAGACGCGCGATGAGCATACCGAGCATCAGGCCCGAAGTCGTGATTGAGAGCGAGCTCGCTTTCCTATGCGCCGGGGCCATGTCGGCGACGAGCGGAAGCATGAGCTGCGGCGTGACGGTCGTGGCGCCGACGATGAAGGAGAGGGCTAGGAATGCCGTGAAGGAATTCGTGACGCAGAGCCCGAGCCACTGGAAACTGTCAGCCGATTGCAATCTCGACTTGCCTCTGTGGAATCACTCACCAACATGGCGGTCACCCAGATGAGGCCTAGGATGAACGGCCGACGCCGCACCATGTCGCCCAGCGGGCAGATAAACAGTAACCCCGCTGCATACCCTGCCTGCATCAGCGTCGCCACGGATGAAGCCCTCTCGAAGCTGACGTCGAACGTCTCGGCGATCCTGTTCAGCACCGGCTGGTTGTAGTAGAGGTTGGCTACGGTAAACGTCGCTGCCTACTTGTCGCTCAGCATTTTTGCGCAATTAGTTCATCTGATCGCAGGGGCCAAGCCTACCACCGCAAACATAAAGTTGAGCGCGAGAGTAAATCGCGGAGGGTTCTCCGGGTCGTATCGAAGCTTCCTCGGCGTCCACGTGAGCGTCCTCACAACCAAATCGAAAGCCCCACCACGACCCTTGCCCTGATGCGATCCGTAGTCCGAGTTCGATGGTGACGGTGTCGGTGATCTCGTCTCGTCGCCCGCCGGTATCCCTTCCCTCTTTTCTTCGCCGAAGCCATCCTTGACAGAGTTCAAGGCTGAGACCTGGGGGCTGAAGACTCCTTTTGTCATTTCCGCCTTCTCTGCCGCCCCCACGCCACCGGGCCCGGCCGTTGCAGCCGCTCCCGCAGGCGCTGCGCCCGTGTCCTTGTCGCCGACGTCGTCCGCGTCTGTTTCACCTCTGCCGCCATCGATAGATTCTCGCTTCCCCAACATTGCTCTTTACTCCCCCTTTTGCTCAGAACTTTGAGATGCAACAAATCCCGCTCCGCCGCGCAGTGAATGGTGTGTCCGGGCAGGTTAGCCGGAACCAGCAGCCTGAACTCCTTTTTCTGTTCCGTAGAGATTTAATTCCCGCTCTTAGCGTCTGCGCGGAAGTCCGTCGAGGCTAGTTGGTTAGAGGCAGTGATGAAGTCATCACAGTGAGATGGCCAGTTGGTTGTGTGTTTGGTCCCAAAAGTCTTGGCAACCATGCATGTAACTCCCGTCTTTGAACAAAATCAAATGTGTTGTAACTTCAAACCCCACGAAAGCAGCCATGTCAGAGGAAGAAATTCGCTTAACCACGACGATCTTCTATGACGCGCGACTCATGAGGGGGGGCCCCAATCGTTGGCTGCGCGTCTCACGGCCATGGACCGAGAAAACGATTCCCGAGGGTAATAGCTACGGAGATAAGCTCACCTGCGATGGCGCGAGACCAGGGTGCTGAAGTCTTGGGGCGCGGGTCTTGTCCTATCATCGCCTAGCGAAACAATCGTCGGCCGGCACCGACTCGGCGTGGGGGCATGTGAGGTACGGTGTTGGTCCACATGCTCCGATATCCGGCTACTGAGGTGGAGGAGTCGGCCGCGGTAGACAGCAATGCGGTGGGCGTTTGGGTTACTAAGTAGATCATTCAATAGGCTATCGAATGCAACAGGCACAATGTCTTTGTTCTGTACGTCTATGCAACTACGTCTCTCGCCTCTGTTCTCGCAACTGTCTTACCTGCTGCCCTATTCCCCGTCCATCTCCACTGCATGAGTAATGTTCTACGCGCGCATTTTGATGGAGTAATACCTGACAAACACGCATTTGGGAGACGAAGAGTACAAGGCAAAAACCACGGGTCCAACCCCCATGCACTAGCGGCAAGGTCATGACAGGAGGCCGGTCTGCAGGGCTGATGTAAGCCTGTCATAACGGCCAGGTATTGCAGAAACAGAAAGCGGGCGCAGGAAATTCCTACGCTGCCTACTCTCGCCTATTTATTAAGAAATGAGTTTCTGAGGAGCTTTCCGAACGTGTTGCAATTCCCCAGGTCTCGGTCTGCCGCGAGAGCTCGGGTGTTCAAAAAAGAATTGCGGTCCGGAAGGGTTGTGTGGCCCCACAATATCGAGTACATAAAGCATAAATTTAGCGAATGATACATCAGCAAGCACAATAGCTCAGGGGTAGAGCGCTGGGCTCATAACCCAGAGGTCCCTGGATCGAAACCAGGTTGTGCTAACGATTCTTTTCATTTTGATTTTTCTTTCCACAATCAAGTTGGTTAAATACTCATGCCATTGGTTCCATGCTTCACAGGCAATTGATTGGGTTGCTGTCTGTCGTTCCTGGGTCGTTCCTGGTCAATAACGTATTGCAGCCTTGTCGATGTATGACAAGAAATTTGTCTTGCACTTAGCATCATTCTATGGACTGTCTGCTAAAGCCATGAAAGTCAAAAGATTTCAGAGGCCCTGATACACGCGTCCGCCCCCCTTTGGCAAGTTAAGAGTACTTTCTTCCCTCCTTGTGTTTCTGCTGGTGTCGGGAACGGCGTGTTTTCCCCAAACCAATCGTGCCCCCCCCCCCCCCCCCCGTCAATATCCCTGAGTTGCAAATCACAGATGCCTGAATCAGCCGAATTCCCTCGTCGTAGTTGCCCCCATTCTCTGTTCCAAACATCACAACAGTGTTACATGCTGATGTACTTCTGGTGCTTCGCCTTTTTCTTATCATTCTTCGAGGAGGATGCACTAGGTGATGGTGTACTTGGCGTGCTTGACTTCGGGGGTCCCAGAAGAACCAAAGAGGATGGCATTCTCTTCTTCGCTTCTTGCTCCACCTTGAGAATAAATTCGCTGGGAAGAGTTGCAGTAGCGTCGAGACATTCATAGCTCTTCTCCAGATAAACCCCCTTAAATTCTTGCCAAAGCTTTGCCTCAGTCGAAGATGAGTCTTGGTTTGGTCTGGGAAAGTAGGGATCGTTCTCCCAGAAAGCTTTGACGGCGTTGTCAACTCCGAGTGGAGTCGGAGCCATGCGTTGGCACTGATTGAAATCCAATAGCCAAACGCTTACTGTACGTCGGAGAAAGTTCAGGTTGGCAGATCCAACTTGGGTTCTGTTCCAAGTTGTAATCATGCGTCCTTCCAGATCAATAGAGTCAAGCTCATCTGCGCTGATGCGACGCTCAGGCGAGCTTCCGAGAACGAATTCGACGTCGTAAGCATCGCGTTGCGCAGTCCAGTGCATGATAGCTAGCGCTTCCGCCATCGGTCGAACAAATTGATAAGGTTCAATGCCAAGAACGTCCATCTTGTCCAGTGTGAGTTCGAAGTTACGGAGCGTGAATGAACCTTCAGTTCTCTGGTTAGGCCGGCGGATTCCGAGGTAGAGTCGCACTAGACAGCTCTTGTTCTGTGGGTCTGATGCAGCTTGTTTTTTCTCGTTTGGAGGACAGAAGACTTCCACTAGAGCTTGTCTGATGACCCTTGGAAGAGGCATGATCCGCTCCGAGAGTAAAATGGCGCTCGGGATTGACTTGAATTCTGTTTGAGTCTTGATCTCACGCCGGTGCTCGATCATCCAGGCAGAGATGTCTTGACCAAGAACAAAGTATGACGGTCTCGGAACACAGAATGAAGTATTGTTTTTGGTTGCCTCCCATATTCTGCAGTGAGCGACGAAGTCGTTCCATAGGTCAGTGTCTTTCTGGGGTCTAGCCGCCTTGATTGCCCGACCACTTCTAGGGAAGTCGTAAACGATCGCGCAGAAACCCTCGCCGATGATCTCGAGAGGAAAGTCTTTCTCTGTAGCTTCTTGTTGACGAATAGCGAAAGAAGACTTGGTGCTGAGAACTGAGTTCACAGATAGATAACGCTGCAGAGTTACGGTCGGAGTATCGTTCTCCGAGACTTCGATGACTTTTGGAAAGGAAATGTACTCCTCTGCTACCGCGGCATTCTCAATCAGAGAAGGTGTCATGGATTGAGTTGACTCGTCTGTGCGATTGGCTTCTCGGCGGTTCGACATGGTGTTCTTCGGCGGTCACAAAGTGTTTGTGTGATGTTCGATGATTGATTGTTGATATGTCGGTAGTAGAAGAGGAATTGTTGACTACCACCAGCAAAAACGAGAAGAAAAGAAAAAGGAGGGAAATGGAGAAAGGTGAGAAGAGAAAGATTTCCTTTTGTCAGGTGGAAGGAAAGAGTTTATTTTTTGGTTTACCTGCGCCACGGGAGGAAGGAAGACTCTTGCCTTCAACAGAAGGGCACAACCGAAGGAAAGTGCGACCTGTTTGATGGGAAATGAGTAGACAAGTCAGTAGAAAATGCTCGACCAGTGGCACTATTATTGGCTTTTGAGGCCATTTGAAGGCAGGAAGGGCATTCATCACTTTGCCAAGAAAAGAAAGAGCAAGATGAGGCCACCTTTTTCAGTGTTGTTGCGTAAGAGCCTGAACTTACTTCAACCTGCTTTCGTTTCTTGCCTCTTATTCACTGCGCTTTCCTGAATTACTCATCTTTCTTCCTATTTACCTATACTCTCTTCCTTCGCTCCTTGAAATTTCCTCTCCTATTTAGTTATACTGGCGCTGAGAATACATGCTGCTTACTCGCTCTCTTCTCTCCTCACTTTCACTCACTTTTCTCTCTTCAAGTTGGTACCAAACCCCTCGCCTTCAATTAACGTCCATATAAACAACTAAAACCAGAAACTGCCCTACTGGTAAGTATTACGCTAGACTCCTTGATGATTTCATTTGCGAGAAATCGCGTGATCTCATTCCTGTACCTCGAAGTCTCATCGAGGCTGTCTCTTTTTCCCTCCTTCACATTCATATTATTTCTATCTTGCAGCACTAATTTGGTTGACTAAAGCAAGCAACTAGCTCATTCCACCCACAAAACACAGGCAGCTCGGGCTTATCATTTATCCGCATCTTCATCATGGCCGACGCCGAAAACGCCATCGTCGTTGGTATTGACTTTGGAACGATGTAAGACTGACCCAAATCATCAAGTGATTCCAAACTAATATATGAAGTTACTCGGGCGTAAGCTGGGCATTTTCTGGCCAACCGAATGACACTGAGACCATAACCAGATGGGAAGCAAAACTGAACTTTGCGTCCGAGACCGAAAAGGCACCAACTGCGATTTTATATCGTGGCGCCCAGGGCGCTGTTTCCTGGGGCCATGACGTTCCGGTTGAGGAGACCTCAGACGCGATGAGATGGTTCAAGCTGCTTCTGATCGATGAGATAGACCTTCCTGACAATCTCCGAACCTCTTCTAAATGGCTACAGCTCGGAAGTTGGTAAAGGATGCAAACAAGGACCCCGTCGATGTCATCAGCAGCTACATTCGCCGCCTGTGGCACCACTCGATTGAGTGTATTGGTATTTCGGCTGGAAATGAGCTGGTCAAAATGTACAAATTTCACATTGTCATCACCCTGGCTGCCATCTGGCCTGATTATGCTAAAGCTCGAATGCGTCGTGCTGCCGAGAATGCTGGTCTTCTTGAGGAGCGCCCTGCTGGGAAGACAGCTCTGGCATTTGTTTCAGAGCCCGAAGCTGCAGCTCTGGCTACGATGAGAGACCTTGCAGGACGACCCAATATTAAGGTAATTCCTTTTCCTTTTGCATGATCAAAAAAACTGACTGACATCAATACAGATTGGAGACCACTTCGTCGTTTGTGATGCTGGGGGTGGCACCGTCGACCTCATCAGCTATGAAGTCCTGAGCCTGAAACCTATGGTCGTTCGCGAGGCTGTCAAGGGAGATGGCGACTTGTGCGGCGGCGTCTTCCTCGACAAGGCATTTGTCGATCTGATCAAGGAAAAGGTCACCTCGAAAGCCTGGGAGAAAGTTCCCAAGGACGAGGCCGCGAATTTTCTCAATATAGATTGGGAACACGGGGTCAAGCAGCAGTTTGACGGCCAGGTTCAAGACTGGCAAATCAAGCTACCTCCTGAGTGTGTGACAAATAGAAGGTCACAACGAGGCATCAAGCGAAAGCAGACCCTGATGCTCAACCATCAAGACCTGCTCCTTGTGTTTGAGCCTATTGCCAAAGGGATTAGTTCGCTGGTCCAGAAGCAGATTGATGGCGTTCAAGCCAAGTCGGGCAAGCTTCCAAAGGTAAGAATGGACTATAGATCTTTATCAATTAGCGAGTCCGCTACCACAATACTAGAATATCATTCTTGTCGGCGGTTTTGGTAGATGCCGTTACCTTCGGAGCCATCTTCAGTCGGCCGTTGACAAAGATATCGCGCTTCTCCATTCTACAAGAAACAAACCGTAAGCACATCTATCTCCATTAATCACCTTTGCTGACGAAGTACAGCTGGACTGCTATTTGTTGTGGTGCAGTAATTCACGGGCTTACCCAGCAGAACCTGTCTCCTGGCCTTTCCGTTAGCGTCAGGTCCAGAATCGCCCGGGCCAGTTATGGTATCAAGTGCGACGACATATTTGATGGGATGAAGCACAGTGCTCGTTCAGAGATCTGAAGCAAAGATGAGCTAAGATGGTATGCTGAGAACCAAATGAAGTGGTTTCTTAAGCAAGTAAGTCTTCCTTAAGCTTTCAATTCAACTTTTAGACCGCTGACAAATTACTCTGCAAACTAGGGCACGGATGTCTCCAGCACTAGTCCCGTGAGCTCCGAATTCTATCATCTGTTCACGTCAGCCCCTCAAGAGATTTATGAATCCCTGTACATCAGTTCAGCCTGGCCTCCACCCGCTGAGAAAACCAGTGCGGTCAAAGAGCTGTGCACCATCACTTGGAACAAACAAATCGACTTCGAGGCCTTGCCACGCTATGTAAACCCCCTTGGTAAAGTCTTTCAGAAGCTCGTTTACAACATTGACATGACTTGCGCCGGCGGGAGCATCGATTTCTCTGTTACCCACGACGGCAAGCATGTTGGGGCTAAGAATGTTGCCGTGGTCTTTGACACGGAGACTGAAGGCGTGGAGCCGCAGAAAACGCCTTCTATTTAGGTATTTAGGCTAGTGCCTGCCATGGAATATGGAACAAGCATCGGGATGCCGTGGAAAGTCTGCAGCGGAAAGGGGGCCAACAAGTTTGGTCACTTATGAGTAATGAAAGGGAGTGTAATTTGATAGGCGATCTGGTCGTCCGCCTCTTTAGCTCCTTAGGAAAAGATTTATCATTGCAGAAACTAGGCAGATTTATTAAAATTCATACTCCATGGTGCCAAGCAGACAATTTACTCAGCGTGATGCGGGGCGCATACGACTTTTGAACGAGCCTTAAGATCATCATCATCGTACATGAGATAGCCTGGTATACTGGGACTGCGCCAAGACAGAACACGCTCGTCAAAATGGCTGACTCGATTGGTAAATGATTCATTTGTGGACTCAGCCCAAGAGGACATGCCAGACGATATTAAGATATTTAGCGTAGTACGATCCATAAACCATGAAAAGTAAGGCATTCTTGAGTATTTCTGAATGAAAAATAGATTAAGATCCCTTCAGTTTCCAGAAGAGTTGAAAGGTCAGATAAAACGTACACGGGACAATCTGTTTCGCTTGCTTTGTTAACCTTGCAACAGCTAGACAAGTATGGCAATTGCTCCCACCCAAACGTGACAGCCAGCCAGCTTCTCAAGTCCAGACTCAAACCCGCACTATCAGCCCACGGGGCAGCCGACGGCCTTGGCATCTGCAGCTGTTATGCGCTGTTCTCGCTCGAGCTTATCTCAGCCTCAACGAGCCCAATCTCGCCATTGGACCACGATATCAGGTCGTCCCGATAGACAGAAGGACAGTATCATGACGGGTGAGATTTATCAGTAGGGCTGCATCTGATACGCCAGCCAGCGCGCTGTGCGTCAGGATTAATTGTTTGTGGCGTTTCTGACATGCGGTAGGTCAGCTCCAGCTTTACCAAAAGTTGCATGCTGTGTGCTTGCCATGTCATATCGTGTCAGCACGCGACCAATCAGACAGGTGGACTCAATCCCATGGCGACATTTTGGGATGAACGTATTCCAGAGACCCGGAGACTGGCGGCGGTATGCAATGCAGGTCTCGTATTTTGGCCTGCGGGAGGTCACGAAGCTTGTCGAGTGAAGCCTTTTGCCGAGTCAAAGGCATCCTGTTACTGATTCGTGCGCTTCCTTGTGAGGGTGAATGACTCCTTTCGGCAGTACTTTTTGGGGCCTAAAAGAGAACTGTAAGAAGGATATCAGGCCCGCCTGCAGACTGGAGTTCTCTGCAAGAGAAGTTTAGCGCGGTGAAGTGGGAAGTCAGGCTGGCTGAGCCGTCAAGGCTGACCCTAAGGAATGGCTAGAATGGTCAGAATGGCCGGAGACATGACTCGACCGCATATTGAGGCTTACGGCGCTTTTCATGCCATTTTTTGGGTGGTAAGATGAGAGCTTATGGCTTGCTATCATACAGAATGATGAGAAGCCCTCGCTACAACGGGGTATTTGACCAAGCTGGTCTGCATCAAAATTCCCTTGGAGGGCCAAGACTGACTGCTCAATACCCACAAACACTTCTTGGTATTTCATTCGCCGTTTTTGAATAGCAATCATGACGGCTCAGACCGAAGTCCAGCCTCAGGCCAGCGGACTGCTCGAGAAGGCAGAGCAGCCCGACTCTTCCTCCAACAAGGGCCCTCTGTCTGGAGAGAACACCGACACCGAGCGGGCCAAAGAAACCATTGACTCGGAGCCTGCACGTACTGTCACGGGCTTCAAGTGGTACCTCATTGTCTTCGCCATCCTCTCCTCAGCCTTTCTCTTCGCTCTCGACAACACCGTCGTCGCAGACGTGCAGCCACAGATCGTCCTCCAATTCGACTCCATCAAGGACATCGCATGGCTGGCCGTCGCCTTCATCATGGCCGCGACGGCGGTGAACCTCTTTTATGGCCAGCTGTACTCGCACCTGAAGCCCAAGTGGCTGTACATCGGCAGCGTCGTCGTCTTCGAGGCGGGTAGCGCGCTCTGCGGTGCGGCCCCGGATATGAACAGCCTCATCGTCGGGCGTGCGCTTTGCGGTCTCGGCGGCGTTGGTATGTACCTCGGTGTCATGGTCCTCATCGCCGCAACGACGACGATTCAAGAGAGACCGATGTATTTGGCTTGTATCGGTTTGACCTGGGGACTTGGAACGATTCTTGGCCCACTGGTAGGAGGAGGTACGTTACCGACTCTAGTGTTCGTCTCTAGCATGTCACAGGAGAAGCTGATAGAGAAAAAGCGTTCGCCGACTCGGATGCAACATGGCGGTGAGTGTTTCCGTACCAGGTTTGATGAATGAAGTAGCTGACATCAACCAGTTGGGCCTTTTATATCAACCTCCCAATCGGCGCTTTGGCAGCACCTGTATATCTCTTCATGCTGCCGTCTCCCGACCCGCAACCTGGTGCATCAATCATCAAACGACTAGCCGAGATCGACTGGGTCGGTGCCGTGCTAATGCTCGGTGCCATCATCACCTTTACAATGGCCATTAGCTTCGGTGGCATCATGTACGAGTGGAACTCTGGCTCGGAGATCGCCCTCTTCGTCGTTGCCGGAGTCTTGTTCATTGTCTTCGGTGTCCAGCAGGCATACTGCATCGGCACCACTATAGAGCGTCGCATCTTCCCGGTCGAGCTCATCAGCTCCCGCAAGTACTACCGGACAATCATCTTGATGTTCTGCGTGACCGCCTCCGGAGGTTGCGCGATCTTCATCCCGGTGTACTTCATCCCGATCTTCTTCCAGTTCACACGAGGCGATAGCGCCATCGACGCCGCTGTGCGGTTGCTGCCGTTCATTCTAGTCATGGTCTTCGTCACCCTGGCGCAGGGCGGCATGTTGTCGCACCCATCCGGGAAATTCGGCCTGTACATGCCCTGGTTCACCGTCGGCGGTGTCATCACCGTCGTTGCCGCTACCCTCATGTACGTTGTCAAGACCGACACCAGCACGGCTTGGGTCTATGGAGCCTCAGCCATGCTTGGTGCTGGCGTCGGAACGTACACCCAGGCGGGCTTCTCAATCTCCCAGGCCAGCGTGCCCGAGCATATGGCTGCCGTTGCGGCCTCGCTGATGGCACTGGCGCAGACGAGCGGAATCAACATTGCTCTAGCGGTCAGCAACGCCGTGTTCCTCAACAGGGCCGAGACTCGGCTTGCTCAAATCCTCCCTGACACTGTCACGGAAGACCAGATCCAACTTGCCATTGCCGGCGTCGGGGCGGATTTCGTTACGACGCTACCCCCGCAAATGCAGCAGGAGATCCTTGAAGCCATTGTTGAGGCTCTGAACTTGCCGTACATCTTGGTTATCACTGCTGGAAGCGTTGTTCTGGTTTGCAGTGTTCTGATGAAGAGGGAGCGCTTGTTCATGAAGGTCGCTGTCGGCGGTGGTTAAAGGAATAGGTGTACTTGCCAAATCCAAAGGGGTTCGTCGCAACGGGATAATCATGAGACGACAAGGAACAGGGGCCCACGTATTAGGACTTTGTGAAGGATTAATGGCATCTAAATATCCCGGGTTACCAAGATAATCACGTTGAACTGGTTTGTTGAAACGCACCACGAGAACCTTGTGAGAATACTTAGAAGAGTGAGCTCTGCTGCTTGGTGCTTGATGCTCGAATGAGCACTCAGGCGCATCAATGAGGATTTCGACAGGAGCTAGTCACACAAATTCTCCATGAGGTTCAAGTGATAAGTCGACTGGAGTATCACGCAGGACACCCTCCGCGGAGACAGTCGCCATTTCAGGGGTCGATGGCGGGGTCAAATGGACATGCGGGGTTTTAATTGCAGGCAAGTTTGATAGTCCACGCCGGAATTGCTCTCCCATCATCAGCAGGAAGCCAGAGAAGGTGAGTTTAACCTTGCGGTGAGGTGAAAATACAGATAACAGGGAGAAGCTGAGGGAGGTGAGTGGCGATTTATGGGCATGAGTGTGTCAAGGAAGTCCATGGTCCCGGGCGGGTGAAGTCGCCGCGGTGGAACGTGCATGTCCGGGACGTGCGGAGAAATGGGCCCATGCGGGCCTTACCTAATACACTCAAGTCCCCACTGCTCCCAAACATCAGCACAGGGGAATGCAGCCTAATGTTGCAGGACAGTTTCGGTCTAACCCTTTCCAGCCGTCCCTTCCCTCGGTCGGGGGGGGACGTCCCAAAAGTTGACACCTCTTCGGAAACTTCAACATCGCCGCTGGATTTCACTCAACCAACCCGGAGCTCCGTCGCGAACTCATCACGTCCTTACACTATCCTATACGACATACGCGCGCCGCAACCTTTGACAACGGCTCCGCGAAGGAACAGCATGAGTTCTTGAGAAAAGGGGTCTCATCGTGCCCACGCTGTCCCTATCACAGCCTGCCATGGCCCTCATCGGCCTCCCTTCCGTGAGAGGGCAGGTCCGCGGGCTCTTGATCGCGTTCCTTCACCTCCTCCTCGCGACCTCGGTATGCGCCTATACCAAACTCTCCAACGCTGCACTGCGTAACGTCACCGTCTCCGAGGCCGACTTTGATATCCATAACGGCCCGCTCCTTTCTCCTATCCTCATCCCCCGAGTGCCCGGCACGGATGGGCAGCTGAAGACGCAGCAGCACTTTGTCGACTTCTTCACCAAGTCGCTGCCCAAATGGACCATCCAGTGGCAGAACTCAACGGATAAGACTCCTGTCACTGGTAACAGAGACATTCCGTTCCAGAACCTCATCATAAGGCGCGAACCGCCATGGACGAAGCCTGGCCAGGCCAACTATCTCACCCTCGTGGCTCACTACGACAGCAAGATCGAGCCCTCGGGCTTCATTGGCGCGACTGACAGTGCCGCGCCGTGTGCTATGATAATGCACGTCGCGAGGACCCTTGAACCGTATCTGGCCCAGATGTACTCTGAGATGGTCGCGCTGGGTGAGAATGGAGGTACCGTCCCCCAGGACATGGGCGTTCAGATCCTCCTGCTGGATGGCGAGGAAGCCTTCAAATCCTGGACTGACACCGATTCTCTGTACGGTGCGAGGTAAGTTGAATCGCTTTACGTTTAACAGAGAGGTCATCTCACTGACACTCATGAAGATCCCTGGCGAATGAGTGGGAGCACACCTTCAACCCCGCCATGTCGCATTATAAGAACCCTCTCGAGCAGATCAGTATCTTTGTTCTGCTCGACCTCTTGGGCTCCGCAGAACCCAGGATCCCATCCTACTTCCAATCCACTCACTGGGCTTACAAGGCCATGGCCGACATTGAGAAGCGCATGCGTGAACTTGGCGTCTTGGAGACCAAACCCAAGATCCCGTTCCTCAACGATGTAAACAAGAGCCCGGGGATGTTTGGCCGCGGCGGCATCGGCGACGACCACGTCCCGTTCATGATGAAGGGCGTTAACATCCTGCACATGATCCCCTCGCCCTTCCCTGACGTGTGGCATAAAATGGAGGACGATGGCGAACACCTTGACATGCCCACGGTGAGGGACTGGGCGAAGATCGTGACGGCGTTCACCATGGAATGGCTTGACGCGATGGAAGTGATTCCGGAAGATGAAGCATGAATATATAATGCCAAGAAACATTGTTGCGTTTCCATTCATCCCACTGTTGACTCCGTGTTTGCTGTATTTGTCATTGTCTTCTATGCCATTGACGCTTTCCTTTTGTTGTCCGGCATAATTGTTGGTGCATCAACTTACTGAAACGGGCGCTTCCAACCTCCATTTTCTGCATCCCATTTAAGGCGGCAATCATACCCCAAATTGACAGCCAACCTTTTAAAGACGGTGGCAGCCCCAATCTCCCGCGCTAGCCAGGCAAGTCCTCGTTTGTCGTCGCATGCGCCAACGTCCATCTTCTGATCAAACCACTTTGGAAGCCAGCGGCCCAGGAGATGAGTCATTTCGTACTTGTCTGCCTGAACAAGAGGTTCTACCAGCTCCGTGACCGACATGGTCGAGGGAAGATCCTCAAGATGGTCGTGGGCAACGGTGAGAATGATATGCATCACCTCAGGGGAATCAGCAGGCAGACGAACAACCCAGCTGTGGTTGGGATGGTGTTGCGCTTCTGCAAAGTCCCCAAAAAGCATGGCGTCGAAGATGTGAGAAGCCTGGGCCAAAGTCTTCGAACAGACGACAAAACGCCTCAAGCTTCCCTTGTCAACCGCGATATCCGTTATGCTGGTGAGATCACTGTCTTGCTCGCCGCCGATCTCTAGGGTTAGGTCGCCCTGCAAGTGTAGAATAAGGGTTTTTTCAGTGTCCTTTGTCCTTAAGGGCAGGGGCGAGCGATGACCATATCGGCTCACCTTTCCTACCCTCAGACGAGGTGTTATTTTCGGAGGATGTGGACATGGCGGTTCCGCACAATTTCAAGCCGAACTTGATGGTCAGAAACAACTGAACTTGATTTTGTTAGAAAGGGAGGAGTTCTAAAAGGGGCAGTGGAAGAGATGAATTGGAGTGAATGGGTGCGAACCCGGCTCTCACAACGAGCCTTGGCGGTGTACAAAGACAGAAAAAGAAGTGAAGGAAAGAAAACCGTTCATTTGATGGGCCAGGATATTGGCCAGACTCGGCCTTGGTCAGGTGATGTAGGTAGACTCAGGCTGGGCGATTGGTTGGTTGGTTGGTTGGGTTTTCATACAATAGTTGACTCAGTTTAATCAGGAAGGATTGAGATTTTCCCAAACAAACTTTCGCATACTCAGAGTACCTGTGGCTTGTTCCGTATGTTTTCTATACCTCACGGCACCTTGAGAAATCAAATGCAGCGTGTGTTGTACCATTCAGATGTCGAAAGAATGTTTTATTTGAATATGAATGGGATTGTTTGAAGATAGTCGCTGGCTAATGTTGTATGCCCGTATTGCGATTTCCCACCCCTTCATGTTCCCGGTGTTTCTATTAAAGTCCGTTTCTTTCCTTCCATTTTGCTTAACCTAGCCTGCACTTCTTTCAAGAAGCCTGGCCTTCCTCCGTTCTCACTAGTCTCTTCTCTTCGACACCTGTCTTTTTGGGTTGTTTCCGCAAATACTCTAAAATTGGTGTCCGAAACGGGAGAAGGGATCGCTTGCAGCAGCTCGACAGCTTTTTTCTCGATTTGAGGCATAGGGTCGCAGACTGGATGTAGGTAGGGCTATGCATTTGGATCTCGTTTATTGAATTGATGACGTTAAAGTTAAGACACTTCCGAGGTATTGAGGTGTGGTCGTCCTTGGAGTGACCAAATTCCGGAAGCCGACTCCTGTAGCCCATCGCATTAACCAGCCAAGGGTCATGGATTTGCATTCCGAGGCTCCTAAGTGAAGTTGATTTCCAGATATGTAACAGGTGGGATAGACAAGTGTCGAACATCCTTCGCTCTGCAGGTTCGCCTGAATAGCATCATTAAGCAACGAGCTGACCTTCTGAACGACATCTGCACGAGCCCGGCCTATGCGCTCTGAAAACTCATTGTCAGCTGTCAGTCCCACCTAGAATAGGATTTGTTACCAAAAATTCCTGGTGGCTCTAATTCTTTGTAGCTGCTGAGAGGAATCCCGGCCCTGTCAAGGAGCTCTCCGTCGTCGTTGATTGTCGAGTTGAGCAGCAGGTCAATTGCATGATCCAGAAATATGTCTTCATGACCAAGTGCCCACGCAATACACAGAAAGATACCTTTTCCCACGGTACTGTCAGCGTTTTTGTAAGGGTGAAACCACATGGATGCTAGAGGTCGCAGGGCATGGGTCATGTCGTATTTCTCCGTCCCTACTAGCAGCTGATATAGCTCTTCAAGCTTCAATGTCTCCGGTATCGTTATGGAATGACCGTGAATGATGGTGAGGAGGAGAAAGACAGGGTAGAGGCTATCTTCTGGGAGTTCCACGGTCCATTCAGATTCTCCCTTTGGCTTGGATTCTTCGAGGCCACTAAACAGCATCGCTCTGAAGACAGTGGACGATCGGGCGACTGTTCTGGAGCATACGACAAAATCGTATGGTCCTCCTGTCTCCGTTTGACCGACGCGGAGAGTCAGGTCGCCTCTAGGTTCGAAGTAGAAAGCTTTCCCACAAGCAATCGGCGGCATGGCAGGTTGGAGGCAATCCCAGATCGTTTCGAAGGATGCCGCCGAGAATGAAACTGCGCTGTTGGTGTCAGAAGCCATAGCTACTGTGAGGACTCCGGACTCGTAACGATTATCGGAAGCGGGTGATTTGTGGTCGAATCTACAGTATGGTTAGGAAAGGGCTCCATCAGACTGATCAGAGCTTTCGGGGCTACTCGGAAGCCGCTTGAGAAGAAGATAGGGCAAAGATTAAAGAGACGGGTGGACTCACCAAGAACTCTCAATGGAATTTTCCTCCTGCCTCTCCATCTGCTTTTGCGTGACGAGAATGTCAAGTCGCTCCGAACTTTTTGGTTTCAGCGAAGAAAAATCGAAATCCCGATGAGGGAATTCCTGGATTCGAGAAAAGGAGGGAAGGGGTGAAGTGGATCCGAGGGAGAAGAGGCAGCTCATTGCTTACTTTGGCGGAAGGTCCGAACTTGATCACAGGCAGGGAAGGAGGAAGCGTTTGGCAGGCAATCTTCAGCGAAAAAGTCGCACCTTCCAAACGGACAAAGTAGACGCCACTTCTATATTGTGACGGTTTAAAATACAGAGAAGAGATCAAGGAAGATGCTAGATAGAACTGACGGCTCGCAGTGGCTGACTACTAGTAATCTCGCTGTAGATTGTCTTTTCACCTGCCCGTCCGTTTCTGATTGAAAGCAAGACAAGTGCAGCTATCCAGTGCCGTCTACAATGTTCTCAATGATAATAAAGGTTTCAAACTTAATCTCCCAGTTTGCACGTCCAGCACACTTAATTTGAGGCATTTATTCACACTCTACCTGAGCAACACCTCCCTTACTGACAATAATTTCGACACCGGTTTATAGAAAGTGAGTTTCAGTTGGGAGATCACAGAAATCTTTGGGGACAAGTCACATATGGATATTCACCGTATAGACACTTTCTTTAGATCGTGTAATCATGTAGCTTCGTCATAAGTGTCCAAAATTAGCTCGTTAAATACAATCAAAGGAATGATGGCCCAAGTCCTGAGCCTCGACGCAACTTCGAATACGAGCTCTTTGCCAACGCCCTCTTCTCAGCGAGCAGTCTCCGCTCATTGGCAGAATACAGCCCATCCCCCGTCTTCTCTCCCAGTCTACCTCTCGAGAGAAAGTTCTCCTCCAACCAGTCCGTGTATCCTGCCTTCTTCGGGTCCACCACGCCCATGTTCACCCTGTTCCTTTCAACCTGCCACACTGTGTCCAGCCCAACCTCATCCATCTTCTCACAAGGTCCTTTTTCTGCGTGAAAGAAGTCTCGGAAGAGCGCATCGATGTCCTTGGGGGAAGCAAGCTCCGCCTGTAGGACCCGCAGCGTCTCTGATTTGACGGCGGACCAGATCCTGTTGAAGACGAAACCGACGGACTCGTGTGGAAGCGCTAGCGGGTTAAAGCCCACGCTCCGCATCTGTGTTTTCAAGAAGGGCATCAGATCTTGGTCGGTGACGCCGCAGGTCATGAGCTCAACATATGTGTTGCGAGGCGGCAGGTGATAATGGGTGTTGAGTAGACGCTCCGGGCGGGTGATCAGACTTCTAAGAGCCGACGTCGGCCATGTCGAGCTGTTTGACGCCAGAATACAGTCTTCGGGAACGAGTGCATCAGCCCTGCCAAGCATCTCACGCTTGATTTCCGGGTCCTCGGGGAGCGCCTCAATAACCATCCAGGGGTTTGCGCCACAGAAATCTTCCAGGTCAGTGCTGGTCGTGACGCGGCCAGGGCGCGTTTCTTTCACCGCGCAAATGGTAGTAAGAGCATCGCCGACGTAAACGACTGCAGAGGTCAGGACTTTGGAGTCGACGTCGTGGAGGACGACAGGCCGTCCCGTGGAGGCCCACATCACGGCGAGCCGCCGGCCGAGAACCCCGGCACCAAGGATGACGACCGGTCGAGAAGTGGGGTCACTAGGCGGTGTCCATTTCGGGGTCACGGGCGTAGCTAGCTCAGGAGAATGGCTTGAGTATTGGCGAATTTGACGTGGATATAAGAAGGAACTTAATGGTCGGCATCGAGTTGTAATTTGGATTCTCGGGAGGGGTACTACCGCCGTCGATAGCGGTCTGGCGGCTGCTGCGAGTTTTGTGATGTTTCTGCTTGTGACGGCGTTTAGGGTGGGATGAATGCGCCATAGTTGTTGACAGGTTCTTTTGGATGCCATGCTGGTTTGCTAGATCTCAGCACATTCCTCCCGTCTGGGGAAAAATTGTCCATTTTATGCTATTGCCTTGACTTTTCCCGCTGGGCTGATGATGATGGCAGTGTCGCATGATGGAGATGGTACGGGGAGTGGCGTGATGTTAGTTGGCCAACGCTGGGCTGACAACATCCGCCAAGGTCGGGTCTTCGCGGCTGGAGTTCCAATTGCGTCACGCAACTGGGGAAAGATACCCCAGATCTCCCCAGAATATCATGGTCATTTGCACGGGTTCTTGATGCCGCCCTATCCCGCAAGCCCCGCTTCTTTCTGTTGTCCCCGTGCCAGTATTGAGGGACGATGGGTATGGGGAGACTAGACGTGTGACGGATGCTAAAATGGGCGAACGGCTGTTGAGGAAAGCTAGACCAAGCTGAGATAGACTGGTTTACTGCTCGGTCCTCAGGAGATCTCTATGCTCGAACCTTAATAGAATACACTTGGCTTTTATCGTTCTTCAACGTCCGCTGAGAAGCCTTTAGCATTATTTGTTGAGATGAAGTTTACACTCCTCCTGGTGTTGGTGAATGCAGCATCAGGTGAATGGTGGAGATGGTGGGACATCCCTTTTCTGATTGGGTGAAGTGATGGGTCCTCGCTGTCTTTCCCGAACAAATTCCGCTACCAATTTCTCCTTGGCACTGGCGAAATTGGCTTCAACCATCGAGTGCTTACCCATCGTTCTGACGGAGACCGCACGACTGGCGTCAAATTCAACCACGACGCGAAAAGTTCATGCGATACTCGTGAGGACAGTCTCCCACTCAAGCCAGTTTTTATGCGCCAAGGGGGCGCAGCTGGTCTTATTGCAATAGTCCAGTAATGTGTGGGATCCACGTCGTCGTTTCTCGCGACGGCTTCCAGTCACTGCCAGCGGCTACGCAGGCCTGCCTGTGCAATCGCGGTCCAGATCATCTCGGCGAGGTTCAATCTCAGAGCGCTCCTGTTGAATCTGGTTCAAACCCAGTCTTCTTGAACTTTACATCGACCGTACTGGCCTTGCGTGGCGACCACATCATCAAGCAGCCATTCCGCGACGCGTCTTCGGGGTCCGTCCTCTGCTGGAACGGCGAAGCATGGAAAATTGGGAGCGCACCCGTTGAAGGCAATGACGGCGAGGCGATATTCGCACTGCTCACAGCAGCGAGTAACCGCGACGCCAACGAGGACGCAGTCTTGGACGTCTTACGCAGCATCGAGGGGCCTTTCGCGTTCGTCTACTACGACGCGACTGCGTGCCGTGTCTACTACGGTCGCGACCGCCTAGGCCGACGGTCCTTGCTACTGAATCAAGGGGAGGATCTACGGCTGTCCAGCATTGCTGAGAGCACGTCGCCGGCATGGGCTGAGGTGGAGGCGGATGGCATCTACGTACTGGATTTGGCCGGATGGAGCCGTGACTCGAGTAGCCCACCTTCCCCTCGGTCATGGACGCCAGGTGAGACGGAGACGGTAAGCTCGACAATGCTCGCGAATGATGGTTCGTTTTTGCTACTTACGATTTCAGGTCCTCAACATCGGTGTCTTTAACATGGCACTGCCACCTTCAAACAGTCAACCGCTGTCAGCATCGTCACCGTCGGTTCAGGCTGTACGGCAGCAGTTGACAGAATCTCTCAAGCTGCGCGTCCTGGACATCCCAGAACCGCCGGCTCACGAGGCGAACAATGACACGCGGGTCGCTGTGCTGTTTTCCGGTGGGCTAGACTGCACGGTCCTGGCGCGCATGGCTAGCGATATTCTGCCCTCCGAACAAGGCATCGACTTAATCAATGTCGCCTTCGAGAACCCTCGTTTAGCAGCAAAGGCCGAACAGTCCTCCGATGGCCTGAGCCTTTACGAGGCGTGCCCGGACAGGATAACTGGCAGGAAGTCATTCGCCGAGCTGGCCGCTATCTGTCCGGCCCGGCGATGGAGGTTCGTTGCCGTAGGTTCTCCCTACACACCGTCAACCAGTCCTTTGCTAACCCTGGACAGGTGGATGTTCCCTACCAAGAAGTACTTGCCCATCGGAGCCAAGTGATCTCCTTGATGTACCCCCACAACACCGAGATGGATCTCTCTATTGCCTACGCCCTCTACTTTGCTGCCCGCGGCGTGGGCATGTCGCAATGCCACCCATCAGATGCGTCTGCATCTTACGCCACGCCTGCGCGAGTCCTTCTGTCCGGTCTCGGTGCCGATGAACTCTTCGGCGGCTACGTGCGACATGCCACTGCCTTCTCGAGGAGAGGCCACTCGGGTCTCCTCGATGAGCTAAAGTTGGACGTAAGCCGACTCGGAAAGCGGAATCTGGGACGCGATGACAGAGCCATGGCCCACTGGGGTCGCGAGGTGCGGTTTCCTTACCTCGATGAGGAGTTCGTCAAGTGGTCGATCGAAACCCCGGTCTGGGCAAAGTGTGATTTCGGCTTCACCGAAGCAGATGCAGAGATTGAGCCCGGGAAGAGGGTGCTGCGGCTGCTTGCTGAAGCGCTCGGCATGGTCTCAGTTGCCCGGGAGAAGAAGAGAGCTGTAAGCAGTTGGTTAATTCATTCCTTGGGACCTCGTAGCTGACAACCTCACAGATCCAGTTCGGCTCAAGAACAGCCAAGATGGAGAGCGGGAAGACCAAAGGGACCACGCTTATTGCTCCTTGAGTTCGATCTCGGGTTGTTAGTGCTCCCCGAGGCTGGCGATGATGATACACAGATACTTCCGAGTTGGCGGTCGCCCGATGGCTGCTGTCAGCAACTGTGCGTTTCTGTTTTGCAGTAACCCTTTGCTCGCAGCATGCGTTGGAGCTCTAAACAAGACCGTTAGCAATGACGCCGTAAAGGCAAGTCTGAGCCAGAGTTGAGTCGAGACGTCGAAAAGGAGCTTCTTCGATAGACATAGGTTTACCCCAGAATCATGTGAAACATTGAGCATGTTCCCCAGAGTCGAAATACTAACACGCGTTGATGACTTTGACACATTCGCGAGTCGGGTTTCCAGAGTCATGTGTCACCATTCGTAGAACGAAGATGATCAAGGAAAATGTGATATACCGAAAGGTAATGGCCAAGCTGTAGGACATAGCCACACAGGGTCGCTGATCCTGTAGCCATTGGGCATCGCCTAGGCTACCTGCATCCCGTCTGTCGCTGCAAAGCCAAGAGGGTTCCCCGTTTTCTGCTCCGTTGTGCCCTGAGTCGGTGCCACTAACAAGCCTCGAATCCGGCTTGGCTGCATCGCTTAGCTATTCTGAGGTCCCTAAGAGACGTGATTGACCTCTCAGGTCTTGTCTGGTGGGGCGGCCACGGCTGTGCTTGTGTGATCCTTCCGCCCTGCTGCCTTAAGATCAACCCACAAACATTCAGCTCTATCCCTATGTAATATGCTCCTCTGAGTTGAAGCCTCCTCTTGATTCCCGCATTGTCAATTTCAATTGCTCCGCTGAGAGTTTGACTACCGCACCAACTTATAATGTTTGCTTTTTGAACTGCTCATCCTAACCTTGTCCCTAGTCATGGACAGGTTCCAGAGCACTCAACCCCCATCAGACCATGAAAGATCCCATCCATACAGCGCGCAACCCGTGGACTCGTTCATAAATGACCAAAGTCCGCTCATGCGATCCGTTCCTTTGACAGAAGAGCAATCCGGTACGGTAGAATCTGAGCAGCCTGCCATCCTGATGAGTTCCATGGACGCCGGAGCGGCGTCTCCACCCCGACGAGCCGCGGCACCGGCACCGGCACGCGTTTGGAGCGGCTCGGATGCCTCCTACAACCCACTTCCTAACATGGAACGCGCTTCGACCGAGTCACCTCACTCTGCTGGATGGGATCATACGTCAGGAAGCGCGGAAACAAAACCCGGACTATCCTACAGAGAAACTTCACTCATCCGCACGGAGAAGCAACCATGGCGCACATCACTCCTGGGGTGGCTACCGGAGCTTCTCTGGTGTGTAGTGAGTGTTGCCTCGGTCGCCGCTCTTGCCGGAGTCTTGAGTCGGTTTGATGGGCAACCGCTGCCAGAATGGCCACTCGGGCTGACTCTCAACACCCTGATCGCCTTCCTCGCAACCCTGGCTCGAGCCGCCTTCGTGATTCCCGTTTCCGAAAGCATTTCTCAGTTGAAGTGGCTCTGGTATCGCGACGAACGGCCTCTGAAAGACTTTCAGGACTTCGACTCGGCTAGTCGAGGACCGTGGGGGAGCTTGCAGTTGTTGAAGACTACCAAGGGCTGGTATACTAAACCGATCTGAAGAACGCTTCGTTCTTGCTGACGTTTGGGATAGGTCTCCCAGCATTATCTCAACAGTGGTCTTCGTCACGGCGATTTTCACGTCGACCTTGACGCAGTCCGCCGTGACCTACCCTGTTCGCCTCGCACGCGTCGACGGAACCGCCGTCGTAGCTCGTTCGACTTCCTTCTACTTCAGTACCGCCAACTTATTTTCCGGGAGTAAGACCTGTCAGATTTACCACGATGGAGTCTTCTGCTAACCCATCTCCTGACAGTCAATCAGCAGCACTACACTGAGCAATCCATCTTCGAGGGTTTGAGCTACAGCCACACCCAAGAGTTCCCGCTCAGTCCGGCACGCTGCCCCACAAGCGAGTGCAAGTGGGAGGCATACAGTTCACTGAGCGTCTGCGCCAAGTTCTGGAACGTCACTGATTCACTCAACACCACAGTCACGCAGAGTCCCACCCCACCACCGTCACGCTTTGCATCGCTTCCTAACGGAATATCCGCCAACCTGAGTGGCTATCACCAAGGGAAGGTTGTATTGCAAGGCACAAGGCGACCCATCGCCTCCGACATTAATCCTGAGTCGTCCCTCTTCAATTTCACCGTCATATACTCGCTTCTGGGCGGTGCCAACGAGGCGATCGGTGCCGCAGAGGCAGTGCTCTACTTTTGCACCAAGACGTATAATCTCTCTTTTGCCGGCAACATCGAGTTGAGGGAGGTTATTGGCGTTACGACAGACGTGGAGCAGGGGTCGGTGGAATTGCCCGCCGGCCAGGGACGGCGCGAGTTGCCAGCCATCAGGGATCCCCTGGAGCCTGGTTCCAACTTCCCGTTCGGTGGGACGGGGCTTGGGTCGATGCAGGAGAGCTTGGCGTATGCCCTCAACGGCTCCTATGCGGACATGAGTGGCGACCAGAGCACCCTCGCCTTGGCACCGGCTCGGTATTGGGCTGCGTTGCAGTATGGAGCCAAAACTCTCGAGGATCTGGGGCGGCCGAATGTCTCGCAAGAAACCGTAATCAACGAATCGATAGCGAATATCACGAACAACATTGCGAGAAGCTTGTCGAATCGGTAAGGCCTTTTGATCGTCACTCTGCTGCACCCGCTGTTCCCTTTGTCTCGTCGATGCGATTGCCTCCTTTGTTGCTATTGCCTGCTGCTTGTTTCGAGCTAATAATGCCTCTCTTCCTCCTCTTCTGCATTTCTCCCCTGTTGAACCACACAACAACTGACCACAAGACTAAATTAGGATAACTAAAGACACTACGAATGTAACAGGCGATGCTCTAGCCGCCGAGACATTCGTCCAGGTCCGATGGCCCTGGCTTGCCTTCATATCGTCCCAAGTCGTTCTGTCGATGGTCCTTCTGGCTACCGCCATCATCCAAACAAAGACAGCCGGGATCGGTGTGGTGAAGAGCTGTACGTTGCAGGCTTTTGTCGCCATCAACTCGAAAGACAAACAAGCATTGGAAATAAGTCTTGCACACCAGCGTCACCAACATGAGGTCGACGATATTGTCAAAAAGGGACCTGGCATCGCCTGGAGATTGGGCATGACGGACCATGGTTGGAGGCTCGGTCGTTAGCAGATGGCAAGGTCTTATATATGCAAGAGGAACTGTCAAAAAAGGCAAAAGCACATGCGTCAATAGACACTCGCTAGTTTAAGGCTGAAATCACCAAGTTTGTGTTAAGCCCCAAGACTTTTCAGTGGTTTCGAGGGATTTTCGATCTTTCGACGGTTAATCTCACTTCCATCTTCTCGCAGGTGTTTGACTCGCGGTTGCTTATTGTCTTTCTTGGGCCTTACTAGTTGCGGCATATTGACGTGAATTCCGAGTCAGATCAAGTAAGTGACGTTGGGTGGCTCCGGCTTGGTGGAGGTGGAGCCAATACTAATACCGTTCCGAAAATCTAGAAGCTTTTTATTTTTTTATCAGTTAGGCTAGATCGTGACCGTAATTGTGGATAGGCCGCGACCCTGGGTGGCGGTACTCTAGCTGTTTGCGGTCTACCCACAAGACAAGGGCCGACAAACAGAGAAGCACATTGGCAGATCTTCTTATCAAGCACTCTAAGACATAAAGCACCCATTTCTCCTCAAAGATCGTCTTCGAGTCCATCTGGCATCATGTCTCTATGTTCACAGTGCTTTCAGGCCTACGAAGAAATTCCGCGCAGAATCGAGCATCATGGATATTTCGGGGCCACCTGCGGCTGCGGTTTTGGTGCGTCTCCCACTGGTTGCTGTATTATACTGTTTTCAATACAAGAAGTTTTCAGTTTCTTTTGCGCTGTTTACCTTGGTCTTTCGAGGCTAATTTCAAACCAGGTAACCCACTTCGCGCTGATTGGGATCGCTGCTGTCATGATCGGTGCCCGTATCTACCTGCGTAAAAGTATTCAAGGGCGTCCGCTCATCGCAAGCGACATTCTCGTGTGTGCTACATGGCTTGCTTCTGTGACGACTGCTTCTTTCGATGTTGCGTTTTACATACTGGATGTGCTACGTCCAGACGTCGAGTATACCCTTGCGAGGTACCCTGGCACTCCCGAGAAGATAGAGCTTATATGGAAGGTGAGCATCCGTACCTGAGCAATTGGCATGAAGCCCATGAATAGTAAGGCGACTTCTATGTGAGCTCAACATGCTAACTAACCGTCTTGTTGGACAGCTACAATGGTGTAGCGAGTTTCCCTTCTACACCGGGTTTTATCTGTGCAAAGCGTCGCTTTTGGCGCTGTATGCGCGTCTCTTCCCGGCTTTCATGCACACACGACGAAAGATTCTATGGGCAACCATGGCATACTGCGTCTGCGCATACGTCGCAACCATCCTAGTACTGTTTCTGAATTGCAGGCCGTTACCGGGAAACTGGTAAAATTCCTATTGCTTGACTTATTTCAATTCTTCTTCTCTAGAGCTCCTTCTAATTGTCTCCAAGGTCCACCGATCCGGCAGTGGCATGTCCTTCGATCATATTCACCCAGGTCTTTCAAATCGCATGGGCCTTGAATTTTGCTGCAGACCTCGCAAGTAAGCTCCAATCAGTCTATCTATGGAAAAACAATACCAGCAGACCTACGGATATTTGTTAACAGTTCTCTAGTATTCTGCCTTCCTTTTCTTGTGTTATACCAGCTGCAACTGAAGCGGGATCTCCAGATCAGTGTTTACTGTACGTTCCTTATTGGAGCTCTCAACTTGGCAGTCACCTTGGCACGCTTCGTAGGGATTCAGGTGGCGCTGTCAACTTTCCGATCCTTCACCGTCATTGGTAAGTTTAGGCCGGTGATTCGAATCACTTTTTCTTTCCCCCTTTCTTTTTGTTTCATACCTTCGTATCGGTTTTTTTCCCTCCATGTAAAATACTGATAGAATGATTACAGAGCTGTGGAGTGCCTTTGACTTGCAAATGGGTCTAGTCATTGCATGCATACCACCCCTGCGGCCGTATCTGTCGCTGAAATGGAAGATATGGCCCTTTGCACGAGCGAACCAGCTTCCTAAAGAGTCCGGAAGTAGTTCCGAGTTCTCTGAGATTACTCGACTCGACCAGTCGACACCACAACGTGTCCGCCACAGCAAGAAGGGCTCATATGCGAATTTCACAGATTTTGGAGGTTGTGACGTCGAACCATTTGCCTTGATAAATTATAATTCACAGGGCTCTATGTCGAGATACTAGGGGCGAAAAAGAGCCAGAGTCCCATGGAGCAAGACGCCTGGATGCAGTATCGTGGAATGACCCCGAAATGACCTTATCTACGTCGACGAAGTATAATGTATTAGACAAGTTAAAACAAAAATAACTGTTGAATGGACTCTCTCTTCCTGAGAGAACCCGTGTGTACGATCGTACTCGGGTTAAAGTTAGGGTGAATCAAAGATGTATTTTCCGTGATTATCTTCCTAACTACAAGACTTGGCTTTCGTACACAAGATGTATGATCTCGTACGTCCCTGAGTCAGTTCGGCATGAATATACTTTGATCCCCTCAATGGATAACTGAGGGCCGAATATCCAGTCTGTGCCCTCTACCATGGTGTGTGTCCTTGAGTCGTGCGTGTCGTACAACCAGCTGGTGCTGTTATTCCAACAATAACCGTATTTATACCCACCTAACTCGAAAGCGATCATCTGTTGAACCTTGGGAGCCTCAGTCGTTACCATCTTCATTCTTGAACTGTAGACAGAATCTAATATACTGCTGTGGGAATGTCTCAACCAGGCGAGATGATAAGGAACCTGGTACGTGCAAAGGACACACAAGTACGGTTGTCAGCCATGACGCTCGAGAGGATCAGCATCAAGGGTGGAAGATGCTGTGGTCTTCATCTCGAGACTGGAGAGTTGACTAACAAGGAAAGAGCTGTCAATAAATTGGGCTAGAAATGCCCAGAGATGCGCGAAGTTGAAGACATATAAGAGCGTATATAGGCATTGTTCAATAAACATGGGATGCATTACGAGTTATTCTAACAATCGTTATTATTAGAGCGTGGATTCTGTCTTATCTAGCCCGAAACATCTGTCATGACGAGGACAGTCTCTACAGGAGTATGCTGTTGCGACTGGCCATAATAAAGGATGCTTGGGTTATTCTTTTAAAAATCGTTAGTGATATCTAAACGATAAGTTTACTGGTTAGATTGCGGTCAAACTCCAGGGGTAAGCTCCAGAGGTGAGTAAGACTGTCGCCCCTCACCCGCTCGAGGTCGCGGACCACGCTAGCGACCTCGCTGCCGTTATACACCTTGGCTATGGGCAGAATGAGGCCGAGGGCATTTCAAACGCGCTCTTCTTAGTCGTACCCATGTCTTGTTCGTACGATAACTGAGATCCAGTGCCCAGGCTTATAGCCTAGGTTGAGGGGGATGACCTTTTGTAGGAGGCGGATGTCAAGGTTCGTCTCGGTATCGGCGATGCCGGTAACACGGGGCCGGCGGGTACATCACCCGTTTCACGAAGTCTGCTATATTATCCGAGGCTGGCCAAGACACCTTTGAGTTTCTTCAATAACGAATGGCGCCTGCAGACGGTCGACAGTTGTGGTAGTTGATGGCTACTGTAAGCTTTCTTCGGAGCTTGGCCTGGCGACCCCACATCGGCAATCCGTGACCTCCGGAAGGTCACCACCGAGCACGTACTTGCCGCACCTGGCTTCCATTCATGTTCTTGCCAGAACAGGTTGAAAATCTCAATCTGCATAGCGCCAAATCTGGAAATCCTACCGCATCACTTCACTTCACTTCGACCATTCTTCTTCGACCACATCCCACGAATCAGCTCGTTGACTACTCAACACCATTCTTACGACACCACAAGTACCCTGCCCAAGTACACTTTTCCAGATCATTCCCTGCAAGAATACAATGGCATCTTCTTCGAGTGCCCCGATATCTGGCGACGTCGGCTTCGGACTCGGATTCCCCTCGATTCAGCTGTCCGCTGTGCAGCAGACGATGGTGATGGGAGTCTGTGAGGTTGCTAAGAAATGCGCATAATAATCCAAGCCAGCATACGATGTTAGGCATCAAGCCACTGGTTGTCCTTCGCTTGCCAGTATAGTCTCAGGAACACACTAGTCTTGCTGCAGAGGAATTCGGCCAAGAAAGAGAGGTTTTGACTCGAACTCCAGACCAAGGATCGCGGGAATCATGCAGACACGCCTACGACAGCCGCAGCCAGCGAACATCCACCTGAGGCACTGGGCTACCTTCGAACCCCCGCACGCTTCTATCAAGGGCAAGGAGCATGGGTAACGGCGACGAGCATAACCACGAGCCTGACAGCGAAGGCATCTACGCCAGTCCTACAATCCTCGAGAGAAAGAGAGCCAAATCTAGCGGGATCCCTCGTAGTAGCGAGAAGCGAGCCAGACCAAGCAACGATAGGACGACGGCTGCCGTTCCTGACGTGCCTTCCCTGCAAGAGCCCTCCACAGAGGAACGCAGCCAGATCGGAGACTGCCTTATGCTCGTACGTAAACGCCCACCGGCAATGGACACGGCATAGGCCAACGGTCGGGGGCATTCCAAACCACAGCCCGCCAAGACCCAATCTCCCTCCGATCAGGCACGATGCCAACGCCTTTCAACCGAAACTCCGAGAACGTCGAAGAATGGCAGCGCGCATAAACCAATAGGCTTGGATCAGGTGTCTAGCCCGCCCAACCCATTGAGACCAACCATATATAACGTGGCCGACGCCTTTCCGCAACGTCAAGCCGCCTGAGACGACGACAGTGGGACGTCTGCGTCAACGGGGTTGCATCTAGAGGAGAAGCAGGAGCGTAATAAGAAAGCTCTGGCAGATGCTAAACAATGAAGAACCATAGGAAATTGTTGAATGAGACGGTTGTGTGCCTCAGTATGGTAATATGGCCTGCCGCGCGCCAGAGAGGCAGGCAGTGCCAGGCAGATGGGCCCACGTCTGTCGCTCTCAGGTTCGATTGGCATAGCATACATGCTATGATTTCAGAACAGGCTGGGCCCCCCAAAGTTACTGTTCACGGCAAAGAGGGCGACGTTTCGTTTCCAGGTTCCATGCTGTCGGAAAGATGGGATGAAAAGAGGGCTTCGGTTGAAAGCCTTGTTCCGCTGGCAAGGGCTACCCACCTTGTACGGCTCCGCTCCGGGGTTGTCTGGGGGGAGGCAGCGTCGCACAAAGCATGATGGGAAAACAGTGGATTTTACGGCTTCTTAAGGGCGTCCAATGCCCACACTCGTGTTGCGATGTTGAGACATGTCACCTTGACGGCCCTTGTTCCTCGACAACACTTTCCTGTGTCGGGCCGAGGCAAGTTGGGAATCCGGGAATCTCTAGTTCCCGGGCAACACGGGGCCAGAGACGGCTCAGACTAATTAGTCCGGGCTCCAAATATGCCAGCGTGCGGACGCCCTGCTCTTGCGGTTCATCTGGTCTGAGACTCGTCCGAGCCCCAAGCCTACTAAGGACTCGCGGGTGACCGCCCGACGGCCAGGGCCCCCCCTGCGACGAACCCCACGATGGATGTTGCGCTTGGCGTCTTCAGACTGAGCCTCCAAGGCCAGCGGCTAGGCTATTTTGGAGCAAAGGGAGTCAAGGGGCCTAAATGTAGCAGTCCCATCGAGCGGTCCCGCTGAGAAGTCCTTCACCCTTGCTGTGTTACCCGCGGTCTCCTGGAAACGGGGCTACTGCACCGGGCGGCGTCGAGTGCCGATGCAGGGGCGCATGGGTTCGGGGGTATGATCTGCGCAGGGCCCATTGGACGATGATGCACAGAGGGCGAGGACCTGAAAAGCTGTGTGCATTCGGAGACGCAGCGTTGCTGATGCTTTGTTACACCAACGGAGGCGGGTACACCAGCCAAGCCCCCTTTGTGAAAGAAAGCCAACATATCTCAAAAATGAGACATCTCGCTCGCGGGTAAGCCCTCGGCCAATGTCTGAGTCTTTCTCTGCTTCATTGCTTTGTTCGACATTTTCAGGCCGTTGGATACGCGTCAGGGTAGCTGTCATCCCCGATCCCAGCATTCAGCTCATCATCCACGATCTCTCTTCTCTCATCTCACACCGTCGCCCTGGGAGCCCTGTTTTCAGTCACCGTCGCGTTGAGAACCTGGTCCCGACTTGCACCGGCCAGCCCGCGTCTCCCGCCTTTTGCTTCCGTTTCTTCCATGAATGATCGTCAAGCCGGCTGAAAGCGGACGTCCACCTCTCCAGCTCCGGACAGGACATCTTTGGACGAGCGTACATCAGAGTACCGATACCTCCCCCACGGCATACCGCGTCTGCGACCTGGGCCCGTTGCATCGCGTGCGCTCCTCCTCTTCCTCCTCACACTCGCTCCATTCCCAATAAGACCCAGTGTGTGATCTCATCCCCGTTCCAGAACTCAAAAGGTCTATCCAACCCCAATACCACCTCCCTCCTATTGCCTGCCCCAGGCTTTACTTTTCACTTTGATATAATTTTTTTTACTTCCCGTCTGAGACACCCGCCGCGTCGGTCACTAGTCCCAGGTTTATTACTTCCCTTTTCAATTTTTTTGCTTTCTTTTCTTGCTTGCGTCTCTAATTTCCTCTTGTTTCCCCATCCCTCACAACACAAACGTCACTGGCACGCCAGACAATCTCCAAACGAGAATCCGAACGCGAGAAGACCACTTCACCACCACCACGGGACACGGAAAAAAAGGGCCAACACCACTGAAAGGATCATGCTGAAGGCCGCTTGCCCGATCCCCCAATCCTCATCTTTTCCTCCCGCCGGCCGTTGATCAAACCTTCCTTTCGCCTGATTGTCGACTTCTTTTTCCCCTCCTCGTTCGAGTCCTCCCTAGCGGACACCTCCACGATGGAACGCCCCCACCGTCCTCCGCCGCTCACGATCCCCCCGCCGCCCCGACCCCGAACCCGGGTCCGACGCCCTCGCGGCCCCAACGCCCGACAGGCGCGGCAGTTCAAGCGATGGCTCTTCCGCGCCCAGATCGCGAATGACGTCGCCCACGTCGTCGGCGCCTCAATTCTGCTATGGATCATGTCGTGGTTTCTGTACAACGTATCGTTTCCTCTTACATACCGCACCGGGTAAGTCGTTTGCCTCCTCCATCTACTACTTGTGCTGGGTTCTGAGCATAGTTCGCTAATAACCAAACCACAGCCCCGCCGCCGTCGCCCTTCTCGTGGTCCTCTCCACCGACATCCTCCTCGACGCCCGTTCCATAGTTCACGCCCACGACGCCTGGCCCGGCTGGGCCCTCCTTCTCCGCCTCCTCGTTGGCACCTCGTTGATCGCCGTCTTCTGGGTCTACATAGCCGTCGGCGACGTCTTCGCCCCCGGCTTCACCTACTGGGGATGTCCGAGACCTACGGGCGCGTGCTGGCGTACATGTTCCTCTGGGGCATCGGCCTCTGGGACCTGCTGTTCGTCGTGCTGTGCCGCCACTGGCTCGGCAAGGAAGTAAAACGCTACGGCGGTCGCGCGAGGCGGGTGTTCCGCGAGAGGAGGTCGCCCGGTATCAGCGCGCACCGGTTAAACAGCGCGGTCGCGGAAGAGCAGCCCAACCGGGTTGTTGTCATGGACATCGAGGCCGCGAGGCCAACGAACGAGGACGAGGGGAGCGGTGGCGGCAGGGTGGGGTTGCCGTTGCGCATGGGCGTGAGGAGGGCAAAAAACAGCATGAGCGTCAGCGTAAACTCTATCGCGAGCGGCGCGGGGACGGGGACCACCACAAGGGATGCGTCGCCGCCCCCACCTGTGTTTATGAGGCCGGCGTGACGAGATGGTCGAGGCCTTGAGGGGCCCCGCGGAAGCGACGTGGAGAAAACCTACCCGTACTATATAATGATAATCAACGATAATCAAGACAAATAATTCTAGCATAACTCTGGATGACATTGGCGGTTCGGCGCGTGGGATGGCACCTCCGTCCGATAGTCATCTTCGGCCCATCTTGCTGTCATCCTTCTCGGACAGGAGGACAATGGCTTGGCTTCATCCGGTGATCCCATCTCGGGAGTATCAACACAATCATGGTTGCTAGCCCCTGCCAAACGTCGCTTGTTGCAACGCTGAAGTCTGTCCTCGCGTTTATCGTGATGCATGAGTCGTGAGGGTAAGTCAGCAATTATATTTAGTTTGAGGGTTGTTTAGCTAAGACTAGCACGCCAAACGCAATGTCTAGTCGAGCTCAACATGCACAGGGGCAGAACGGATTGACATGGGGCATGTGATGGTTGCAGAAGAGCTGCGGGTATCAATTCTACCAAAAAAACTGCCGTCTCGATCTCCGTGAACTCTCACTAAGCGTACCGATGCTGCATCTCGGCCAGGCTTTTCCGATGGCATCAGACTCGAGATCCGGCGACTCATGTGGTTACGGCTTGAGACCTTCCAGCTCTTTTGACACGACGCATATGCCACATCAACGATGGCCTCACTTGAATTCACACCGTTTCATCCTCTGGGTGTTGACAGTGTTTACTCAACCGCTGCGGGCGTGTGAACGGGCGCCCCCTCGTCTAACGATTTTTCTGGCTGTTACACCGCGAGCGGCTCCATGATCTGCTTCCCCTCCTTGTCGACCATGAAGTGACTAAACGCCTCCTCATCATTGTCGTCAAAGAGCAGCGAGTCTTCCTTCTCGGGCTTCAGTTTCGCGTACAGGCCATGGCCGGCCTTGGGCCACGACTCGGGCAGAGCGTCGTCGTCATCCTCGTCGTCGGCTGCCGGGTCGGCGGCCTCTGCGGGTGCAGTCTTCAGGATCTTGCGCACGCCGCCTGTCTTTGAGCGCTGCTTGGGGACCTTGAGGCGCGCGTGGTTGCTCTGGCGGTGGCGTTGGGGTTCCTGTTGGTGCTGTGGATGATTAGTATCGTTCATCGTGAGGGGGGCTGTTGGACATGACGTACGCCTCTTGGTTGCGCCCAGTCGGGGGACCCAAAGATGGGTAGCCCCGGGTGCTTTTTGGAGATGGAGACGAGTATATCTACGAGGAGACCCGGGTGGATGTCATTGCTGAAGATGAGCAAGTTGACCAGCTCGCTCTTCTTTAAGCCCTCAAAATACTCTCTTCTCTGTGACCGTGTTAGCAAAAGGTCTTGTGCAGCCGCTCCCTTGTCTGCCACGTACCTCCTCACGACTGGCATTGCCACCCTCAAACCCGATGATTCTCGAGTTGGGGAACTCGGGCAGCATAGCAAGACGCTTCTCTCGTCTCCGCTCGACCTCGTTTTGTAGCTTCTTCCACTCCGCTTGCTCCTGCTTCGCCTCGCGGTACTTTGCGAGCTGGCGCTGGTACTTAGCCTGCTCCTTCTCCTCGTCCTTGCACGTGCTGCACCGGAACCGCGGCGGATCGGCGGCAACGTCGCTTAGGATCTCGGGGTCGTGGCAGAGTTGGTGCCAGGCCTCGCCGCAAGAGCAGGCTATAATGAGGTTGGCGTCGGTCCAGGACGTACGCTTGCACTTTGTGCACATCGTTTGCCCATTACCGTCGTCCTTGGTCCGCTTCCTCTTCACGGGCGGCTTGGGCATGGGACGCCTGAGAATTTCGGGTTCTGGGTAGGCGGGCAAGTTGGAAGGTCTCCGGGAGGCTTCATCTTCTATTTCGCGCTTCCGCTTTGTTCCGGCGGAGGGCGGCTGGCCTAATGTGATTGTTGAGGGAACGGCGGGCGTCGCACAAGGCAAGTACAGCGTCCGAGGCAGGGTAGACAAGTCCAGTGGGCAGTGTAGAGAATCCTCTTTGGCAGCCTTGGACGTTTCATGAGGCTCATCTGTTGGTGCATCAGGTGCTGGTGAGGATGGTTTGCTATCGTTAGTCTGGTGGAGACGGCTCAGAACGTATCGTGAGGTTGCAGGAGAAAACTGGCGTTTGTATGAAGATGGGGTGGGAGTCGGCAGTTCTACTTTTTCGGTTTCGACGGGAGCAGACTGAGGCGCTGCAGGTGCGGGTGATGGTTGTTTTGGGTCAGCGCCAATCGCAGTTGCTTGCGCATCTTGAGTTGTGTCTTCAATCGTTGTCGTCGGGATAACTTCCGTCTCAATTTTGGTCTCATTTTCGACCGGCATGGCCTCATCGATCATCTCCTGGTCGATTGCCATGGCTTCTGGTCCCGGCGGCTCGAACATTGTGAGATGAACGGCGCAGGACGGACGGCGATGTGGGTGGAGATCTGAGTGAGCTGGTGTGTGGTGTTGCGACGATGAACCCAGCACATCCGAGGTGGCGCCACGAAGAAGTTCTCGATGATCTGAATGCCAATGCACTTACAAAGTCGATTAAGAATCAAAACAAGACAATCCCGCAAAGATTTTTTGCGACTGCTCCTCAAAAGGGGATATTAGTTACAGTTGGCTTTCAACAAAGGCTAAGGTAGTCAAACGGGAAATGTAGTGCAAGACGCGAAGTCGCGTTTGAGGGTCACGTGCGCCACCGAAGCTGGTCGGTGCCCCACATTTGTACAGCTTCGGTCAACCTCGGTGTAGGCTCAACATCTTAAGACGGCCACGCTGGTAAACAGGGATAGCAAGGATGCCACTGGTGTTTCCTAAAAGAAAATTCGGTCGATTTTTTCCTCCCAAAGTATATTGAAATGACTGCTAATCTCAGCAAGTCTTCTAGCAGTCAAAAGTCCGGGAAGGAACAAGCAGGAGAAAACCGCGAAAACCAAAGCAACGTCTAGAAAGTCTCGCGGGTCTGTGCTGGAAGCCAAATCTATCTATCCAACTACACCGCTGCTCTTCAATGACTGGATATGCTCCTCCGACAACCCCAAATGCTCTCCCAGCACCTCGCTCGTGTGCTGCCCCAGCGTAGGCGGCGCCGTCCGAATCGTCGGCTTGCTCTCTGAGTACTTGACTGGAGTGTTGACCATCTTGATCGGCCCGCACTCCTCATGTTCCATCTCCACCACCATGTTTCTCGCCAGCGTGTGCTCATGGTTCAGCGTGCCCTGGACGTCGTTAACCGCCGCGTACGGCATGCCCCGGCCCTCAAACACCTTGAGCCACTCCGTCGTCGTCTTGGTCACGGTGATGTCTTCAATCAGCGCCTCGAGCTCGACGCGGTTGGCGACTCTCTGCGCGTTTGTCTTGTACTTGGCGTTGTCCTTCCATTCCGGTTTGCCTAGGCCCTCGCAGAGGATCCCGTAAAGGCGGTCGTTGCCGCCGCCGAAGAGGATGTCTCCGTCTTTGGTCTTGAAGGACTTGTACGGCACAATGGACGCTTTCGTGGTCAGTTTCGTTCACGAGCAGACGTTGAACAACTTACGATGCGCGGTTCCCCATCGTCCCGAGTCCTTCTTGCCGCTAATAAGGCAGCTGCTGGCAATATTGGCCAACGTCGCCGTCTGGCAGTCACTCAACGCCACGTCAATGTGCTGGCCCTTCCCGGTCCTTGCCCGCGCTAGCAGCGCAGCCATAATGCTGTTGCTCGTGTATAGCCCTGTTGTCAAGTCCGTCACGGCGACGCCGACTTTGACGGGCTCTCCGTCGCGGCTGCCGGTGATGTGCATGAGGCCGAACTCTGCTTCGACCATGACATCGTAGCCGGCGCGGTCCGAGTAAGGGCCCGTCTGTCCGTAGCCCGTGATGGAGGCGTAGATGAGGCCCGGGTTGATGGCGCGCAAGGTCTCGTAGTCCATCTTATACTTCTTTAGGGTCCCGGGGAGATAGTTCTCGACCAGGATGTCGCATTTTGAGACGAGCTTGTGGAGGATTTCGGTGCCATCTGGGTGCTGGAAGTTTAGCCCCAGCGACTTTTTGTTGCGGTTTACCTGGGTGTGGTTAGTCTGGCTCATGTGAGAGACCTGTGAAGCTTACGGCCAAGAAGTATGCGGACTCGCCGGGTCCTTCTTTGGATGAATCAGCTTTGTAGGTCGCGTAAGGCGGCCCCCATGCTCGAGTATCGTCACCTCGTACGGGATGTTCGACCTTGATCACCTCGGCGCTTCAATGATGTCAGTGAGATGGGTCCACTTGTGACCGATAATGAAACAAACCCAAGATCGCCCAGAATTTGAGTGCAATAAGGCTATTGGCCATGTCAGCTTCGGTTCCAATTGATAAGGTGTCACTCTGGTATTCACCCCAGCCAAGACTCTTGTCATGTCCAAGACTCGATACCCATCAAGCGGCAACTTGCTGCTCGGCACCGACGAGTACCGACGCCACACGCCCGTGAAGCGTGATGGCTGCGCACGGAATCGCGCAGCCCGCGAGAATACGCGGAATTGGACGCCAAGCGTGAAGTTGCACATCATCATCTTCGGACGACTTGCAGCAGTCGTTGCGGGGAAGATTGTTGGAGTTGAAGTCCGGCATCGTCGAGGACGCCACTTGGTTCCCCAGCTCCGACCCCGGTCTAGCTCCGGTCCGGTTGGCGGGGATGCCGTCGGGTAGGCCTCGGCATTATCCTTGTTCAAGTGAAGGTGCATTATGTAATTGGGCACGGGCCAACCAAGGGCATCAACATCGCGAGATCATTTTAGTACTGTGACGGATCCCATCTTGAACTATCTACTACTGTTGTTTCTCATAATCATATCTAAAATACAATATCTATATATGTTCCACCATGACGCTAGATCGTATAAACGTGTGAACTCCGAAATATCTAGCTGCTCTAGTCGTTGTTTACTGGGCTTACAGACACAGGAGAATGACGGTGCACTTCGTAACAAGGCCATTCCAGGGCATGTCTCAGGAGCGGCGTAACGTTGGCACCTCCAGCGTCGCACTGCGCGTTTTTCTATGAATTCTGGCGGGTTCCGTGGGCGAGGAGGGCGTGCTATCCTGCCGCCCAAAAGAACGCGACCCCGACGGCTCGGTATACCGTCTGCCCTTTGGCGGTTGTCGCGAAGACGACCTTGTAACGGACCGCTCTCTTGACGCAGGCGACCCAGTCGATGTGGTTGAGTCACCTTCGCTCCCAGAATGGAATTCATTCGAGTCTCGGCTCATCGACAGACGGAAATTGCGCGTACTGAACTGGTCGCTAGTCAAGGTGACCAGTCTGTTGCGTCCCATCTCCCCCGGTATCTGAGGCCATACGCCGATACCAAAGTCGTCCGGTCGCAGCTGCGGCTGCACCTTGTTCCCGAAAAAACTATTGACCTTGATCAGGGCGTTAGAGACTGTGCGTCTGTAGCCCTGGTCCTGGTCGGGTTCGGTGCCACCAGAGATGGGCCTGGTGAGTGAGGCATGTCGGACTTCCGGCTCATTGGATCCTTTCCGGGTCAGGTGGTTTGGTTGGTTCGGTTCTACCAGAGGTGTTTCGCCTCTATCCGACATAACCTCCCCGGCTAGATAGATGTACAACGAGCCCAGCGCAGCCATTCCGGTGGCGAGGATGGTGCCCCATTGGCCTGTTCAGAAACTCGCATGTCAGCTCCACTGCAAAATACCAAGTGTACGGGAGGAACAGGACCATACCAATGCTACCCATGGGCTCAGTATGGTAGTCCATCTGAGGACTGAAGAAGTTGATCTCCCCGATAATGAGGATAGCCACGACCGCCCCAGCAAAGACGGGTATCTCGACCGCGTTGAGGAAGCCCCTGATGCTGGCATTGACGCTCTTCATGTTGCCGAATGTCGCCCCGTTGGCTCCGGGGATGGGATCGTTGTCACGCCCCTTCTCGTCGTCCGGGTTGTTCTTGATCTTGACCCACATAGACACCAGGGAGAGGATCGCGGGCACACACTCGGCGGCCGCAAGGAACATGGAGTTCCCGAGCGGGAGCTTGGTGGGTATTGGTACGACGAAGATGTCGCTGGCCGCCTTGGTCCGCAGGCGAGACGACGGGCCATTCTGTTCCGAGCACATGAGTCCGCACAGGGCGTTGCCGTAGGGGAAGCCAACCGGGTTCTGCGAGATCGGGTTGCCGGCATCGTCGAAGAAGCACGGCGCTGAGCTGGCGCGGTAGAACTCGACCGCCAAGCTCAAGAGGCCTTGAAAGGGTAATCAGCACACCCTGCTCTTTAGTGCCAGACATGCCATTACTTACCAGCCAGGATCAGCCCAGTCCACAAGAAGATGATGTTGCGTCCTCGTTCGTTAGAATAGGTGGAGGATAGCTTAACCGTCACGGGGCCCGCTAGGATGCCTATTGAACAGTACTGCAGCGCCCCATATATGTCGAGGTCAATGGCACCTACAAGCACGACTGTCAGTTGGGGGCTCCAGCAGAGGGTATGGCAAATGGCTGAACCGACCCTCGACGTGCAACGCCGCCAGGACTATGCCATGCACAGCCGCGACGGCCGGCAGGATAAGAGCAGCGGCGAGACCGACGTTTCTGATCCATTCGGCCTTCCTGGCGAGGACGCAAGTCGCTACGAGGAGGTAGTAGCTGGGTCAAGCACATGCCGATGTTAGTTTGCAGCACTAAGAAAGCTTGATTGCCGGGCCGGGGCTACGCTGGAGACGAGCTCCATAACGCTCGCATATGTGTGTGGAGAAGCTTCTCCAGACTCGCGCAGCATCGACTTACAGAACCCTCTGCCCGAAACCATATTGGCCTGACAAAGGCCACGAACAGATGACCTCGATACAGGGCCCGTTAGAGCCTGCGCACGACGAAGGCGGGTCGGCGGAGGCTTCTCGGCTGGCAATGGCGTGCAAGAGCGGGGTCAGAGGAAACGGTGCCATCAGCCCGGGCCGGCCGTCGGGCTCTCTCCGGGGGGCACTGGACTGCGCCCACCTTTTTTTCCCACTGGTCGGATGAATCACTGTGTTCCGGTAGACGTAGAAGGTTGAGGGAGAGTCTCCGCAAGGGATAATAGGATAAGGTATTCAGCCTGCGGAATGGCGGACAAGGAAAGTCAATCAAAGAAAAGCCGGGTATCTAGGCAAGATTCCAAAAGTGTCGTGAGAACAAATTACCTCACGGCACACCCCTTGAAAAGTATGGGAAAAGGCGGAGATTCCACCCGTCGTCCCTCGCGGCTCTCCAGGAACAAAACCAGCCAGGGAAATTGGTCGCGTGATGCGGCTCAGACGAAGGAGGGAGCTCGTTGCCTGGGCGAACGTGTTGTACATGCCTTGGGCAGTTCGCATTTCGGTTGAGGCGCAGCAGAAGTCTAGGTAGATGTAAGTGACGCCGGTAGGTCATAAGGTAAGTAACCATCATTGTCGCTCCCTACGCATCCAGACATCCACGGGGCATTTACCTGCCGCAAGCAGCCCCAGCATCCATCACAACGGTTAGAAACGGGGAGGGGAGAGTCAAGAGAGCTTAGTCGATGTAAGCGTTGTTCGGCATCGGAGAGGGTGTGCTGACATGCATAAGCGGCCGCCCCAGTGGTAGGGAAGGCAAAGCCACGAGCTAATCATCGTCATTGTATTCCTGCGACATGAGCTATTTCCCCAGCCATCGGAGGGGGGATTCTCTAAGATACCTATTCCCTAGCCATAGCCATTAGCCATGAGACCGAACCGATGCAACGCTAGACCGAAAGCGGGACTTTGTGCGCCAATCAGAGCCCCCCAGCCAAAGTCTCTGATGAAGTTGCTGCAGGTTGGCGCGGTATATCGACAGCATTGGATTTTTTAAAATAGACTAGAGGCTGATCTGGAAACGAACGTTGCAAAGAGGGGAGTTGCCCCGCACTCGTTCTTCCCTCTTCCATATGCATTCCATGATCTCCATGCGGGCCTTTGCGGAGGAAACATCACAACACCAACCCTCGCGTCGCCATCTCGAACCGTCACCGCGCCGACGCGGTTTCGCACGGCGGTTGAATGGGTCACTGTGAATTCAACCGCCTACGATGGAAACCAGCACGGGAATCAGCACGGAGACCAGCCAAATCAAGGAATGGCGATCAATTGTTACACTGATTGTTTTCTTTCTCGCAAGTAAGTCGCAACTCTATGCTCAGCTGCAAAGCCCGGCTCGGAATTATTCCCTTACCATCTCCGTGAACCCGCAGACATTGCAGTCCTCTTCCCCTTCAAGGTCCCAATCCATGTCCCTGTGCGAGTTGTTCACAAAACCTTGGACGGCCTGAGTGCACTGAGAGTGATACCCCCGAGGGAGAAGGACTACCATTATGAGCCTCAAAATGGGCAAGCCGCCGGACGCAGGCGCTTTGTGCCGCTCTTGTTCCCCGTGAACTCGGTCACGGCCCCTCTGATCGCCGACCTGTTTCTCCTCGCCATCCTGGCCATCGGCAGGAAGGAAGTTCATGACGGCACCCTTGGAGACAACGGCATCTTCCCCATCGACATCATGGTCTTCTTCATTACGCTGGCATACATCGCCATCTCAATCGACGCCTCGGGACTCATTCGCTACCTGGCCCTGAAGGTGCTCCAGTGGGGAGGAGAGGTTGGCCACAGGCTGTTCTTCTACCTGTACGCCTTCTTCTTCTGCCTCGGGAGCTTCATCGGAAACGACCCAATCATTCTGTCAGGCACGGCCTTCTTGGCCTACATGACCCGGGTCTCGACCAACATCAAGCACCCCAAAGCCTGGATCTTCACCCAGTTCGCCATCGCCAACATCTCGTCCGCCATCCTCGTCTCCTCCAACCCCACCAACCTCGTTCTGGCCGGCGCGTTCGGCATCAAGTTCATTGTGTACACTGCGAACATGGTCGTCCCCGTCGTCGTCACGGCCATCGTCCTTTTCCCTTTCCTGCTCTACGTGGTGTTCAACAACGAAGGCCTCATCCCATACTCGATCAAGATGCGAGAGGCGCCCAGGAAGACCAATTCGAAACCCGTCAACCCCAACATCCCGAGTGCCAGGGGTAACGCAAGGGACGAGAACGTCGAGGACGAGAACACGGAGCAGCTCATCGAGGAGATCATGAACCCCTGGCTCGACAAAGGGGGCGCCGCGTTTGGCGCCGTCATCATGTCGGTGACGCTCGTCACCGTGCTGGCCATCAACGCCGCCAGCGTCAAGACCAAGAACGACGAGCACTTTCAGGTGTTTTGGGTGACGTTGCCGGCGGCCTTTGTCATGCTCTGCTGGGATCTCTGGTTCGGGTGGTTACGTCGGGAGGAGACGCGGGCGATTGCTAAAGGGGTTCACAACGAAGGGGACAGATCCGAGCATGTCGACGTTGAGCACGGTGAAGAGCGGAGTAGGGCTTCGGAGACGGAGATGGCGATAATGACACCCGCCTGCTCGTCACCGAACTGGCCGCATATTCACGTCGAGACGGCAGAAGACGAGAACGATAAGGAAAAGATGCAGGTTGAAGACGACGATGTATCGCCAGTGAACCGCGACATTGGCGTGGAGACGTCGGATTCCAGCGGCCCGCCCGTTGTCACACTCACCCCAGCGGTTCATGCCTCCGAGGATAGCGGCACCGCCACTACCGGGTCTAGCCCGCAGCTCATGTCGTCGGCGACTACGGCTGTGTCGGGCGCACAACAGCCGGACGCCGAGGGGGTTTCCACCAGCGAGCACAAACCAAGCCACGAGATACCACCACCCGCAGTCTCGGACGTGTCGCCGCAGGGGCCACCGGTATCACCGTCCATGGGGCTTGTGGATGACGAGAAGCGCAGAGAGGACGCCGGTGAGAGTCGCACGCTCAGCCAGGAGTCGCCCGGAGTCCATGCGCAGCCGAGATGGACGCTTGTATCGCGTTGCCGAGACGGGTACCGGTGGTTGCAGGAAACGTTCCCTACCGTCATGGCGGTGATATCGCATCTCCCATTCGCGCTGGTGCCGTTCGCGTTCGCCATGTTCGTCCTGGTTCAGGCGCTGGTCACCAAGGGCTGGGTTCCGGTGTTTGCGTACGGGTGGGATCACTGGGTCGAGAAGACGGGCACGATCGGTGCCATTGGCGGCATGGGTTTTCTGTCCGTGATACTCTGCAATGTAAGCAAACCTTGCCCGACCTGGCGTGGCGAGAAGAAACGACGGAAAGCTGACATTCACCACGCATCTAGTTCGCGGGCACCAACATCGGCACCACGATCCTGCTGTCCCGCGTGGTACAGGCCTGGATGCAGATTCGCCGGGAAAACGGCGTGGACATCAGCGACCGCATGTTCTGGGGCACCGTGTACAGCATGGCGCTCGGCGTCAACTACGGCGCGTTTAGCACCGCCTTCAGCGCGTCGCTGGCCGGTCTGCTGTGGCGCGACATCCTCGGCCGGAAGCACATTCACATTCGGAGGATGGAGTTCGCGCGGGAGAACGTGCCCATCATCACAATCGCCATGATTGTCGGCTGCACTGTTCTGGTAGGGGAGATATACATCATTAGAAAGGACACGCCGTACCACTTGTAATGAGGACGGGTGTCTGCGCATTGCCAGACCTGTGAGTGGCAGGTTGGTATGTATGTAATCGCGGATACAGTGTCAATACACCAGTCTATACTTTGTCTGTTTTATTTCTGTAGAGTGTGTGTATTTGTGTGTTCGGGGTCAAACAGACTCCGAAGTGTCTCTTGTTGACGTCGACCCCGGTTGACGATTATTGAGCTCTGCAAGACAACAATCCCCCCATGCTCTGAAGGCCCCCCGCCTCCTCACCGATTAGTGAGCCCGGCTGTGCTCAGTGGAGTATTCGGGGGCCGAAAAGCATTGAACATCGACAAACCAACAGCCCCCATGCACAGTTCTATCCAGGTTAACCTTATTACGAACCTCATCAACACAATCTCGGCCTCACAGCCACATATACTCACTTTTGAATCGCACGGAAAGGGAAGGCGAATCGATGGGTTTCCCCAAAGAACAGCATACGTGCATACCGTCCCATGTCAAGCTGCGGCAAGAAGAGCGGGCGGGAGAGCCGTGTGTAAGGCATTATGCGAGCGGGAATGTCAAGATGGCGCGCAGCCGCCGCGGCTGGTGGCTGAGCTCGAACTGCGCACGTAGATCTCTGGGAAACACATGCAGCCGGAAGCATCTCCCCTCTCCCCAGTTGCTGTATGCACCCCGATGACTTGAAGACTGCATCTGTCAGCCACTACTATGTAAAGGAGATGCCCCGCTGTGCCCCAGCGGCACGGCGCGCAAAAAGTATGCGGCCCAGGACCGGGAAGGGAAGGTCCTTAAAATGGGACTCTTCAGCGAGGATTGGGGGACAATTCGCATCTTCTGGTTTGGGCTTGGAAGCGCTTGGCCGGGGGGCCTTTTTCCATCGAGACGCGGGCCAGCGCTTGTACGGCCTGCTGGGGGCTGCCTCTTGACAAAGGCAGAGAAACGACACAGCCGCGATACTGCGCCGCCGCCGCCGTACAGCGGGATGGCGTGTCGATGGCATTGTATAGAGTACCGCGATGGTTGATCCATTCCTGGACCGCTGCAAGGGGTCTCAGTCGCGATCATCGTGGAGAGAGTGTAAGCCTCCATTCATGGCCTGCCCCCAACTTGGTCCACAAGTCGCTGAGCGTTGCTTCATGTAAGCTGAGCCTGCGGGCCTGACCGCGCGGGAGGATGAAGAGAGGGGGGTTCATCGGTTAGACAAAAGACGGAAGATCAACGGGTGTCAGCACAATATTGCGCTGACTGCATGCGTATGAGTAGGTATGCCTTGGTGTCTCTCTCTCTCTCTCCAGTGGGCGAACGGCTAGGATCGTCCCACTTCTGGCCTTCCAAATCAAGCGCAAGGGTCCATCAAGGGAACCCCAATGGGACTGATTTGGGAACATGCGATGCGGACTCAAAGGCAAAAGATAGATTAGAGGGAAAAGGGAGGGCAAAGACCAGATGACTTCGACCCTGCTTCGGGAACCCCCTCCCCCCTGCCCATCCCTCTGCAGGGTCAGGTTGCACCATGCGACGCACTGAGAAATGCAATCCTGATGCTCAGTGAGCACTGTTTCACCAGGGCTCAGGTCATCGCTAAGAGGCCGTGTGCTGGATGTCGGGGTGTTTGACTGACTCTCTCTCCATTCCTTCATGCAGCGCAATGCTCTTCGCCGAGTCTCGCCGGCCGAGATGGTCATTTGTTTGGTGCCGTCCCTGACGACTAAACGGGAGAGGACTGGATGGCGTCGTCGGCTCGTTTCCCCCATCCTCCCGGCTCGGCGCATTAAATCCTTCAAAGTCAACTCGAGGGTTCAAGAGGTGCGGCACAGCGCGAACCGATGCGGGTCGGAGCGCTATCCAGGGACAGCTACCAAACAGAAGAAGGAAAAAAGAAAGGATGCCGGCATGCGTCTCAATCATAGCCATCCGCCGTCGAGGTAGCACTGTCGGGATGAAGACGCCGCCATCACAACTTGGACATGTTTGGAATTGATGCGCATGTCAGCAACAGCTGGGCTGGCTACACTAACGACGATCAAATCAGGCCGAGCATAGTTCACTCGCAAGCCCATCAATCACTTCTCATTCAGTCCAGGCGGGACACCACCGCCGTCCCGTCTCCTCGCGTCGGGGTCCGAGGGCCAGCTGAGACACTGACGCGCAGGGCAAAGCGGCCGAGAAGAGTCCAGCGAGCCAACAGAATCGCAATCCACGATGTGTCATCCTGAGTTCCACTGCTTCCAGAATGTCCGGGCGGTGCCATTGCCACGGCGGGCCAACTTCCCCGTTGCGTGCGCGGCGCACCTCGAACGAATCCTGCGCAGTGCAGAGTCGTTGCTGCCACGTTTCAATCACTATTGGCAATGACTTTGAGGAGGCATCACTGCAGCATTGTTTCCCCCTCCCACCCCTTTTGGTTTCGTTTGGCCGCCGTCAGACCCAGACCTGGAAGTCATCCGGACGAAAAAGGCCCTGCAGGGCGTTGAAACGGCGCATTGAGAACAAAGAGGTGCGTGGGAGTGATCAATGCGCGTAGGGCAAAAGATGGGATTAGGTTCTGCTCGAGGGTTTTGCTGCTGAACAAAACTTTACGTGACACCTGCTCCCCCTTCGGCCGACGCAGGCTGGGCTCGCAGCAAAAAAAACCCCCAAACGACAGAGCATGAGACGATGGCGAATCGAGCTGAAAACCCGTTTTGCCCCGTGGCCCGCTATTTCTTGGTTTTTGCAGCCCGTTACTAGGGTGCCAACAGGTCGGTGAAGCACCATATACGCATGAGGTACCACGCCTGTTTTCTTTGTGCAAAGGGGCAGGAAACGTTTGTGGAACGTTGGGGAAAAGGGGGAAGAAGATATTGACGGAAAACAAAGCAACGTGATGTGATGGAAACGGGTCCAGATTCGGACGGCGTACGACAGCTGGCTTGGCAGAGCGAGATGTCGAGGTTGCTTTCTTTGTCCTTGACCGTGATCCAACGGAGAGAGTGGTTCGTCATTGCCCGTTCGATGCAACCCCTCATCTGCGCGCCTCGCTAACAGCCATCGGGGGCCGCACCGCATCTGCTGGGGGGGTCTCAGCTCAGCCTCATGGGAGAACGAACCATGGGGGGCTTGTTGGTGCTGTTGGTGTTGAACAAGGGCCAGACGGGGGGCTCCTCAGCTCAACGTAGGTTCATCGTTAAGCCAGACTCGGCTGCAAGGCCGAAGCGGTACGGTGTCGGTGGTCGGCTGATCGAGCGCTAGACTAACCCGAGTTGAAGCGACACATGGACGCGGATGAGTCTAATGGGTTTCTAAGTTGGGGGCGTTACACATTGGCACGTTTCTTCCTTTTTGTAGCGGTCCACTTGCACCACAACCGCGCAGCCCTCTTCTCCAAGACGACCGCCACAATCTCTAACGCGGGTCCATTGGACACAGACATGGCATCAGAAAAGCAGAGCAAGTGCCACAGCAAGTCCCGAGTCTCGAGGGTCGGAAGAGACAATGCAATCGACAGAGGCACCAGGCAGCAGACATGCCTCCAGGGGACATCTTTAGCCTGTATTGTCTCGCCAGAGAGAGAGAGAGACCAAAGACAATCCCTCCTCCAGACGCACAGCGGTTCCCCACGGTTGGTCGGACGGGATGCGTTTCCCTGCGCTCCGGGAGGACATGGGATGCAGAGCCAATAATAGCCGCCTCGAAAGGCCGTGTGCTACGACGCCCATGAACGAACGAACGAACAATGTGTGCGCCGCGGCCTACGGGACCCACGCCTACTCGTCGCGATTATACCCTTCTTTTGTTTCTGTTTCCTGCTCATCCATCCATGCATCCATCCATGTCCCGCACCTGTTCCTTGCGATATGCACACTCCCCCCGGACCATGTCCTCGGTGGGTGGGAACCCCCAAGGTTCGAGGGATGCGGCCCTCTGCACTACACAGAGAAGACTCGCCCGATCTGCCTTGCAGTGACTGTCTGTGCCAGCAGCACCCCATGCTTGCATGGTAAGCTGTGTGTGAAGCTCTGCTGTTCAAGATGCTGTCTCTCATGGGACCGGAACATGTAATAAAGGGCACCTCCTATCCCTCCTTGCCCTCTATCCCTCTGAAACTTTCCACCACATACGGGCTCTCGAAGCACAGAACGCATTTCACGGCCGTCATTGACCCTCCAGAGCTCGGGCAACGAAAAGCGAGGACCACAACATAAACACATGCTGAAGCCCACGCTTGGGTGCATTCGTCCGGAGCATCATTGACCTCCCGCTCAGTCTTACACACCCCACCCCCCAGCCCAGCCCACTTACCCGTCCTCTGGCACCACCGGATGCCGGCGCCGTCGCACGCTACCTAAACTATCGCGGCACCAGCTCTCAGGCTTCTCACGACGCCTCTCTTTTTTTTTTCCATCTCAGCTACGACCCCGAGGATAAGGCCGGGCGAGAAGGGTCGCGGGCGGACTAGGAACTTATCCTTGCCCGCTGTCAATAAACAACAAACATCCCCAAGGCCGCACGCACGTCAACATAAATACCATCTCGAAGGCATGGCACCTGTCATTCTCGCGAGAGTCAGACGAGAAGCATCAGAAGCAGCAGCGGTCTCGACAATAGCAAAATCCCAAACATCGCAGTCGTACACTTCATCACCTACCCCAACACCAATAGACGCATCTGCTGGCCTCGGCGGTCCATCAGAGACACCGTCCTCACCATCGTCCTCGACCGTCAGCACCACTACCGTCCTCATTATTGTCATCGTCCTCTGCGCATCGGCCATCATGTCGGCAACACTCTTCTACCTCTTCGACCGCAAGAAGAACGCCCAGTTCCGCGAGGCATGCCGGCGGGACCCCTACCTCACACGCAAGGAGTTTGTGCGCCGCCGCAAGCTCAGCGCCGTCGAGCGCCTCGAGGAGGAGGAGCTGCAGCGCAGCATCATGATCCGCAAGTCGCTCGCCAGCCGCGAGCCCTCGAGGCAGAATAGCTACGAGGATTTCAACATGGCGCGGCTGCAGCAGCAGCAACAGCAACAAGAACATCAACGTGGCCGCCAGATGCCCGAGGTCTGGATGCCGAGAACGCGGCCCGGGTCGGAAGTCTATGTGCCGAGGATGAGGTCCGGGTCGGAGACGTCCTCGTCGGCTTCGTTCGCTTCGTCTGCGCGGCACCCCTACGCCGAGCCCCATCCCGGTGTGGAGGTTGAAATCCCGCTGGCCCCGCACTCGGGGTCGCCGTCGCCGAGCCGGACGCCGTCCGTCATGAAGGTCTTCCCCCCTCCAGTCGTATCGGAGATGGAAGAGATGGAAGGTATCTCGCGACCGCTGCCGTCATTCCAGAAGCCTTAGAGTGCCCCGCACACCTGTCGTGGAGACGGTGCTGTGACGGGATAACATGATACGACATAGTGAGCGACTTAGACTTGGCAGACGGCGGCCTGGGGTGCCCCGCGATGGATTCCTGTACCTTCTTTACCACTTTCCTTTGTATTGATACCCACGACTGGATACACACATCAACTACACGTAGTGTTTGAATCATATGAAAAAAAAATATACATCATTTGGTGAAAATGGTTCGAGGTGGCAAGCAATGAATCACCCAGAAGATTCGAGATTCGGTGGACCGGAGTGGATGGACCGGAGTGAGTGGATCCACTTATTAATGGTGCAGATTCAATGATACAATGTGCTGTAATCACCAGCGCCGGCCCCGGCTCCGGCTTGCTGAGTCATCCCGCTGCCCTGCCACCGTCTGCCTAACGTTCCCCCCCCCAGCAGGTCAAAGTCCTCATCCGTAATCCGAAACTGAGCCTGGGCGTTCTCCCCCTACAACCCACCTCTCTCCACGTCACTCGCTCGCCGTACGAAGAAATCGTCTGCCTCCTGCCGCAACGAACCTCGAAGAATCCGTCGATCGACTTTTTCTGAGCAACCTTGCGACTGCCGCATACGAGCCCTTCGAGCCGACTGCTCCGCGACCTGGCACTCGGGTCCTTTGTTCGCCACTCTCGGACGCCTTCACTGGTAGAATCGGTCGGCTGGCAAACAGAGCCTCTTCCTTTCTCATCTCCTCTCCCCCCTCGACTATCGCGCCTTCCGTCAAAAAGGTTCGCTTTATTGGTGAGAGAGGACACTCCTGCCGCAGGTCAGGAAGTCATGGCTCACCTTTTTTCTTTTGCGTAGTTAGGGTATCCCCCGAGCGCCTTCGTCACTTCCCCCGCTGAACGAGTTTCCCCTGCCGTTCATCAAGAGAAAAAGCGATTAGCCGCCTGAGGATCCTCTATCTATATCCTTTCGCCCACTGCCTGGCGAGGGATCGAGAGCCTGCCTACCTCGGTTCCGAAGCAGTTCTCAGCATCGTCCTTTGAGACGATCTCTTTTCCCGGACGAAGTAACAGGCTACAAACACCGCCAAGCTGCATTCGCCGCTCTTTGTTCAACTTGCTACCGATCTCCTTTGGACACAAACCAACAACCCGGCGAAAGAAGACTCCACGACCTACAAGGCTGTAGTCAACAAGCGCAAGGAACTCCGGCGAAGAAGAAAAGAACTCAAGCGTCGTCGCAAAGTTTTCGACGAAGTAAACAACATCTACACTGCCAAGCCGTACAAGCCCAAGATGCTCGGCCCCAACGGTGCCGCGACGGACGAAAATGGCAATCCCGAGGGATTCAGGGACGACCTCAACATGGTTGTGATGTGTCCCGACTGCAAAGAGTACCCTCCCCACCTGGTCGAGGAGTTCTCCTCTGGAGACATGGTCTGCGGCTCCTGCGGCCTTGTCGTCGGTGAACGCATCATTGACACCCGCTCCGAATGGCGTACTTTCGCCAACGATGACCAGGGCAATGACGACCCCTCCCGTGTCGGTGACGCCGTCAACCCCCTGCTCAACGGCTCTCAGCTTGAGACCACCATCGCCTTTGGCGACGGCAGAGACTCCAAGCAGCTTGCCCGTCTCCAGAACAAGTCCCAGAACGACAAGGCCAGCAAGTCGCTCATGCAGGCCTACAAGGAGATTGGTGCCTTCTGCGACAGTATCAACCTCGGCAAGAACGTCTCCGACGCCGCCAAGCACATCTTCAAGCTCACGTACGACCACAACTTCATGAAGGGCAAGCCTCAGGAGGCTGTCATCGCAGGTTGCATTTTCATCGCCTGTCGTCAGACGGGTGTTGGCCGTACCTTTCGTGAGATCTTCCAGGTCACCCACGTCTCGAAGAAGGAGATTGGCAGGGTGTTCAAGCAGCTCGAGTCCTTTTTGCAGAAGATCAAGGAAGAGAACCCTCGTGGTGCGGGCTCTCTATCCAACTTGGATGGCTACAAGGCCAGTGCCTCCACCAGCGCCGAGGATCTCTGCACCCGCTTCTGCTCCAACCTCAACTTCCGTAATGCGCAAAAGATTGAGAACGTCTCGCGGGCGCTTGCACGGAAGACCTCAAGCGTCTCCGAGTTGGCCGGTCGTTCGCCTCTGTCTGTGGCCGCCGCGTGTATCTACATGGCGTCTCATCTCATGAAGGAGGTGAGGACTTCCAAGGAGATTGCCTCGGTGGCCGGTGTCAGTGACGGCACCATCAAGACGGCCTATCGGTTCCTGTATCAGGCTCGCGAGAGGCTGATTGAGAAGGAGTGGGGCGCTGACCAGAAGGCAATCGATGGCCTTCCGGTTAACTAGAAGGTATCCGGTTGCCCTTACAAGTGCTATGGCACGCGTTGCCCTCACATCGTTGTGGATGAAGAGATCATCCTCAAGAACGAGGAGTGAGTCGACTCCGAGACACTGTCGTCTGTTCAGTTGCCGCAGTACGATCCGGTGATGACGACAATCACTCGGCGGCCTCATGCAGCCGGCTGCAATGCTTGACAGGCAACCGCGATTGTGGTGTGCCAATTTTTTCTTTTGGGCGTTTAGGGGTGGTTTCCCTGTGCCCATCGTCTTGCTCCCGATTGGTTTGAGTCGCCTGGAATGGCGCATTCTCGTAGCTCTTGGAAGATCAGAGCTTGGAGGTCGATCGCGGACGGACAGAATTTGCTTGCTCGCTCGCTCACTCGAAGAGTACTGAATTTTGGGAACGGCTGGGACTGAGGGCGGCTTAATTGCATAATATCCCCAGATTGCTACTTGGGCTGCTTTGCACCAAGAAAACACCGAGATAGATGAAAGAATTACAAAACAATGTGCTTTTCTATTGCTATTCCCTACGGTAGTCTGTGAAAACGCGTGTGTTGGTGATGAGCGACTGAAGTGACATTGTGAGGATGATTGTACGGTGTGCATGTGGACAGTGCTAATACGTATACGCACGCTCCAGTCCGCCAATTAAATTGAAGCTGGGAGACCCCATTTATTTTTTCCCACCCATGGACATGCTGAGCCTTGTCCTTCGCGTCGCGACTCCATCTTAACCAGCGCCATTCGACAGTCAGCCTTGCACACCCGCGATCTCACGGACTGCACCTACAACGCGGAATTGCACCCTTCGGTATCGATCGCAAACCTCCCAAACTCTGTCGACCCACAATGTCTGGACGCCGTTCCCGGTCGGGTAGGGCCGCGGCCAAGCGCGCCTCTGCTGCACTCCGTACGTACAAGCTTTTACTCATGTTCCCTTGTTGTCGCGCCCCGAAGCTTCGGAAATGACTGCTTGCGATAAATGTCTGCAAGACCGGACAAATCGTTTGATGTCGGGTTTGCCTGTACTATGAGGTGGTCCTTTTGGCCGCAACTGCCAAACATCTCTAACACCCCGACTTCCCCTAATACCCCTCCTTCAACCACCACCCCTCGATTGAGCACATCATTTTACTGTGTCTTTTGGGAGTGGAGTAGTAGCGCCATCGCATTACTAACGAGACATGGTTTCTAGAAAGCACCCCCAGGGCCTTCGAAGGCATTGATGACGACGAACCCGTGGCCGAAGCTGTCGAATCTGAGCCCGAGCACGAGGCGCAGCCCGAAGACGACGACGACGAGGAAGAAGAGGAGAAGGCGAACGAGTCTGGCGAGGAAGAAGGAGCCGAAGAGGAGGGTGAGGAAGGCGAGGAAGAGCCCGCCAATGACGACGCAGAGGACTCTGAGCCCTCAGCCAAAGAACCAACCCCTCCTACCGAGCCAGTGATCCGTAGGAAGCGACTTGGACGACCTCCGAAGAACAAGCCGCCTGGCTGGGACAACATGATTACCGTACCTGCGTCCGAAGCCGATACCCCGCGCCGGAGAGGTCGTGGTGGATGGCGCGGTCGGGGCGGTCGCCGGCCAGCGCCCGGCCAGGCTCCCCCGAAGCTCAAGCAGGTGATCGACAAGGAGGGCACAGAAGTCGACATTGTCGACGACGAGTGCGTCCTGCCCGAGGACCCGGAGGGCGAGACCAAGGTCGACAAGCTCGGGAACCTGCAGGGCGGCCGTCAGTACCGTTGCAGAACGTTTACCGTCAAGGATCGTGGCGAGCGGCAGTACATGTTGTCAACGGAGCCTGCGCGCTGCGTCGGTTTCCGCGACAGTTACCTCTTCTTCAACAAGCACCCGAAGCTTTACAAGATTATCGTGAGCGACGACGAAAAGATGGACATGATTGAGCGGAATATCATTCCTCACTCGTACAAGGGCCGTGCCATAGGAATCGTTACGGCGCGCTCCGTCTTTGTGGAGTTCGGCGCGAGGATCATTGTCGGTGGCCGGAACATCGTCGACGACTACCGCGTTGCCGATATGCGCGCCGCCGGTGTTGTCGAGGGAGCCATTGCGGACCCCTCGGACGTCTTCGACCCCAACCAGCCGTACAACTCCAACCAGTATGTTGCTTGGTTCGGTGCCAGTGCCGTATACCATACCAACCAGACGCCGGCCACGTCAGACCCTCTTGCTGGTCTGACCGAGGTCAAGAAGAAGCGTGTCAACGTCAATGATACCAACTGGCAGCTGGAGCACGCCCGTGCAGCTAGGTAAGGATCACTTGTCACAGGACAGCATCACAGGCTAACAGGTTCCAGCGAGTTTAACAGCCGCATCAACGCCATCCGTATGGCCACGCTACGCCACGGCGCCTATGATATCCACACAAACTTGATGCACCAACCGGTCAACACGCAACCAACCCGCGCGCGGGTCGAGGCCATTTCCCCCGGCACCGCCAGCGAACCTAACAGCGCCTTCCCGACCGTGCCATCGGCAGTCCAACGCAACTTCAACGTCGTGGACATTGTCTACGAGACACCACGCGCTGGCGTTCAGTCCGCCGGGCGGCGACCGGCCGAGGTTCCCGACTTCCTGAAGCCGTTCAACGGCATCCTGGCCATCAGCGACGACCTCAAGTCCATGCTGCCGCCCGAATGCCGCGAGTCTCTCGAGAGACACCAGGCCGACCAGCGGGAGTTCGAGTCGCGCTTCGGTGACGAGAAGGACAAGATGGCGCGGGGCAAGCTGCGGATCGACAAGTCGGTCGTGCCGCAGGGCAGACACTCTTAGAAAGAGTTGGTCCGGAAGCACGGCGTGCGGGGCGCGCCCAACGGCCGCTTCGAGTCGACCTTCACCGGCCGCGGCTGCAACTTCTGCGGCCGCAGGATCCAGGAGTGCGGGCACGGGGCGGAGGTCAAGCCCGAGTTTTACGAAGCTTTTAGTGTTAAGCCCGAGGGGCCTCCACCCAAGATGCTCAAGACGGAGTCGTCCCAGGGGAGGATGGCCAATTCGGAGTCTTTTCACGGTAGGATCGTATCGGACATTGACGCCCAGGGGAAGGTGATGAAGTTTGCCCCCCCTCAGGGTGTGGTCAAGAAGGAGACCAAGCTGGTGGTTAGGCCCGAGTTTCATGGCAACACTTTGATGCCAGGTGGTTCGTAAAGGGCCGGCGCATCAAGTTTGCATGACGGGTTTCTACCTTGGGAGGGGGGATTTGGGTTCTGTGTTTTTTTCGTTGGCCCGGCGTTCTGGGGGGGGGTTAGTCGGTTAAAGGTCAACTGGAAGAGACGGCGGCAAAACTAATTGCCTGCTGGTGTTAATATTGCTATTCTGTGCCGCCTTGGAGTTTTCTGCCAAAAGAGAGAATGCGCGCTTGGGGGCTGTGATGAGAGCCTGCGGGAGTGTGAGGCATGGGCTGTATGTAGGACTAGGACGATTCATGAATGGCTCATAAGTGTTTGTCTGCATTTGTGTTGATCTTGATGAACAGTCATGGTCTCGTCTCATGTTTGCCATTAAGACCACGCCTGTGGGAGAGGCCTTGACGCTCAAATTGGGATGGCGGAGACATTTTTACGGTCCGGGGGATGAAACTTAGCAGACGATAACACGTTCTGATCAACGTCCTTTGGCGTGATGAAGTGCGACAGTGTCTGGGTTGCTGCCGGCTGTTGAAAAGTCTTTCAGCACCGCGTCGATTCGATTGGGAGGTTTCTTCATCCCAACGGAGCTCTCTCCGGCGCGCAGGCGCGACGCGTTCATGAACACAGACGCCTGAATACTGACAACATCGCTGAGCAGTTCAAGATACAGTTGATGCTACTCGATACTTCCACATATTCCAGCCTCGCATCTACTATCACAACACGGACTGGCCGGTTTCTGGGCTACGCGAAGGGAGTTCGGCATCTCTGTGCAGTAGGCAAAATGACATGTCCCATGGCACTATCAGAACAACGTCCTTGTGGTTGCACAAATGCCGAGCAGCTTTGCATGGGGTATCGCGGCCAGGGACCTAGCGCTTTGGACATCAAAAAGATGGCATATAGATAACAATGCAATGACGTGCTTGAACATGTAGTCTCGAGTAGAGCCTCAAAAAGATCATCATTTATGGCTTGTTATGGCAGGCACCATGCTAGATGTACTAGCCTTCCTAGCAAACGCGGCGTGGTTGCATACTCAGAACAGACGTCGTCTTGCATCACATTATAAGCTCAGTGACTCGCCCCGTGGCATTCATCTTGCTCGGGATATCCGGTTTGATTCTACGAATATAGCACAAGGAACCAGGGGAAGTGTCCAAGGGCGAGCTCTCCTGGCCTTGCCTTTGAGGCCGACGAATAGATTCCTATCTATGTACCATAATGTTAGTTGAGCGCGGCAGGTCAACCTCTTACTACGGCCCTCGCCTTCCATCTACAGCTAGATACGGATGCTGAAGGCGAGGGTTTTGTTCGGTTATACATTTCTCCTCCTTCTTTGTAGTCTACAACGCGGTGAACCACGTGCTGTAAGGAAATCTCAGAGTTCAGGACATTGTTCGTGTTGGGTCGTCACTGGCCTTCAACGACTATAGACATTTAGCCATTGCCCGATGTTAATTCCTGTTGGCAACACGACGTTGGCAAAGACTTCGCTCAGCTTCGTCGCCACCATCAGACTAGTTGTCTTTTAGATGATGGTCGAGATGGCAGCCTGACCATCGATAGTAAGAAGGCTGATTTCGGGCACCTCGTTCATCTTCGGCAAGGTGTTTAACCGCATTTTGAGAAGGAGGATATCAGACACAAAAACACCGGAACTTTTAGACGCCCCAGGTTTTTCGATCTTGTCTGCTAATAAACCAGTCGTTGCCCATTCCCCATACTTCTGGATATACGAAGCTTGGTCTCTCTTGAATATTTCATGAGAATGGATGACGGCCTCCGTACAAGAAGTCTCGATATGCAAGACTTTCCTCCGCCATCTCTCCCACTCAGCATCATGTAGTCCTACCCCGAGCAAAGAAGAAAGCCGTTGTTCTCTTGACGTTGACTGATAGGGCCTATGAATAACACTTGCCACCACCCGCGTTTGCAATGAAGGTCAATCCAGGTGAATGTTAAATCGACTGTCAAATGTTTGTAATCGTCCACCTTAAACCGAAAAAAACCTACAGCCGTTGATGTCATCGTCGTGTCCGCAAATAAGTCATACAACTAGTACGACACAACATTCACAAACCATAGATGAGCTATCATTAGTTCTTGAGGGTTGCGGTATATATATGGCGCCATCGACAATACATTGCCGATGCCCCCGAGCAGCACATGACGATTGTGGTGAATCAAAGTGAACAAAAACCTATAAGACACGGCGAGTTCCAACAAAAAAAAAGAGCGCGGCCCCTTCACTCTTAACCCTGTCCCGCTTGTGCCTGATTCAGAAATTTACATAGTTGGATTATGGCTCTAAAACGGGATGGGATGCCTATGTAGACGAGATGCCACACGCTCTGCACCACTCCAGAGCCTGTTATATCGACTACGAGTACCGCCATTTTCAATCCTCTTCATGCGTAGCAACAGGATGTTCTCGTGGACACACTCTCATCCCGTGTGAGCGGTCCCAGCACAGCGGCACCTAGTTCCCTCGCTACCGGAAGCCATCAACCCTCCCCAAACATGCTCTCAACTCCTCCGGACTGCGTCCCTCCCTCGCGTAACCAAAGTTCATCTCATCAAGAGCAAATGACCCATCTGGTGCGCTCTCAACCCGACCTTCTCGCCTCTCCATCACCAAAGACAAACAAGCAGTCTCCTCTCTCCTCCAATTACACAACCATGCGCTCCGTGCGCGCCAAAGTTTCTGGACCCCGATCCCAAAACTGGGCAATAAGACGACCATCCTCCCATCTCGCACCCGCCCCGTCCCGCGCTATGAAGCCCACCCATTCACGACTCTTCAGACTTCGCCTGGCCACGGCTCATCTCGCCTCCGGAACCCTCAGTGACGCCTCGGCCCGTCGCGGAAGACCAGGAAGGGGGAGAGGGGAAAGCATACCACGCCATCAAAGCACCACACCCGACACCCGCGCAGCGCCAGATCCGTCCGAAGAAGGGGCACATTCAAACCATCCGCGAACGCGCAGACGCGCAGGCACGCAGGCACGCAGCCGTGTAGCACCACGTACCTCCCAGAGGATTACCGCAGTGACAAATAATAGAGTTTGTAGCTTATCGCAACCGCAGAGCCCCCCGTGACATCACTCCTTGGAGGTCGACGAGCCCGTGTTGAGGCGGCAGAAACACGGGGTCCTCTCTCCGGCACACACACACACTCTCCCCCCCCCCTCTCTCCCTCGCTGGCTGTAACAACCTTGTCACAGTAGAAGAGGGAGCCTCGGTGGTGGCCAGATGTCGTGGGGTTTCCAGGAATAGTTGTCGTCACGGACCATGTATCGATGCAAACGTCCTCTCATGCTGGCCCCTACAGTAGCTGCGGCAGTGGGTGGTAGACCGCGTGCTGGCCTGAGCAGTGAAATGCCATGATCGAAAACGCTTTTCCTTCGAGCACCGTCCCAAGGGGGCCACGCTTGGTTTACGGAAACTCGAGCATGCACGCATCGTGCAGTAGATGCCATGCATTGCAGGTACGCTACGATGACCGAAACAATAACACAAAAATCTTCAAGCATTCACTCGATTTTTTTCTTCAAGCTTGGTCTTACATCAATACGTGCGGTGCCGCAAGCCAACGATAGGGTCGGTGTCCGAGATACCAAAGCCCTCTGGTTTATACGATCCTTCAAGTTGAAAGCAGCTTGCGCCTACTCTGCAAGGCGACACAACCCGGCTTCATTGACACCAACACATCACGAAGGCGAGCGTCGGACCAGAGCACAGGCTTAGTCACCCTCCCAACCGGCCGTCCGACCTCGAGAAAGCATGACCGGAGGTCCAACCCAACGGCACGATCCGGCAAGGATGGGGGGGGGGGGGGGGGACATGGTTATTTCATCGGGACACGGGGATGCAGCAGCCACACAGCTACCCTCGGCCCCAGACCCAAAGCACCAATACGGCCAAACGCAAACCAAAACCGGGCCATACCACACCACAAAGCACACCACACCACCCAAAATAACCAGCCCTTCGCTTGTTACGCAGCGTGCGTGAGCGTGAGCGTGAGCGCGAGCGTGAGCCAGTCGTGGGCGTCTACGTGTAGTGAATGCAAGATCACGCGCCCTCACCACGGCTGACTGCCCGACGCTGCAGGACGCGGCGCTGAGTGTAAGGGCGAGGGGACTCAAGGAAGGGGGCCTGGTGCTCCAACCCTATCATGTTCTGCCTTTAGCGTTTGCCTGCGAACCCCGAGACATCATCAAACCACAAGGAGCAAAGTGCTCAACGAACAGAAGCCCGAGAAGCGGAACGAAGGCCCAAGGAAAGACGTGGTGATCGAGACAGGTGTCTAGGTCGTGCAGCAGCGCAGATCCGTTGCTCACCGCTTGCATGGGTCGGACTCGGGGTGCATGTGTCATCCATCGCCAGCCTAGCCGACCACATGGTGATATCAACGATGGATTCGACGGTGCTACCTTGCCATACCCGCTTCGTAACGTGAATGGCCGTTTTGCGTTTGGCGCGAGGCGTGGCGGACGACCGAACCGTAGCTTCCTTTTCGGCAAAAGGGCGGGCGGATTCTGATATCGAAGGATGATGCGTGATGCCGACGGTGGCTGCAATGACTGCAACGCCTGTCTAAGCAAGCATGGTTCTCAGCCAGACCAACCTCTGGTCCATAACAGCTCGTCCGGACGCGCTGAAGGAGTCATAATCCTAAGGATTGCAAGGGCTGGGCGATGCTATGCTGAGTCTAGTACATGCTCATAGGCAGCAGGAACATATTGATCCTACTGTTTGGACGTGGCGCGCGTACGTCTCCAAGGAGGGAACGTGGTAAGCACTTGAACGGGACGGGAAGGCAGATGCAACGGATTGGGTGCTGATGACGACTGATTACTGACATCTGGGCCGTAATAGGAGCGCTGGCCACGGAATAGACACGCGGGACGGAGGGGCGCATTGCGCCGCCCGTCGGTCGATGCAACACTCAACTGCCTGCGGTGCGGCGAGGCAAGAATAGGCAATCACGTAGTCAACAGTCTTTCGCTGGTC